TGGAATAAGGAAAGTCGCTCCTGGGTTCGCTGATTACTGAATGGTACTTTATTTCCTGATCGGATACGAATTGGCAGAGCTATGGCCATCGGAAGGAGCAAAAGTGGGGAAATCGGGAAAACACACAATTTTATAGGGGTACCCCTAGGAAAAAATTCGAAAAATTTCAAAACCATATTTAGGCAATGCTTTGAATGAGGAAAGTCGCTCCTGGGTTCGCTGATTACTGAATGGTACTTTATTTCCTGATCGGATACGAATTGGCAGAGCTATGGCCATCGGAAGGAGCAAAAGTGGGGAAATCAGGAAAACACACAATTTTATAGGGGTACCCCTAGGAAAAAATTCGAAAAATTTCAAAAGCATATTTAGGCAATGCTTTGAATGAGGAAAGTCGCTCCTGGGTTCGCTGATTACTGAATGGTACTTTATTTCCTGATCGTATGAAATTTGGCAGAGCTATGGCCATCGGAAGGAGCAAAAGTGGGGAAATCGGGAAAACACACAATTTTATAGGGGTACCCCTAGGAAAAAATTCGAAAAATTTCAAAACCATATTTAGGCAATGCTTTGAATAAGGAAAGTCGCTCCTGGGTTCGCTGATTACTGAATGATCGGATACGAATTGGCAGAGCTATGGCCATCGGAAGGAGCAAAAGTGGGGAAATCAGGAAAACACACAATTTTATAGGGGTACCCCTAGGAAAAAATTCGAAAAATTTCAAAAGCATATTTAGGCAATGCTTTGAATGAGGAAAGTCGCTCCTGGGTTCGCTGATTACTGAATGGTACTTTATTTCCTGATCGGATACGAATTGGCAGATCTATGGCCATCGGAAGGAGCAAAAGTGGGGAAATCGGGAAAACACACAATTTTATAGGGGTACCCCTAGGAAAAAATTCGAAAAACTTCAAAAGCATATTTAGGCAATGCTTTGATTGAGGAAAGTCGCTCCTGGGTTCGCTGATTACTGAATGGTACTTTATTTCCTGATCGTATGAAATTTGGCAGAGCTATGGGCATCGGAAGGAGCAAAAGTGGGGAAATCAGGAAAACACACAATTTTATAGGGGTACCCCTAGGAAAAAATTCGAAAAATTTCAAAAGCATATTTAGGCAATGCTTTGAATGAGGAAAGTCGCTCCTGGGTTCGCTGATTACTGAATGGTACTTTATTTCCTGATCGGATACGAATTGGCAGATCTATGGCCATCGGAAGGAGCAAAAGTGGGGAAATCGGGAAAACACAAAATTTTATAGGGGTACCCCTAGGAAAAAATTCGAAAAATTTCAAAAGCATATTTAGGCAATGCTTTGAATAAGGAAAGTCGCTCCTGGGTTCGCTGATTACTGAATGGTACTTTATTTCCTGATCGGATACGAATTGGCAGATCTATGGCCATCGGAAGGAGCAAAAGTGGGGAAATCGGGAAAACACACAATTTTATAGGGGTACCCCTAGGAAAAAATTCGAAAATTTTCAAACCCATATTTAGGCAATGCTTTGAATTAGGAAAGTCGCTCGTGGGTTCGCTGATTACTGAATGGTACTTTATTTCCTGATCGGATACGAATTGGCAGAGCTATGGCCATCGGAAGGAGCAAAAGTGGGGAAATCGGGAAAACACACAATTTTATAGGGGTACCCCTAGGAAAAAATTCGAAAAATTTCAAAACCATATTTAGGCAATGCTTTGAATAAGGAAAGTCGCTCCTGGGTTCGCTGATTACTGAATGGTACTTTATTTCCTGATCGGATACGAATTGGCAGAGCTATGGCCATCGGAAGGAGCAAAAGTGGGGAAATCGGGAAAACACACAATTTTATAGGGGTACCCCTAGGAAAAAATTCGAAAAATTTCAAAAGCATATTTAGGCAATGCTTTGAATGAGGAAAGTCGCTCCTGGGTTCGCTGATTACTGAACGGTACTTTATTTCCTGATCGGATACGAATTGGCAGAGCTATGGCCATCGGAAGGAGCAAAAGTGGGGAAATCGGGAAAACACACAATTTTATAGGGGTACCCCTAGGAAAAAATTCGAAAAATTTCAAAAGCATATTTAGGCAATGCTTTGAATGAGGAAAGTCGCTCCTGGGTTCGCTGATTACTGAATGGTACTTTATTTCCTGATCGGATGAAATTTGGCAGAGCTATGGCCATCGGAAGGAGCAAAAGTGGGGAAATCAGGAAAACCCACAATTTTATAGGGGTACCCCTAGGAAAAAATTCGAAAAATTTCAAAACCATATTTAGGCAATGCTTTGAATGAGGAAAGTCGGGTTCGCTGATTACTGAATGGTACTTTATTTCCTGATCGGATACAATTTGGCAGAGCTATGGCCATCGGAAGGAGCAAAAGTGGGGAAATCAGGAAAACACACAATTTTATAGGGGTACCCCTAGGAAAAAATTCGAAAAATTTCAAAAGCATATTTAGGCAATGCTTTGAATGAGGAAAGTCGCTCCTGGGTTCGCTGATTACTGAATGGTACTTTATTTCCTGATCGGATGAAATTTGGCAGAGCTATGGCCATCGGAAGGAGCAAAAGTGGGGAAATCAGGAAAACCCACAATTTTATAGGGGTACCCCTAGGAAAAAATTCGAAAAATTTCAAAAGCATATTTAGGCAATGCTTTGAATGAGGAAAGTCGCTCCTGGGTTCGCTGATTACTGAATGGTACTTTATTTCCTGATCGGAAACGAATTGGCAGAGCTATGGCCATCGGAAGGAGCAAAAGTGGGGAAATCAGGAAAACCCACAATTTTGTAGGGGTACCCTTTGGGAATAAGTCGAAAAATTTCAAAAACGGTTTTTAAAGAAGGTTTTGTATGAGAAATTTAGCTACTTGGTAAATTGGGAGTATATTTTTTTCCATTCTCTACTTTAAATTTATCAAAACCTTTTAATGTTCAAAAAACCGGCCATCAAAAAACAAATAGTGTCATAAATCACTAAGACTTGTTAGCTAATCATTTAAAAATCGATTATAAATAGCTATCAAGTTAATCTTTAATAAGAAGAGCCAGTATCTGCATGAAAAATGTATTCGGAAATGAGTTCTTTTTCGCGAGAAAGTAATTAAGCCATCATCAGACTTTTTCATCAGTTCGTTGTCCGCCAACCAGCTGGCAGACAGACTCGTTACAAGGTGGGCGGGGTAATTAAAATGGCAAAAATAAATACCTATTAAGAACGTTTACACTGATTGACACTTTAAGGCAATTTCCGGCCATAATTCCATGCCACAAAACGGTACCTCAAGAAAGTGTTTCCTCCACGCAGGCAACGCAACCAAAACCAAATGTCGAGCTATCGATTTGTGAAACGGGTTCCCAGCTTCGAGGGTTCCGGTGGGGAGTGTATTTAGGCCAAGAGGTGTGACACGCTTTGCATTAATTTGAAAATTTTCGACTGTTCCCCCTTTAAGTCGAGGAGCCTGGCCCAAAAGGCACTTTAAGTCTTGAAAATTACTTGGCCATTTGGCGTGTAAGGAGGTGCTAAGCAGCCCAGATATTGAAGTTATTTGAAAAGTTTCAACTTGGATTGGTTAACCAAAGTAGCAGGCGCACATTAAGTAGTTTTGAGGCGAAAGTTTGGCGGTTTAATTATGATTGCGGCAAATTATAGTATTTAGCCATTAAGTCTCAGTAATAAAGGGTTCTATAATCGTGAAACTTTCAACTTTAGATTAGAGATTCAAAAAATATTTAATATGGATAGAGCTATTCCTTCTTTATAACTGTTCAACATGGCGTATGGGTAATGTGTTTCATGGTAGACATTTTGCATCCTTCATTTTGTATATATTATAAAGTATTTATAAAAGAGGACAACTTTGATGTATCCATTTTTTTGCACAGAATATTTTAGCAATAAAATGTTCAATCAATCTGTAGCGACTGACTAGACAACTAGGCAGCGTCACCTGACATCAATCCTGCCTCCTGGTTGACAGCTCTCCGCCATATCCTGTTCCAAACTCACTGTTGTGGTCGACATAGCTGCCACATGCGTCTGCCTTTTGCTTCACGGCCTGGATGTGTCTAGTCATGGCATTTTCTAGTCATGGAATTCGTTCATTTCTGCGTATTCATGTGGTACGTTGCTGTACGTTTAAAACACAATCGGAATGTTGCTGTCTATGACTAAAATATGCTTAACAAATTAGTCTAATTTGTACAAGACGGGATGTCTTGGAAAGGGAATTCTGATTTTTTTTGTGGGCTAGATACGAGCAATGGAATTTATATGCTTTGGGTTTTAAACGATTACAGTTTTGAACCTTTAAAGCTTCAGCTTTTCGTTATTACAGTTTTAATTAATGGTTATTATTTCATTAAATGATATGGATGACAATTTGCATAAAGAGGCAATGTCACTGTGGGGAAGGATATTTCTATAGCAATTGTTGAACATACCACCTATTAAGTTTAATAGATTCCGATAGGAAAACGATTGTAATTGAATTACTGATGTATTGTTCCATTATTTTAAGTTCAATAAAGCTTGAGGTTTTTTAATATTATATTTTTGATTACAACAATTTGAAATATTTTTTAGTATTTAATCAGGGTTTTTAAGTTATACCTGTACATGGTAGCAACCGATAATTCTAACTATTCTATCTAATCGGTCACACTGCCGTTGAGAGAAAACCTTGGAGCTCGATCGTATAGTGGGGTCTGATATTGGGCTCTCATTTATAGCATTGCCTCTCAGTTTTAAAGATAAGAAACGTAAAAACAAAAACAGCTGTAGGGCCATAAAAACAAGTGTCTTAAATCGATTTTATGATTAGATTGAGATTAAAAAAAAAACTAGAACACGAATGGAGAAACTATAAACTCACACGTTTAACTATAATAATTAAAAACCCAATCCAATAATTTATGTTAATTTATTCAGAGTGTTCAATTGCTGCATGTAAACTGCTTTTGACGATAATTAACTTATTTTTTTAAATGTAATTTTAAAAAATTAAAAATTCAACCAGTATAATGAGCCAGGGGAAATCTATTCTTTGTGTGGGAAACACTGTGATCGATTTTGTGACTATATCTCAAAGCTATCCCAAAGAGGACACCGATCGTCGCTGCCTGGATGGATTCTGGCAGCGAGGAGGAAATGCCTCCAATGTGTGCACGGTTTTAAGGGCTCTCGGGTCTAAAGTGGACTTTTTTGGAATGTTGAGCAAGTCGGTGGCATTTCGGGCATTGATAGAGGACCTTCGGAAAAGAGAAATCGGCACGAACCACTGCCCAGAAACAGAAAAAGATCCTCCCTTCTCTTCAATAATTCTAGCCCAGGACTCTGGCACTCGTACCATAATACACTGCAACAAAAACTACCCAGAGCCCACTTTTGAGGACTTTAGCAAAATCGATCTCTCCCAGTACGGGTGGGTGCACTTTGAAGCCCGCAATCCGAAGGAGGTTTCCAAAATGATCCAGAGCATACGGGAACACAACAAGAAAACCAGTCAGAAGATCACCATATCCCTGGATTTCGAGACGAGATACGACCAGAACCTAGAACTATGTCAGCCCTGCGATATTGTGGTCTTCTCCAAGGAGTTGGCTGCCCAGAAGGGGTGGGAATCCGCTCGGGAAACGGTGGAAGGACTCGCTGCCGATATTTCCGGAAATGGTGAGAAGCCCGTGATCATATGCCCCTGGGGAAGTCAGGGAGCGGTGTGCCTGGATGCCACTGGGGACTTTCACAATATAGCAGCCTATAAGCCCGAAAAGATAGTGGACACACTGGGTGCTGGAGACACCTTTATGGCAGGACTCATCTACGCCTCGTTTGTGGACCAACGGTGTCTTACGGATGCCATGGATTTTGCCAACTGGGTGGCTGGCCACAAAATCTCCGATTATGGGTATGATCATATTACAAAAATTATTGAAACTTCAAGCAGAAAACTTCCGACGAATTTATAAGAAAAGCAATATTAGAATAATAAAAAAACCTCCATGTAATCCTTCAAAAACTCTGGAGCATAAGAAGATTTTGGAAATAAACAGCGCTTATGTATTCTTACAAATTTTATAAACTTGTCAAATTCATTATGAATATATTATAATTATTTCGTGATTATTTGATGGGCAGATACTTTGATTTATTGTTGGTCTGCTGGGGTAATATCCAAGTCGGAAATCAAGAGTTCATGGCAGGATGAGTCTTTAGGCCCTCGGCTTTCTTGAGGTGCCCTTCTTCCTATCTAGGAGCCACACGTTGGTGTCTATGTAAACTTCATAAAGTCCCCTCTGAGGTCATCCTTATCCGATGCGTTTGGCATTGGCATTATGCCACTCGAAACACTGCCGGTTTGTTGCTGACTATTTAACCCTTCAATGAGCTGGAAATATTTAAGAAATATTGTTTAATAAAGTATATAGGCTTTCGAAAAATTGAGTCATCACCTTCTCTCTTAGACGCTTTAATTTGCGCAGCCTCTCCAGCCAATTCGATGCATATGGGTGCTTTTTCTGCACACTTGTGTATACTAGGGAAGCGAGCTGCAATACATAATTTAAATATTAAATAAAAATGAATAATTAAACTATAATTTATGTGTACATTAGCATGAAGAGCCATTTGACGGGCCAGCAGAGGAGCACTGCGGTCGGAAACAATCCTAGGTTCTGGATGGCATACGAATTTCGAAATCTCCGAACGAGCCTTCACATAAACCCTATTGGAGTTTAGCTCCAGTGGCTCCACAATCACACAAGCGTAGTTAAACTGGCCCTGTAATAAAAAACAAACCAAGAATTAGTTAGAATTAGCTTTTTTTTTAAACAAAAGCCTTGATAACCTACGGATATTGTATTCAGATTGTACTCCTCGCCGCTCTCGTTGTAGATAATCTTCACAAAATCATTGCCAATGTAGCTCTTCTTCACATTGCAATTAGGATCATCTTGCAGGTTGGTGGGCATCAGGGTAGCCACATGGAAGGTAACCTTTAAAAGGAAATGAAAGGGTTTTAAAGGAAATAGTTATCCAAGTCTTAGCCCCTACAAACCTGCAGAATTTCATCCTTCCAAATGTAAGCAAACTTTCCATCTGCTCCATTCCTGTCCAGCATTATGAAAAGGTTGTTCTGCTCCGCTTCCTTCAGGCTAATCAGGGTGCCTATGTTGCGCAGGAACTCTACATACCGAGAACTTCCGTGGCTGTTTCGCAGAATCTCGACTTCGTTGTTGCACTGCCCTTGGCCCACATATAGTACGCCGATCTTGTGCGTCTCGAATGGAGGAACCAAGTCGATCAGATTCACAGCACTAGCATTCTCCGGGCCGACCTTCAGCGGTTCATCTGTCACTCCCAACTGTCCGGTTGAGTACAGCTGCAGGAACACAAAGCTGGGATTCATGCAGAGCTTGGTGTTGCTGGGACGCTTGGCTTGGCCGAAGTTACGGAAGGTGCTGGCCGGTGGAGGTCGTGAGTTTCCGTTGTTTACCTCCCGGACTACTGAAATGGTTTTCGAACGCCCTCGCATCATGTCTCCGTTGCCATTATTCCCGTTGTCGTAGTCCGAGGTGATCACACCGACATTGGAGCCATTACCGCCAACGGTGGACGAAATGCCCAGAGGACCAGGATGCGGGACAGAAGTGCCACTGAAGCTGGTGACCCGCATGGGCTGCTGGCCGGGCGAGAGCGGAGGTTTACCAAGCTTCAGGTTCGACCCGCTAGCTTGGAGAGCGATTTTGGTGCCGCTTACCTGACTGCTGACATCATCCGCCGAATGCTGCTTTGGGGGCAGAGTGGCAGTCTCCGGTTGCAGGGCTTGTCCAGCAGCCTGGGCTGGCGGCGTGGATCCAGCTATCTCCTCCGGAATGGCCTCACAGCTCACGCGCATGTCCTTGGTGCTGTACTGAACATTTTTCTTCTTCAGGGTGAGCTGGGATTGCGGCTCATCGGCGACGGCTTTGGCAATCTCCTGTGACAGGGGGGCCGGTTTGTTGGAAAGGAACGCCTGCCTCCAACTGGAGCTCATCTCCGGACTGGAGTTCACGCGCCGCACAGGATTCCTGGCACGGCTCTGAGAATCCTCAAATGCCAAGGAATCATCGTCTGCCTCGCCATCGCTCACGCTGCCACACAGAGCCGCCTCTTTACCACGTTTACCCGCCGCTGAAACTCTAGGAATGGGAATGGCAGCTGCTCCTCCGCTGGTGGATGGATTTCCGTTGCCGTTTCCACCGCCGTTGCCATTCCCAACAGAGTGAATCTCCTCTTGGCGCTGCAGGGCTCTGGCCTTAGCCACCATCCGACTGCGAATGGCACTGGCCTGGGGTGCTGTCACAGGATTAGACTCCGGCTCGGGCTCAGGATCAGCCAGAGGCGTTGGAGGAACTTGCATGGCGTTGTCCGGTCCAAAGACACCTCCATGGGCAGTGGGCAAAAACAATGAAACCACATTATTGAAAGGCAGATCCTGACCGAAGCAGTCAATGGTGATGGGATTTTGGATGCGGGTCAGCCACGAAATGTTACCAGTGGGCCGACGGATGAGGATTTCCGCCCATCCGGTACACGCACGAACGCAAACAGGTTGCTGGACCACGGATCCCGACGAGGGGCTCATGCTGACCGAAGACTGCGACAGGGAGTTGCCCAGCAGCGAGGTGTTGCTCCCCGTATGCGGTCCATCGCCCATGCCGCTTCCCAATGCTTCTGGATTTGATCCCCGACGCGACAGTGCATCCAGGGAAGCGGTGGAACTATTGGAGATCTGTCTATGCGGATGACCGCCGGATGACGAGGAGGAGGTAAGCTCCGTACTGCCCGCAGACTCGTTGCCACTACTGTGCTGCAGGCTCACCTTGGTGTAGCGTCGTTCACGCTCCGGGGAGAGTGGCGGAGCAGCATCGCTGAGGCTCTTTGAATTCAGGCTGATGCTAGGCGCCTTACCCAATTGGGCACAGCGCTCGCACAGACCGCTACGCGTCGGAGCCGACGGACAGCCGGAGGTGGTGATGGTCACGAGGTTGTGGCCCACTAACCATGTCTGCGAAACACCATCCTTTAGTAGGAACTCGGCGGCAGGAAGACTGTAATGCGGAAGTATAAGTTTCTAAAATTTAAAAATAAAAGGGTTCACTTACCGCTTGGGCATTGATGGACACGGGGAGTAGGTATGCCTGGCCAGAAAGTCGAAGCATGTCTCCGCCAATTCGTGGTGGAAGGTACGCAGGACATTATTCATCTGCGGTCGCATTTCCAGATCGTTGCGAGCGGTGGCGTTGTTTCGACTGCCTCGTTCTGTAAGACTGGTGCTCCTCTTCCGGTTCGACGAATCCTCGTTATGCGAATTCAGATTCACAATGTCGCTGGATAACATCTTGGCATTCGATTGCATGGACTGTAATCAAAAATTGATTTGAGAAATTTCAAGCATCCAGACAACAATGGAAGTTACTTACATTTTTGATATAACTCACGCAATTCCTGCGCAGCTCCAGCTTACACTTGAGAAACCATCCGGCGATAACATGGTGGGCCAGTGACACCGTATAATGATCATAGCGATGGGGTTTCGTGTACGGCAGCGAAATGGCGAAGACGTACATGTTGTGCATGGAGGTGAAGTTCGTAAATAGATGTTTGGACAGATGAATAAGAACTACAAAGAGGGTTTATTATATAGAGTACTATAAGAGATCCTCTGTTCTTACGAGAAAGAAACTCCAGAACCGGAATGGCCAACGCATTCGTGTCGGACATCTTGCTCATTTGCAGGAGCACATCCGGCAGCTTGCGCATTAGGGCCTCCGGCATTTCCAGAATCAGAATTGTCATGGTATTGATACAGACTCCGGCTATTCCGGCCAGGACCCGTGAGTTAAGGGCCGCAATAATGCTGTTATGCTGCGGTGGCTGCAGGCATTCGTGGTAGATGACCAGCGAGGCGATCGCGGGCAGGACAAGGGAGTGAAACTCGTCGGTGGGTCGCTTGAACTTGTTGTTGCTAACGGAGCTGATCTTGAAGAGGGCACTGGCCAACTCCTCAATGTCGTTTCCCTGGACCAGCGCCTTGTTTTGCAGCACCTTTGGCAGTTCCTTGATGACCAGTTGGAACACCTGAAAGTCAGACTCCTGTTCCAGGCAGCGCACAATTAGCTTGAACACCCGGCGAATGGATATCGCCGTGGAATGAGGCTGCGGCAGCAGAGGTGAGTCGATGCCCAAGTGATGACTAAACTTGACCACCTCGTTGCTGCCCTCTGGATAGCCAATGTGGAAGGAGCCGTTGGCGCGTGCCTTCAACACCCAGGTGAAAATCTGAAATGGATAACATATTCAACAACCATTTCGGCAGTTTGTGGGTTAAAGGTTTCTCACTTTGAAGCGCACAACGCTGGTCTGTTCGAAGATCTTTGGTCGGACGTAGTGCAGCTCCAGGTGGTCCATAAGAATGTAGAATATCTTGAGGGCGTGCGTCGCGGGCAATCGATGCAATTTGATGGCAAAGACCTGGACTAGACCATCGACGGCGGCAATGATGTCTGCAATCTCCGATTCAGTGTTGATGACACCAACGGCCACATCCGGCAGACTGGCGTTTTCGTGGCGCGTGTGCTCGAAGGGTCGGTTGATGATCGCCTCCAAAATGTCTAGCAGATCCATACACCACTTCGTGTCGCAGTGATGGGCAAAGTTGGAGAGAGCCCGGGCCACTGCCACGCGCACTTGGACATTCGGCTCTTGATGAATCTGCGAGAGGTGGGCCAGAACCACTCTGCTGAGGATCTCCTCTTCGTAGCAGGCTCGGTTCTGGTCCATGATCCGAACCAGTGCCTCGATCGTCTTAATGCGCACATTCACATTCGACATGCGGTAGTATCGGCGGACGAACAAGGCCAGCACCTGGAGCCACTCCGGCCGCGTGGCCGTCACCCTGCGAGATCGATACTCAATGAGCGCCAGAACCGAAGCCTCCGGCCTCCGATCCGCCACCCGATCGATAAGATCATAGATGCGCTCCACGTTGCCCAGAATCTGAGAGGGATCCTGCTGCAGCAACTTCTCAATGCAGTCGATGTTCTCGTGGAAGTTGATCTGCAGGTGGTGCAGGCGATCCTTGTTAACATTCGATGATTCGTAGTACTCTATATTGCCAATAATGGCCGACATTATGTCGCAGATTCTGTCCCAAATGATCTCCGACAGCTGTCGCTTGTTAATCACCATCCGGGCGCTAAGGATCACCTCAAACGTCACGATCACTTGGCGACTGTCCAGAGCCTATGAAAATTACATCATTTTATAAATAAATCCATCGTTTCAATCGATGTAGCTCACCCGCAAAAATGCAGTCAGCACATTCGTTGCATAGGTCATTGGCGAGACCTGAAAGATAATGCTCGATCCAAAAATGTTCATGTTGAGATGAAATACAGCCCCGCGCAGCAGATGGGCGTCATCGTAGAGAGAGCGGTCGTTGAGGATGCTGCACATAAGCTTCATGGAATGGTAGCCTAGCTGGGTGCCCAGTAGGTTTTTCATTATCTGGAAGATTGTAGAACATACTGATAAGTACTTATTTAAAAACTTTAGGAAATACTCAAAATTCAGAGCCAAAAAAAATTGTAATAATTTCAAAAAAATGAAGAAACAAATAGTGAAGGAGTTCATCACCGTAAAAAAAGTTAGGTATTTGCCACCGGAACCTGAGGAGCCTCCACCACCACCACCACCGCCCAAAAGGTGGTGCCTTGCCGTTGGATCCTGCTCGCTGGACATGATCACGATTGTGAACGACCGGCTCGTGCCTGGCCAAGTAGCACGCACCACGGACGGGTCCTGGCGGCGGGGCGGACCAGCTGCCAATATTTGCACGGTTTGGCGACGACTGGGCATGGAGTGCGAGTTCCTGGGCGTCCTCAGCCGGATGGGCGCGTTTGAGAGCCTACGTCACAGTTTCCAGTCGGATAACATTGAAATCTCGAACTGTCCCATGACCAATCACCATCCTCCGCATAGGAGCATCGTTGTGCAAAGGAACACCGACTTTCGCACTGTCCTGGAGTTTGCCGACAGACGCCAGGAGCTAACCTACCAGCAGTTTGTGGGTGCGGTGGATTACCAAAAGTACTTGTGGATCCACTTTGAGATGCGCCTGCCCGACCAGATTAGGAAGATGATTTTGGCTGTGCGCGACTTCAACGAACGTTGCCCCGAATCGAAGATCACAATCTCCACCGATGTGGATAACATGAATCCAGACACCATGCTCGCCGCCAGCATGGCGGACTACGTTTTCATTCGGAAGGCCGTCATGCACAAGTATGCCTACGTGAACGGTCGGGAAACCGTCTGCGCCGCCAGGGAAAAGATGGTATTTGAAAGGAAAAAGTATGAGAAGTCCCTTCCGCCTAAGAATCCCTATGTGCTGCCCGACGAACTCACGGAGGACGAACTTTGTCAGCCTGCAGAGTCCAATCAACCCATTATCACATACAACAACTTTCAGGATGGAGCCAGCTGCCTGCTAAAAGATGACACCTTCCTTAAGGTCGCTGCCCAGACTCCGGCCAAAATGGTGGACGTGAACGGGAACAGTGACACCTTTGCTGCATCCGTGATTTATGCTCTGCTGATGGTGAAGATGTCCATACGAGATGCTCTGGAATATGGCGCCCGAGCATCGGCGCTCAAGGTAACCGCTGAGGGATTCGACATAATGCGATGCATGCCCAAGGATCTCGTCAAGTGCTACTATGCTTAAGCTATATATGTTGCTTTTCTTCTCTAGAATTAATAAATAATTAAGCAAAAATTAACTATTACTTTAACCTAAACTAGTCTTATACCACATGTATCTCCAATAAAGAAAAGAAAGTTGAGATAACAATGTCTATCAACCTTGGCCTAAGGTCACTTATTGGGAAGTGTGTCACCGGCCCTGTTACTATTTTGGTAACCTCTCAGAGGCCTTGGAATCTGGAAAAACACCACCTAGACGATGATCAGATCTGGCGGGGTAATCAACCCCCAGAGGAGCATGTCCAACGATAAGGGGCCCTGAAGTCACCGGAACCCGATAAATTCTCCGTAAAGTATAGACTCAGATACAGGCTGGAAATTCTCATTAGTATTAATAAACAAATGTTGGTGCAATCTTCGGCAGCGATTGCCGAATCAGATAATGAGCTGATAAATCCCCGCCTACAGGAAGACATAAAAAGCGAAGTATCTCCCAGTCAGCACCGCATTCGACGGATTCTAAGCGTAAAACCACCTCCAGCGAAAATGGAGAGTAAGTAATCGTCACCTTTGGATAAATTCTTGAAAGTGGAGTTCAAGTCATAAATTCTTTAATTTTTCAGAACAATTTCTAATAGTGTATGTGCTATGGAGCATCTCAGCATCGGCGATAGCCGATTCGGATATTACGGCTCTGTGCAAGATTGCGAAACCTTGGACATTCGTACCCAACAAACAGCACTGTCAAAAATTCTACCTTTGCACTGGGGCGGAGGAGGAACCCTTCCAGGAGTATAGTTGCCCGACAGGCCAGTACTTTAACGATCAACTCAAGATCTGTGTACGAGGAGCTTGCTCCACTGAGAGCGTAGAGTGCGAGATTGAAAACAGCGTAGTCCGAAAACGGGATGACTGCTCAAAGTATTTGACATGCATGGAAGGAGGTGCCCATGCCGTATCCAGCTGTCCGTCTGGAACGTACTTCGATCCCGGCAGGAGAGCGTGCCTGCCTGTGGCCGTTAATGCGGCCCACCAGTGTAGCTGCGTTCTCCCGGAAAACGCCACTTTGTCCAATCCTAACGATTGCGAGACCTATTTCCGGTGCCAGTCTGGAGAGGCTGTTCTGGTTCAGTGCCCACCTGGAGAATATTTTGCAGTGAGCGCCAACACCTGCCTTCCGGATCTCACTGGCATTTGTCTTGAGAAGCCAACTCTGCCACCTGGCTTATCGCAACAGGCCCAGGCTTTGGATGAGTGTGTCCGCACCGGAAGTCGACTGGCGCCGCATAGCCGCAACTGTCAGAGGTACTTTATTTGCACTCGGAAAAAGGTCCTGGAAATGCGTTGCCCCAGGGGCCAGTACTTCGATGTAGTGCACAAATACTGTAGCCTAGATTCGAGAAATGAATGCCAGGGATTGGAAGCTGAGAAGGAACTACTGCAGGTGCCGAACAGCAAAGCACAAAAGGAGGTCCAGAAGGTGAAGCAAAAGCCAAAGCCAAAGGAGACCCAGAAGCAGGTGGAAACAAAAGAACCACAAGCGGATGCTCCTCAGATGGAAATTTCTGCCAAGCAACCTTTACCAGAGCAAGAGGCCGTGAGCAGCTACGACAAGTTCTCTTCCAAGTTTATAACATTTCTCAGAGGTTAACCTAAAGCATATCATTAATGTTTCTTAATTACTAAAAATAAATATTTAATCGAACATTTTGAAAATATTCAACTTTCAAATTGGAAATTATATCCAGGACTTTCATTTAGATTAAAAGTCCTTACATTATTAGTTACACCCACCTTGAATGATGATGGGCAGTATGGTGGATAATTCACAGTCCGGCACAACGTGGATATGCACTGCGGCAGCGGCTCACTCGGAAAGATGGTGTATCCGATGACCATCTCGAGGATTGTCAGGCACTGAAGGCCGATCTCGTCGACGGTGACAGTGATGCTCAGCTCGCAGGCATTCCTTTCGAAAAAACCGAAATCTTGAATAACTCAAGTTCTAATCTGCAAGCAAATAGTCACCCACTGCACGATTCCCACGAGTATATCCTTGTCCAGATGGGCGGCGTTAAACTTGATCAGATTGACCAATATGTCAAGATAGGGGCTGAGCAGATTTGCCTCCTTAATAGCTGGGATCCAGAGAAGCATGAACTTGCCAATCTGAAAAAACGCGGTTATTTAAACCCAAAAATAGTTTAAAAAGAATAAACCTTCTCTTCGAAATTGGTAATGTCCTTCCCGTTGTCCGTAAGGGTGTCTAGAAGCTCGAGCAAGTGACGTAGGTCCTCCCGAGCCTCGTGATTCTGGATTACCAAGAAGAACTTCTCCCGCATCAGGGTTAGATTCTTGTACTGGGTGTGGATGAGTCGCTTGTAGAAGCTCAGGGCGGTCTGGCGCGTCTCGGCAGGCTTGTTGGGCACAATGAGATCGTTCGTGAGATTCCACAGGGTTGTGATGGAGGTCTGTCAAAAAAAATTAGAAAATAAGATGATTCCTACTGGCCAATCTTTAAAGACGCACCTCATCGAAGTTGAATTTGTGCAGATGCATGTCGCCCAGCTCTTTGAGCATTCTGCATCTCTGAGCCACCGGTTGCTCCGGCCGCAGCTCCCGTTCGAAGTCCGTAGGCAGGCTCCGCTCTCCCACGTAACCTGCAACGAATAAGGAATTCCATCAGTGGAGACCAATTGGATTATTTTGGGTTCCTTTGTTACCAGCCGGCATCGTCTTCAGGAACAGCTTAAACTTGGACTTGTCCTTGGAGCTCATGGTAGTTCGTTGTCTGGGGCGGTGGTCAGAAAGGTTTTTCGAAGATCGTGGAACCAGTAATCCCTTTCTTAGATCCTAATAACAATATAATCACATCACACAGAACAGATTTTACCCATTGCCCATGTCTGAAAACAGTAATGCCAGACAGTCTGAAATTCCGAGACTTGGCAGCCCTAGCCGAAGCCTTTAAAAACATTAGAATCTGATGGAATTATATTTGGAATGGCTTTAATACTTGGATCATAAATTATAATATATTTTTTATTATTATAGTTTTTTATTAAAATAAAATATTTATGTTTTTCCCCCTGTTGTGAAGTGATATCGGTTTTCACATCGCCTATCGAATAGTCTGATGTCCGATGTTCCATCCCTGGCAGTAGCCTTGCATCATCTCTCAGCGCGTCTATAAAGTGTTAAAATAATTTTACTTTGAATTGCCTTGAGAAATTTAGTCATTTTTAGAGAAAGCACACAAACCGAATTTAGTCTATTACATTGCATAAATCATCAGCTTTTGTTGCAAATCACAGTAGCTGCCGTTTAGCCGGATTCTGGTTCGCTAATTGGCAAAGGAGACGAAAAAGCACAAGGGTGAAGAACAAAAGGAGGTGGAAAACAACAGTTAATCGTCAATTTTTACGGCAAAGGTGAGGAACTACGCCTTACCAACACATTCACACAGACGGCTCTTATCGCAGCCGTATTGGTGGTGTATATAAAAATTAAAACAATATTTGCACATCCGATTATTACTATAATATTTGCGTGCAGTCGACGTCGGTTTCATATATTAGCGAGTATGTGCGTATGTGCCCTGGATAGTATGTGCGTGTGAGTGTGCGCGCGAGTGTATGTGATGAAATGCAATTTTATCTTGGCATTTTGCGCGCCTCCGAGATTGTTCACACGCTGGTGCTCTTGTTACCCTTGTGATTACGATTCCAATTCCGTTTCTGTTTTCCTTTCCGTCCGATTTTCTGTTGTGGAAAAGCGGTGTCGCCATTTTTCGGCCCGGGTATTCGTAGCAATCGATTCCGTCCCCCCAAGGTGTCCGAACGGAGAATAGCGACCGTTACTTTTTAACCGGTTTCTCTGATTCGAACCTCGGTATTTTAGCCGGTATACGAGAGAGCTCTTTGCTTTTAATCGATTATCTTCGATATGCGTTTCTAAAAACTATGTTTTATTCCAGCAAATAAATAAAACATGAGCTCAACGGAGGAAAACAGCAACAGCCCGGCCACCACGCCCCAGGACAGTGAGCCCGCGGAGCAGGCCAATCTGACGGATCTGGAGAAGATTGAGGAGGAGAAACTGAAGTCGAAGTACCCAGGTGGCATGCGAGTGCCCGGCGGTCACTCGGCCTTCCTTCAGAAGCGACTGCAAAAGGGGGTTAGTTTCAAAATCATCCTAATTAGCTCATTGACGTACTAAATCTGAAAATTTTCGACCCACAGCAAAAGTTTTTTGACTCAGGAGACTACCAAATGGCCAAGCAAAAGGGTGGTGGCGTCAAGCAGGTCTTTGCGAACAAGGTGACCACCGGAGAGGCTATACCCACACCCGAGACGGTGCCAGCGCGCAAGACATCGATCATTCAGCCTTGTAACAAGTTCCCGGCGACGAGCTAATTTACTCACTCTAACCAGAAACCTCAGATGCGGTCCCCCTGTTCCCACTTTAAATGCTCTATACCTAATTTTAAAAAATCTATTGCTAAGATGGCTGCTGGCTGCTGCCGGATGGCAGGCATTTCACAGATTAACAATCTGAACTTGCAGCTCCGTTTACCACAGTTACCAGTCCTTTGGCCGGCTTCGCTTTTGGCCAATCTCACGATCCGCGATCGAGTCAACCAGGTCATTCATCTCTCAGGCCGGAGAAGCGAAACTAGGCAAGTCGAGCAGCGTGAAATTAATTGCAACAGTTATATATATATATCTCTATCTGTGTAACATTAACATAACTTACCCTGATCGTACGTAGTTGTAAGTATAACGAGCATAATAAATTTAAGTTGGAGCCAGCCACACGTATTGTTCTCGTATATTGTAAAGATCCAAACAGAAAATGCATGCTCGTTGCTGTTAGCAGGATCAATTAACTTTTCATTTTGGTCGGAGGCGAGATAAGATGAATCTTTCGCGAGTAATGAGCTGAAATAAAATTGTATGTACGTACTACCTACATATGTATGAAATGTGATTTCGTGGGGCGCTAAACTAACAACTAACTGAATCGGGAAATGTTTATTTAAATGATAAGTGACTGGTTGGCAAATCACCTAATTAGCTTGAAAACATTCTGACGAGCACCTTTCGTAATTGGTTAACCAAATTGTCAGGCCACAATTGAAATCACTAGCCATGACAGCCGTGAGTGTTTTGCTCACACTTTTGGTTCCTGCATTTGCCATCCAAGCTTAATCCAAAACCGAAACAGAAGCTTCGGCTTCGCGATGAGATAATATATTTCAGTCTTATTCTTGTATTGCTGTTTAAATGTGGATGTCAATAGAACAGAAATGAGAAAAAATAGTTTGTAATTAGTGGTCGGAAACTTAAAAATATATACTCAAAAATATCTATTCAAAATTTTAAAATGAAACTATACAAATGAATTATTCTTCTGTGGAAACCGAATACTACACCTTATACAATTCGACAATTTTAATAAATTCTTGTTCTTATTTTTTAAAAAAAAAAAAGCTGTTTAAAAATAAAGGCATAACTTTAAAGTTTAAAAAATGCTGCTGGCAAAAGCCCGCCAAATTTTTAAATTTGTGGTATTTTTTGTATGGTAGAAAAATACCATCAATTTTATTCGCGATGCATGGCAACCCTAGTGGTCTCTATGTATGTGTTCATCAGTTGTTATGTTTGGTTTCCGATTCAAGTAAATATCCTTAATCTTGTGCATTTAAATCAAATCCAAATGGATGCCGAGGTTGAGTGCAGCCGAAGTGTACCTGACTTGGTCACCCACCTGGCGACACTGCTGTTGAAAAAGGAATTAGCTCCAAAAATGCCAACAGCTGCCGATGTCGCAAAAAAGCGCACCAGGATATACGAGGCCTTGTTCTTGAAGGGGAGCCTGTCCACTGAAAGTAAGCTGGAGTTGTTTAATGATGTCTGCCGAGAGCTGGAGGATGATTGCAAGCTTCGAAAGAGTTTAAAGGATCTGCAAGTTCTAATGGGCGACCGGACTTTGGAGGAATCTGTGGAAACCGAGGATGCAGAGAACGACAGTGCTAAAAATAAAATAAGGGTGCTCCGACCAGGACCCCTACGACTGGTTGAATCCTATGAAACCGCACAGGAGTATATGGAAAACCGATTTTCGACCGTGCTTAATTCCGTGGACCAAATGAAGCGGGCTCTGAAACCGATTCAACTAAAACCCTACACCAATTACATTCGGATGAATTCAATATCCAAGCCACCGGAACCACTTGGAGTAAAGTTCCAGCCTCCAAAAACATCGGCGTTCTCGGGCATTGCTGAATCCATGGCTCGCATACGAAACTCTAAAGGTCCTAGTCAAATTTTACCTTTTCGAATGCCAATTCTTAAAAAAAAGCAACCATCTGTGGAGAAAGAACCAGAATTTATCTGTGATCCAAAGACACAAAAGATCTTCCTGTCCGATCAAATGCTGACCAACGAATTAAAGCTGTATGCCAATAAAGATCTTGTCCTCAACTATGTTGAGGAATCTGTCCTGATTGAGCACTTGAAAAGGGCTGCAGCTGGTCTTCAGTCTGAAACAATTATCATTTCTCCAAAAGATTCACATAAGCTACTGGTTAAACCCAACATCGCCCTGCGAACTGTGTTGCCAGAAGTGGTGGCGGAATTCGCGGATCCCTTCCTGCGGTCAGGACGAGCCCTCCGACGCTTAAGTGCACGCGTCAAACGCAGCAGACATGTGGTGACTCGATTGGAAAGGCCCGTCACTCGGGTAGGTTCTTGATTTAAAAGATTTTTCAAGTAATTTAATATTTTTTTAATTTCAGGCCCTACGCGAAGCTATAGTGGAATTTATTTCAAACAGCCGGCATTTTCTACTTTCCATTCGTGCCAACAGCATAATCCATCTACTGGATTATAGTCTTCCCACTATGCTGCTGCTCCAGCACTTGGAGAAAATGTTCTATCATGAACCAAGGCGTAAGTAAATTGAGTTTCTTTTTAAAATGTATTGTAAACCTTTTATTTGTAAAGTCAATTTGGATGGTGACGTTACTGGCCCGTTTCTATTGAGCTGCATATGGTCGGCCATTGATAATTGCAGCAACAGCAACTTCCTGCAACTCCTCATTTACCTGCTGCGATGCCTTTGCCAGACCTACTTTGTCCATCTGAAGCGGTGGCTTTTTCAGGGAGAGCTGGATGAGACCATGAACGAGATCTTCATCACCAGAAGCCTGAATAATTCGCACATGGTGTTTGATGAGGGCAGCAAGGAGTTTTTCGATCGGGGCTATATGGTTATTAAAGAATCCGTTCCGAATTTTTTGAGTGGCTGCGAAGACGACATTCTGCAGTGTGGAAAGTATAATCAAGTGCTTAAGGCTTACAATCCTCAGGTATGGCTTAATAGCCTTATGAAAAAAAATTATAATTACTTAGTAATGTGTCATCTAGCACCCCGTGTTCGATGTGGAGCTGCCGGAGTTAGTAGTCTGCCTGGAAGAACAGCAGCTTAAGGAGACGCGACGCAACCTGGCGGAGAAATACTCCGCTATATATCAACGCTTTGGGTGGTGCAGCATGCAGAGTATCTTTGAGGAGCGCATGGCCGCCAAACGAAGTTATAAAAACCTTATGGTGGAACGTACGCAAGCTCATTTGGCCGCCTGGGAGGAACAGCAGCAGATTCTCCTGCTTGAATCGAATGCCCAGAAGAAGCTGCGCTATGAGGAGTTCAATAAGCAGAAGGCGCTTCAGGAGAAACTTCGTTTAGAGCAGCGCCGTGAGGAAGTCGTCCGGGAGATGGCGTTTCAAGCCGAATGCGAGCGGATGGAAGACCGAAAATGGGAACAACTAAAACCTGAGCTTGAAAAGGAAGTGGGTGTTCTCCAGATGGAATTAGAAACAGATAAAGAGTCCCACGGGATGGTCAGTCCAGTTGCCAGCATAAACAGTGATCGAAGTTTCGTATCCTGCCAGGAAGGACCAGATTCCCAACATAATTCTTCTGTTGAACATAACGAGGAAGGCTTGGAGAAGGAAATGGAGGCGACGGATGACACAGAATCTGAATTTTTGTCAGCCAGGGGAGTTCCATACAACCGCACAGTGTCGGATGTGGTGAACTCCAATGAGGAGCCCATCCTCCAATCGGAGCTGAGTCGCAATCGCCAGCATATGCAATCTTCGGAGCAGTTCCAGGAGTGCCAAACATGGGTCAAACTCAATCAGCAATCAAAGAGTCAGAGAACAGAATCAGATGCCCCACTGCCCTCCGATCTCAATGCAAATGTATCGGAACCTCTAAGTGAACTGCAAATCAACCGTTTACGGATGAACCATCATGATCCTTTCGAATCCTTCAACTCCACCGAGGATGAGCACATCAAGCGAATGCAGATTAGTTTGGCGTCGGAAACGGAAAGAGCTCGGAATCGGCGGCGGGTGATGGATAGTGAATATAATATTATCCTAGGCGAAGCTTGGACCAAAAAGAGCAACAACAGCATGAGCCTCCCTCTGGAAAACAACAAGTTGCATGTGGATGTGTCGTTAGCAATGCTCACCCCCATGTCCACAACTTCCGATGCAGACATTGGAAGCCTAACACCCGCCAAAGACACTTCTGATTCATCCAACAAAGACGAAGCAAACAACAATAACCAAGAAATCGGCGACCATAGATCTCCAATAACAAAGAAAAAAGTACCTGATTTCTTGGGTCAGCTCGCGGCAAGCTTTAAACCTACTTTTCTGCTACCCACCAATGACATCTTAACATGCAACACAAAAACACAAACAGGAAAAGCAGACAAAGGACCTACATTTTCAAAGTTACCAAAGAATTGCAATCCTTTCATGATCCGCCGATGCTTACAGCTCTCCGTAATGGCTCCTGTCAACGCCCACTATGCTCTTCTTCGCAATGAGGTGTTGCGGATTTTCCAGGAGCTCCGTATCTACGATCATTTCCGTAAACTGAGGAACTACTTTTTTCTGCTGGATGGCCAGTTCGGAACATTGCTAACTAGTGATATCCTTGGAAGGATAAACGCTGGCGTTGATCCCCGCAGTCTGTGTCAAAAGGGCATACTCGATTCTATTCTGAGTCACGCCTTGGCATCCTGCTCGGATGAAATTACGGTGGCCCAGAATCTTATTTTAAACTGTTCCACGATACCCGATTCTCTGAATCTGTATTCAGTGGAAGCTACTTCCATGCTGAAGCTGGACTGCAAGGTAGACTGGCCATTGAATCTAGTGATCAGCCCTGAAACCATTGCCAAGTATGGTGAAGTCTTTGGATATTTGCTGAAGCTACGTCACGTTACCTTTGTCCTCGAGGGGACTTTTGATCATCTGCAGCAAATGGGGAAACTCCTTGGGGCCGAACTTAGGACGGCTTCCCAGTTCCGACAGCTGCAGATGTCACGACACAAGTTGGCACATTTTATGACATCCTTGCAGACGCATTTGGTAGCTAATGCCCTGCAGGGATCCTGGGAAAAGTTTAAGGAACAGCTGTGTACTGTGAATTCCATCGAGGGTCTGTACCAGAAGCATGCCATGTATCTGAAGAGGGTGGCCTTTATGGCTCACTTGAATCGTCGTAGTGCCAAGGTCAGGGAAACCATAGACAAGATGCTTATTATTATTCTGCGCTTCTGCAAGTAAGTTCACTTTCTTCTCTATAATTATTTATAACAATTCTAAAATATTAATTTTTTTTAGGGTTATTCATTCTCAGTCATTCGTAAGGGATAGTGATAATGATAATGTATTCATTCATCCCCGATTCAAGCGCCTTATGCAGGAAGAAGCCGAGTTTGAGAAGTTTATGCTATATCTAATCTACTTGGGGAATAAGGCGGCAGCCTCTGGTTATCAGGAGGAAATCGGTGACCTGATATCCGTCATTAACTTTAACAAGTACTACAAAGTAGCTGATCAGGAATCCGTGTCTTAAAAGGAATCCAACATTGCTAGAGAATCTCTGTTATCATTAATATGCTCTTAGAAATATTGCTTATGGCTAGGTATCGAAGCATTATTTGCTTTTATAGGCAAAGTAATTTTAAACGGAAACGAACTTTTTTATTCCATAAAAGGATTGTAAATCCGGAATATATTTTATATCAAAGGATCAAATATTAGAGGATATTTTGATAAATACCAACTAGAAAGTTGCGCCTTGTAATGGTCCAAAGTCGCCCATCATAAATGGTATTACAAGTTTATCAAAAACTAGATAAATTAATTTTAAATATTTTATTAAAAAATGGATGTTAATGCAGTACCTAATTGTAAACTATAATTGTTTTTAATATTTTCCATAAATAGGAAAATAATTTACAAAGCAACTATCATTCGAAATGCTTGCCGTGAGCTCATAAATAAATTAATTGAATCTTTTTAATCTTTTACTTTAATATTTTTAAATTTTACATTAATAATTTTATTTAAATTTTAATTATTAATTTTATTTTTTAAATTTGGAAAGTTTTAAAATTTACATTTTACATTTACATTCTTACATGTAAGATATCAACAGGTTTTACCTATCGTTCAGGCTCCCATCTCTAAACGGCACTTATCGATATATTTATCGTCATGAGTCATTTGGTTTAGAAATATATTTTATTTTTAGTTTACACGGTGCATACGCTTAACTCTTAGAAACTTTTAAGTTATTTATCTTCCCCTTGAATTAATCATCGACAATGCAGGTAAGGATTCATTTACATCACAAAAGTTGGTTCTCCATTATTAGAAGGAAACCAATTTCTTTGTGTCTGAGTGGGTGTGTTTTTGGTGCACCAAAAATAAACTCCATATTTGGTAATGAAAACTTTGAATGAAAACTCACGTGGCATGCATTTTTTGTAGGATCCCAATGAAGACACCGAGTGGAACGATGTTCTCCGCGCCAAGGGAATCATCGGACCCAAAGCCAAAGAGGCTGCGATCACAGAGGACCAGATCCAAGCTTTAATGGATGATGCCATCCAAAGACGAACAGATTTGCCTCAAAACGAAGGTCAGAGGGATAAGAAGATTGATGACATGTCCCTGGATGAACTGGACGAGCTGGAAGATTCCGAGGACGAAGCTGTTCTGGAACAATACCGCCAGCGGCGCATTGCCGAAATGCGAGCCACTGCCGAGAAAGCCAGATTCGGATCAGTCAGGGAGATCTCTGGGCAGGAGTACGTCAACGAGGTGACCAAGGCCGGCGAAGGCATCTGGGTGGTCATACATTTGTACGCGAACGGAGTGCCTCTTTGTGCTCTTATCCACCACCATATGCAGCAGCTGGCCGTCCGGTTCCCGCAGACCAAGTTCCTGCGCTCCGTCGCCACCACATGCATCCCTAACTTCCCTGAAAAGAACCTGCCTACAATCTTCATTTACCACGAGGGCCAGATGCGCAAGCAGTACATCGGACCTCTGGAATTGCGCGGTGAGAAATTGACGCTGCAAGAGCTGGAGTTCATGTTGGGGCAGGCTGGCGCTGTACCTACTGAGATTACGGAAGATCCCCGACCGCAAATCAGGGACAAGCTGCTGGCTGATCTTGAGGACAAGAGTGCAGACTTCTACTAATAAAGCTTCATCCAAATCAAACTACTTAATGTATCAACAGAGCGATGACTAATTAGTGGACCTGCTTGAACAATTTTAGTATTTCTAGATGAATAAGGTTTCGATGCAGAACTACATTTGTTAATTTTTACATCGCTCTGTTGATTTTTGTGTATTTTTCCTTCATTTCATTGTTTAGTGGCATTTATCTTTTCGTTGGCGCCTCGTGTGCTATCCTCACATGAATAAAATGTTTTTATTTTTTTACTGAAACTCATTTGTGACTCTGTTTGGTGTTTGGGGCAGCTTTCGCAACGCTTTTCGGCTTTCCCCGAAAAATATTCGGATCAATTATGTTGTAGGGATGTTCGCAGGCCGGATTCAAGACACGGCCACGTCTTGGTTCGTGCTCCTCGAGAAGATGCGGGGCTAACAACAGAAAAAGCTGTTCTGTCCAGGAGGGTAGGCCGCAGCTGGAGAAGCACAGTTCCCAGTAGGGCAGCCCCAAATGGGCGATGGCCATTCGGAGGTACTCGCTAAAAGTATCAGCCAAAAATTGCCAGCTTAAGGTGCTGAGCTCCAGCAGATAAAACTTGGGATTGTTGGAACTGGTGGATTCATACAGCATGCACACCTAAATATAGACATTAGACATGATGATTCACCTTCTAACTATTAGTCACGTACCTTGGCCACCTCGTTGACATTGTTTATCTCGAATATTTTTGACTTGGGGGTTATAATGGGCGTGGCATTGCCCCATTTATCCTTACCGGTAGACGCCGCAGACGATACGGACTGAGTGCTGCTGGATGGCCCCAGGACATCTGAGTTGCTACTAGCCAGAGCCGCTGCGCTGCTGCTCGAGTGGGTGGTTTCTATATTCTCCCGAAGCAGAGTCACCTGTAACAGGTGGGGGAAGTGGATGTGACCCACCCGACGGATGTCATTGGCTTCAAGAACATTGGAAGGAGTTACAAAACTAAGAAGTAACACTGAAGGACATCCTACTTACGGGCATATTGATAGCTCCAGTTGAGCACAAATCCGTCCGAGGACAAATAGAACTTCTTCATATCCTCCGGCAGGTAGACACAGTGCCTCTGCTCCCAGTTGACCACCTGGCAAGCATTCAACGGTTGTCGCCTTTCCAGAGTCACATTACAGACCCTGGGCACGTTGGCTAAAAGATAGATGTTCTTGAATACCTCTTCAGGATTCAGGATACCATACTCACAGAGCGTCTTGATTAGACCCAGCGTCAAATTTTCATAGAACGCATCCTCTGGAGAAAGTTTCTTGTTCATCGTTAAATAAATTTCGTTTAAAAATAATAAATTTGATTAGTTTGTCAAAAATTTGTGGAGCTGTAAATTTCTTTCAAGTAAACAACGTGAAGTTCCCTTGGCAACGGGGCGGATGAGTACTCAGTACAAGAATTTAAGTTTCTAGACAACATTAAAAAGGATTTATTTACAGAGACTATGAGTTCAAAAACCACAATTACACATGAAATAATTAAATTAATGAGCTTGGGTACAAGTAGGCTGGATGCTGGGTTCGTCTCATCTCTTGTTTTGGGCCTGGGGCTCGCTCTCAGCTTCCTCCTCGTGTCAGGAAACCTCCCACACGGTTGACTCCACCGAACGCCGTGGTCTGGCGGCCACCTCCACATGTGCGTCCAGTCCGTCGCTCAATCGACTGAAACGACGGGCCCAACTGCCACGGGCATTTCCCTGGCTTCCGGCGATCGATGTTCGATTGCTGGCATCCCGGAAAAGGCTCATTATGTCCTGGTTATCGCCTTGGGCTCGTTTAATTCCGTGGTGGTACTTGGCCTCTTTGGCCAAAAGCTGCTCGCGCTGCATTTGCGTTTTCACCTCCGCTGGCACATCCGGAATAATAAACTGCATGATGCCAGTGATTACAAACACCACATGCTGAAAAGGATATGGCATGAGGTGGGTTCATTAAAAGCTGTAGGGGATCTACCTCGAAAACCACAACAAACGCCAAGCGAGCTGCAAAAACATGCCAATAATGAGGACTTAATCCGTAGGGTTCATAGTCTTTGGGGCCATTTCTGTAACGATGTAACGATAGGATAAGTTATCCATAATATAGAGGGGTGCTATTGAAACATACCTATAGCCCCGATACTGGCAGGTGTCTGGATCCTTTTCGCTTACCGTAGCCCCCCATTCCTCTTTGTAATCCGATGTATTGAATATGGACAGCGAGTGCTCGATGTAGCCCGCCAGGGTGTGGGTCTCCGAGTAGACAAACTTGTACACCATGCGGGGTATAAAGTCACTGGTGTAGGCAATCACAAAGGCATTTGAGACGACGGCTGTGTAGGTGATGATCCGCAGGATGCCGTACCAAGCACCAATATCCTCCACCCTCTCGGCTAGTGGACGTCTAGCCTGGGTAACCATCTTGTAGGCATCCAACCGGATCTCGGCCACATTATTGAGGAGAGCGAAGAGTGGCGCCAAAGGAAATGCAGCCACAAACAAGGTAACAAAGCCATATTGGAGAACTGTAGAAAATGGACATTGTATACCATATCATTCCAATTCTACAAAGATACTCACTCATCTCCAAGTACTCGTCGAACAAGGCCAGTCGCCCAGGATCCTGCATATGATAGTCCTGTTCCCAGGCCATGTGCAAATGCGATTCATCCTTTGTGGCCTGAAATCATGGTTAAAATGTTATGAATATAATTGTTTTTAGAATTTAATCTATAAGTACTTGTTTGTGTTTCCGTTGTCGCCACCAATTCCAAAACTTGGGAAACAGATACTCCATAAAGTTATTCCAGCACTGTTTCCCCACCATAATAATAGCCAACTGGATGCAAAGTTCCGACAAACATCCCGCTGGATCGCAGATGTCATTCTTTAGCCGAAAGAATTCGCTTCTACGGGCTTGATCATCGCCAGGATAGTCGAAGAATCTTCCCTTGAAGAACGCTATATAGATGAGCGACGAATAAAAGTTCATAAATTCAAAGAAGAATATCTTAAAGGTGTAGGAGTCTTCGTATTCCGTGTGGGTGCGAGGATTTTCCAGGTTAGTCAGTTTAATGGCCATGCGGTGGTAGATCTAAAAGGATAAGAAGTTATAACTTAGTTTTTGGACTCGAGACCTCGGAAAAAATGGAGACCTACTCGAGTAAGTATCATGATGACCACCAAATTGATGAGGGCAGCAGTGACACTGGTGAAAAGTTTGGCATGTTCCTTCACAAAGAAACCTCCACCACCATAGATGACAGACACCAAGGATATTCGATACAATATAGTGCCTAGCACGGCGGAAAGTACCACAGAGATCTAACATAGGATTATATTTCAAAAACTTTTCATTAAAAAGGATTAAAAGTCAATCTTACCATAAACAAAACCGCACTGCCTGTTATAACAAATCGTATAGCTCGATTCCAGGAGGACATATAGGGCTCTTTTTCTCTCGTTACAGGATTCATGCGGAATGTGGTGGCATTTGTTTCAAACTCTGGACGGTTCTCCTCGTCCATATCCACGTTGTGCAGGTCCCACTCCCAGACAATCACCGATTGTTTTCGTTTCCAAAGCTCCAGAAAAGTGGTGGCTGTATTGTGAGGAACATTGTTTATTAAAGGATATATTATATTATCCAATATTGTTTTGTAATTACCCCAAAAGGACATGAATATGGCAAAGAACACTGTCGAAGGATTGTCAAACAGATAGGTGAGTCTTGAAAAGAGACAGGATTCTGAAAGTCTTTGGTAGCTACATGCTTTGTCGCACAGCGGACACAGGGTAATGTTTCCAGTTCCGTACTCATTACAGATCTCCTTGCTGGGAGTATTGTCCTCGGACTCCAAAGTGGCCAGGCCATAGATGAAGCACAAAAAGCCAACCACTGACGGATAGACAAGCATCTCCGTGTAGAAACCCAGCCAGCAGAAGTATAGCGCAATCTTATCCCCAAAATATTTCCGAACCAGGCACAGCGGCTGTTTTTTGTACCACTGGGATGGATGAGCCCATGTCTGGTAGAGAACTCGGCGGTCTAGGGAGATGCCACTGGAATGCGGTCTGTCGTACCGTCCCTCGTGCAACGGAAAGCAACCCAGGTAGGTTCCGTCATTTAGAAGCCGACGAATTCCGTTGCGGTCACTCTCGTCGTAGGGCGTCCGGATGAGAACCTGCATCACCATCAGTGATCTCTGAGCGCTTGTAAAAGCCGTGGCGCGATCTTTTACAATAAATCTATAGAGGGTATTAAATAATGTATATATCCCTAATAAAAATATGCATTTACTTACTGCTCTTCGGGGTTTCCATTAGCTGTTGCGGCTTTGAATGTGGTTTCTCCCTCCAGAAGTTGCTCGTCCAACTGAATCCTTTTTGTCAAACGCTGCCACACATCCTTCCAATACTGCACGTTCCTCATCACCACGTTTTCCTCGTCCTAAAAATAATGCAGATTATGATATATACTTCAGGTGGCCCTTAGAAAGGAGAGACTTACCCAAGAAGGCTTTACGGATATGGTGATGAAGCGCTTGATTGGTAGTTTGAGGTTCATCACCTCAGCCAATCGAGTCTCCAGCCGCCACGGCAAGTGAATCTTCAAGAAGAAGGTCTTCTCGTTGAAAGATTGGGACTTGTCCTCCAGCTCCACTTCAAGGCCCTCTTTAATTAGGTTCTCCATAAAGCCGCGTCGGTTTTCACGACGCTTGGCTTCCGCTTCCGTCATAACGCCCAGGTCCTCCTCCTCCCAGGCCAAGACCATGTCCACCTTTCGCCGGCCGTCGCGGAACATAAGCGATTCCGGGTCCAAGCCCTCCCTATCTTGCTTGCTGACGCGTCTCTCATCTCCGGACTCCCCGCCCAGGCTGTTGCTTTTGCTGGCCTTCCGGCTGCCATAGTAGCTTCCACTCACGCTGCTCGCCGTATCCGATGCCTTTCTCTCCGTGGGCAGGAGCTGCCTGTAACCGAACTGGTCTGGTAAAACATTGGAATGCGATGACTCCATAGCCTCATACGACTGATTGACTTTGTCGGCGGAACTAGCCAGGGTGGCGCTCAGGTTCAAGCCTAAAGATCGTCTCATGGCTGTGCCCGGAATATCCTCATCGTGGCTGCCCACGATCTTGGGTCCAAACGCCTGAGTTGGGCTAGGCTCAGCCGACTCCGATTCCAAGTGCGTGGGCAGTGGCGTGGCAATGGAGTTGGGTTTGGAATACAGGGAATTTCCATTGCCCGTGCGCATCACCGAGGAGTTGAGCCACTTTTCCGTATACGCAGCGGAGCCAGCACGGGCCCGATTGGCACTCAGCTTGGATTTGGGCAGGATGGGAGTAGAGGGGTTTTGGTTCGGCACCGGGGTAGTATCCTCCGGCTCCTGACAGCCGTAAATATTATCCGTTGTTTCCACCATTCGTGAATGCAGATCGTTGTCAATAAGAGCACTTTCCTGTTTCCATAAAAATTATTTCTTAAAAAAAAGTTTAAAATAAAAAACGTGGATAGGGACATACTCCGTAACTAATTAATCTTCCAGCCACAATTCCGCTATCCTGGCTTAGTCTTCTTGGTCGCAGCTTGGTCTGATTCCGTCGAATCATACGCTCACTTTTGGCCGGACTGGACATCACCTCACGGCGGACGGAGGGCTCTGGAGATTGTCGTGAGTTTCGCAACGTTGGCACCGAAAGGAATCCTACAGGACAGAGGATGAGGAAAAATTTGAATCTCTTAAGAGTTATAATCATTTCATTCCTGATTACTCACTGGGAAACTGAAAGACCGACTGTTCACTGGACTTGTCGCCCTCTCGGGCGTCGCTGCCAATGAGATCCTCGCGAGAACTGGCCTCTGTTATGGGGGCGGTGCTCTCATCCTCGACACTGTCGATGCGTATCTGAAAGATGTGTGACTTCTCGCCGGATAGTCCGTCGTGATTGTTCATCGTGGCCCGGACTGGGTTAAGCAAGTGTGGCGCCTTCTTTGCTCAATCGGAGCTGTGGCGTCATGGAATTCTGTGGAGCACAATTGACAGGTCATTTAAAAATTTGGCCTAGTTTGAAAACCCAAGTTCCGAAACCATCTGGTTGAGTCCCCATAATAAACTATTTAAAGTTCCCCCCGCCCAATTCGGACTACTTGTCGGGGAGTTTGAGTTCAGTCGGGGGTGGTCCTCAAAAGTTGTCGAGCTGCATAGCCGCCGAATCCGTTGGACATTAACAATTCATGCATGTTTATACTAGTGCCCTCCAGTTGGGCGTTAATTTGGGCCCTTACGACTATTTGTATCTTCATTTGCAAGAGGGTTCCAATCAAGAGGCGGACATTCACGCACACGTTCGACATTGACCCACACGGCCAACTCTCCTGAGAAGTTGGGGTATCCCATTGGGAATAATGCTTTCACATTAACCAGTCAGTGCACCTTGGGAAAGGTTGGGCAAACAAACTTGTTGCTACGAGTGCTGGACACTTTCCCAAGCGGGCGACCGACCACGAATGACAATGGTCCTAAATAATTGCTCTAGATTTTGTATTCGGATACTATGCATTTGCCAGCACACACATGGACTTGTAGATGGGTATAGGTAGCTTCGGAGCACTAAAGGAATGACATGCTCTGGGCCACAAACAAACAAATCCATTCGTACCTGGATCACACTAATAAGCGTGCGACGGACGTCCTGGAAATGTCAGCGTTTGTTGGCAGTTGTGAAAAGTCCCATGCCATTGAAGTAATCACAACAATCGAAGGTTTATTGATTTGCTCCTGTCGGTTGTTCCCAGGTCCTAGCACTACAGGTACAACTATTTATATGACCAATCGATTATTGATTTACGCGTCTATCTGAATGCACTTTGGAGTTCAATTAGGCCACATATCACTTATCCTAGACCAACAGATCTTCAATCTAATGGGGTAAGGGGTGTCACTTAGCAGGACAATTTTAAACTGACCCCCAATTTATTGATTTTGTGCTCTTGTAGTTATTATCTTTCAATCAAGGTTCACATTATCCAAGCACACGCTCGCACGTTCATCCTTCGCTGACAAAACCACTCTGTATATGACCCGGACACTATCCGCCAAATCGGAAATGGCGTACCACTCTCGACGAGGGTTCCCGACCGAATGACCGACCATAGGTCCTTTAACTCCTGGCCAGGACAGTGACACTAGGGCCAACAGATAGCTAATCACAGTTGTACTCGCCCCGGTGGCTCTCTCTTGTGACTAATGGGTTTCGGGGGACGTAGCTCCATCGGGTAATTGCGAGAGGCTTTTCAAGTTTAATAAACTTTTCACACGAGTAGCCTACAGAGAGATATTGACTCAATACCATATGTGTTTCTGCTTTCTAATTTAAAATCCCTCCCCGCTCCATGGGTAATACATACTACATGTATGTGACGTCAGTTGTTGGGGGTGTTTCGTACTCGTCATAGAGTTTTGTCCTGCGGACTTGTCCTGGGGGCCAATTGAATATATGTCTTGAATAATATCCCTTCCCAGGGGCACTCTAAACATCGCACCCATGATGATTACCAATGTCTCGCATTCGTGACCATAAAAATAGACTTGAATGCGACAATATCGGGTACTCGTATGAAGTAAGTACTATTATTGTTTGGCAGGGAATGTATTTTGATTGAATGTACGTCATTAACGACGGCTAAGCCTTTTGTCTTTTCGGGGGCTTGTGCGTGCCCAGTTGACCGTTTCACGGACCTTTTTGTTTTTGATTGACAATACTAGAAACCCTTCCCCCTCCACTAGGGAGTATGCAAATGCCACTTATTTATATTTGAAGTGGCGTCATTTAGCTCTAAATTATGCCATCAATAGAGCCCCCCACAAAGGAGTTTTAATCGGAGCTATTGACGCTTAAGGGAAGGAATTTTCCTTCCCAAACCAGGTGCTATCAAGGACGCTGTGGTGGATTGGGAGTGCTGGAAAGAAAATTCTATAAGCTTTATATGACCGATCTAGTTATGGCTTTATTCTTTTAAGATTTTAATATATAAACCAGGTTAAAAACTTTTTATTTTCTTACCACCACCATTATTTTTTATTTAGTAGATTATTACGGTACTCAGCCACACAAGAGATCACAACTAACCGATGTTGTCGCCGGCGACCGTGTCGTCTCCCTCGGTTTTGCACTGCTGCAGAGTATCCGGTTCACAGGAGCTGGTCAGTCGGTTGAAGAACTCTCCCTGGGCGCACTGACCCTCAATCTTCTGCCCATGGACGCACACAAAGTATCCTCGGCAGTTGTCCGCATCCCGCGTCAATTGGCCGTGCTTTCCGGTGCACACACCCACTCGTTCCCCGTTCTCCATCAGACAGGTTCCGTCACTTTGTCGACAGATGCCCAGGAGACTGTCAAAGCTCTCACCATTGCGACACCTCTGGGAAATGGCCAAATCATCCTCGCAGCTGGTGTAGCGACGGCAGTCGCCCTGCTCCGCCACAAAGCTGCTGCCAATGATGCCGCAGATGGTGTCAAAACTAGTTGGTTTATCCTTACAAATGCCCAATGACGATCCAGCTCTTTCCTGACTGCCTAGATCGCCGCTTTGTGACTCAATTGGTTGCTCGGAAGTCGAATCCGCGCCAGAATTCACCTCATAGGCTTGACATTGTTGGAGTGTGGAGTTGAAAAAGTAACCCGTATAGCAAAGCTCGTGGCGGAGGGTTCCGGAAACACATATGTAGAAGTTATTACAATTGGCGGGATCTGGCATTATATGACCATGCTTGCCCTCGCAGACCAACGGATCTGGTGGAATATGTTGGTTGTTGGGTTCGTCGTCGTCACCGACTGATTCGACCAAGGGGCAAGACCCATCGTCCACCAAGCAGAGCAGTTGCTCCGAGTCAAAGTACCTTCCGGCATCACATCGCTGGGCCATGGCCACTCCTCCGGCGCAAATGAAGTATCTGGTGCAGTCTGTACGGTTGGCCAGAAATGTGCCATCCGCAAGATTCCCGCAGCTATAGGCATGGCTGCTATTGGACTCCAGTTGGCCGTTCCGACAGGTCTCGATGGCCTGTGATTCCGGTTCGCAAAGCGAGAGCACAGGATTGAACTGATGCTGAGCAGGACACTCCACCGGAATGGCTAGTCCTTTAACGCAGGCATAGTACAAGTTGCAGTATAGTTCATGTGGAACCCTAACTCCATGCAGTCCAGAACACATCTTGGTAGTCTGATCAGTGTCATTCTGATTGGTCTCCTTCACGCACTGCCCGTGGTCCACGCGGCACATGGAGAGGAAGCTGTGGAAGTACTGGCCCTCATCGCAGCGAATCAAGGAAGTTCCATTCCTTTTAGAGCAACTGTAGTAGGCTCGACAATCCTCAGGATGAGCCACCAGCTTGCCGTCCTCCACGTTAGAGCAGATGGCTAGCTGACAACTTCCATCGTTTGGGCGGCAGTACCCCGATTCCGAATCATAAAAACTTCCAGAGGGGCAGCTCTGGAGGAGAGCCGCTTCTTGCTGGAGACACAAATAGAATTGAGTGCAGTCCGTGGGATCGGGGACACTCAAGCCATCTAACTGACCCAGGCACTTGTTCTCCGCCGAAAGAAGTCTCTTAACCTGACACTGAGACTGCACCATACAACTGTTTTGCTTTGCCGCATAGCTGTGACCCCTCAGACAGCTGCCCAGATGCCACTCCTCATCTTCGCAAAAGAGGAATCCCGGGGAACAGTTGTCTTCCTCTGTCTTGGATCGGAGCTCGCCTTCCCGGCAGATGCGTCGCATTCCGTTTGCCTGGCAACTTCCATCACTGGGAATGCAGCCTAGTAGGGGCTCAAACTGCTCCCGCTCCTGGCATCGCTGCTTGATCCATTGTCCCTCCTGGCACAGCTCATAGCTATGGCAGCTGCCCACCAGAGCGCGACTATCTCCTGCCGAACAGATAGCTTTATCGTCCTTAATCAAGCACTGACCCTTGTCGTTGGGCAGACAGTAGTTGTGCTCCCTGCTGAAGTACATGCCCAGTGGACACTGATGCAGCCACCAGGCGTTGTCCAGGCACATTAGGTAACTCTGACAACCTCCAGCCTTTGAGGGGCGCACTGCCAGCTGTTGGCAGTCCTCCGTAAGGTTAACAGATGTCCTCGTCATCATCCAACTGCAAATGGTCTGATTTGGTTCCAGTTTCTGATCCTTTGGCATCGGCAGGCATGTTCCCGCCTGGGGAGAGTAGTAGTATTGCTTGGCGCAGTTGCGCAGCCGCCACTTGCCACCAAAGCAGCGGAAGTACTGCTGGCAGATGCCACTCTTGGCAGGCACAGTCTGCGATTCACTGACATTACTGCATAGAGGAAGATTGGACACTCGAGCAAAGGAGCACACGAAGTCATCTCGGGGTTCCAGACAGCGTTGCTGTTCCGTGTTATAGTATCGCTGGTCGGAGCAAGTGCGTCGACGCCATTGGCCGTCAATACATACTTCGTACTGGGAGCAATTGGTTTCCACAGGGCGCTTCTCGTCCAGATCGCAGACCTAGAAAGGAACAAGGGATAGGATTAATTATTAATTTATTTATGTAATAATTTCTATCATTCTTTGAAGAAGCCCCTTCATAATAATAGGAATAACACCCATTTCTAACCACTTCTGGTATTGGAAACATCGAGAATTATCTTTTTCAGAGAGCAGACAAATCCACATGTTCCATTCTATAGGCACGAAAATAAAAGGCCGAAAGGTTTTCATTCATCTAATTTGAATTTATTTTAGAGCATATATAGTGTATAGAGTATATTATGGGTTAGTCATATACGTATAGAAGTGGAACAAGCGGAACACATTCACATTAATGGTAACTCGTAAATAACACGTAGTGTCATAGGATAATATAGTGGATTATTTGTGGCCTAATCCAGAGCCCAGAGCTTAGAAGAGCTTATGGAAGAATCTCTTGAACATGGAGAGGGACCTTACGTTTTCCTCAGCCTCAACGGAGCGCTTTTGGACGCCGTGGTAGTTGGTGCACAGGCCCAGTTCCGGAGCGAACAACTGACCCACGGAGCACGGATGGAAGGTGACGCTGATGCGGTCTTCATCGTCGCATGAGCAGAATCCGGTGCGGGTGCTGGCCGAGGCAAAGGCTTCAAAGCGGGAACGCTTCTGGCACTCCTGCAAGTTGCACTGGATCATGGCGGAGAGGGTGCAAATTCCCTTGCTGATGTCGAAGAGCTTTCCGGAATCGCAGTGGAAGAAAATGGCAGTGTCGACATCCTGACAGGTGCAGTAACCACCTGTTGTGTTCAAGGCTGCAAAAGCTTGCGCCCCTAGAGTCCTGTCACGGCATCGAACGGAGTCGCAGGCACTGGTGGCACTGATAAGGGCCGAAGCTTCCATACATGCCCCTACGGCTGAGTTGAAGGTCTGACCCTCATCACAGCTCTTGAAAACTGGAGTTTCATCCAGGCACGTGCAGAAACCTGTGCTGGTGTTCAAAGCGGGGTAGATCCAATAATCTTCAGAGCATTTACCCGGCTCACAAACGCATTCAGAGGCCTGGAATATCAAAGACCATTAATTATGGGAGACTTATTCTTTTATTTATGAAACTTACTGCAAGGACAACACAGCGTTCTGCGCTAGCGCTGTACACCATGTCCGCGTCGCAGGTTTCAAGGAATACGTCGCCGTTTTCACAGATGCAAAAGTTGGGATTGTTGTCCCCGCCGGTATTCGTTGGGAAGGGTACCAAGTCGGGTTGAGTTGCGCATTTGGCGGCACTACACTCGGCTGTAACACTGGAATCCTGAGAAAAAATTGGGGGTTAGTTTTAATCGAATACTTTGTTTTCAGATCCATGTTCTTTTAAAGGTGTCAGATGTGGAAAATTTTGAGAAAAGACCAAAATACCAAAAAACCGATATGATGGCAAGATGAGCATAGCTCGGGCAATACTTGGAAGATCCAGAAGTGTTATACCTTCCCGATTTCAGAACATCCATTAGCATCATTCCCCATCAAAATCTGGCAATAAAAAATTGGACGCAATTTTCGCAATTTTTTCAAAGGGGTTACATCATAATTTTGACCAAAAATTTGTTAAATTTTTTTTTGGTATGTATTTCAGATTTTTTGATGCAGATTGAAGGGTGTTGGAGCTCTTATTCATAAACGGTATTCAGTTTTTGAGTCAGATTTGGAATGGTGGAAAAATTCGCTAAAAATTGAATGAAAAACTGCTTTAGATCCATACCTGAGGAGCCTTGCACAGTCCGAGCTTGGCATTGAACTCCGTACCCTCATCGCAGAGCACATAGCTGGGCAGACCGTCCTCACAGACGCAGAAGCCTGCGACTCCGCAGACGGCCGGGTAGGTAGCGAAGTTGTTCAGAGTATCGCACTGATCCGCATCGCATTCCTTTGGGGTAACGACAACTACTTGACACATTCCCAAGTCTGGATTAAATTCAGAGCCTTCGGCACACTTTGCCAAGACAGGACAAGAGCTCTGGCAGTAGCAGAAAGCGGAGGTGTCATTCTCAACGCCGAAAGTATTGTAGTTCAAGCCGTCATCGCATTGGCTGGCATCACAGGCATTTGGAGTACAGGATACGCTGGTCTATATATAGGAAATAAATGAATTCTAAGCTCCTGAAAGGACATAACTTTTTAAAAACTTACCGAGCTAATGCAGGCACCAATGGAGGCATTGAACGCGGTGTTGGGTTCGCAGCTTTGGAACGTCGGCACTTCGTCCACGCAGACGCAGAAGCCTTCGTCGGTATTTACAGCCGCAATGTTAGTGAAGTCGGGCTTGTCCAGGCAACCCTTAGAGCAGCAACGGGGCTAAAAACATATGGAGAATTAGTTTTCTCCTTATGTACAAGTATATAGTTTCATAACCTACATCGGGAATCTTAATTGCGGTACACAGCAGATCCTCGGCATCGAAAGTGTATCCAATGGGACAGGGAACGGAAACTGGCTCACCGGCACGGCACAAACAGAAGTTGTCTGGGTCTTCGTAGTCCTGAGAGACGCTGTACTCAGACGCTGAATCACAAACTCGGGGATCGCAGTTTCCGGTCTAGAAATAACCAATCCCAATTACTAGCTGAAAATCCTTATCTCCAAAGTTACATACGAAGTCGCAAGCACCAGTTGTTGAGTTGAAGAACAATCCAGAGCCGCAGGATTCGAGGTAGCCTTCACCGTCTTGACAAATGCAGAAGGTGGAGGTGTCGGTGCTCAGCGAGGGGTAGGTATAGTCCTCAGCAGCATCCTTGCAGATGGTCTGATCACAGTTTGCCTATAAGGACAAGGTTACGAACAGCACATCCTGAACAAATATGCATGGTAACTTACGCTGGGTTGGCTTTTACAAATTCCAAGTAGAGCTTCATAGGCGGACTCGGAGGGGCAGGCCACAATGGTGGCCTCCTTGTTCTTGCAGAGATAGAACTTGCTGGTGTCGTCTTCCACGGGATATGTGGTATCATCAGCAGCGGTAGCACACAGCTTAGCAGAACAAGCCACCGTGGATGAGCACTCGGAAGTCTCGGAGTCGAAGGCCTCACCAGCGGGGCACTGCAGAACAGTAGGCACTCCGTCGGTGCATTGGTAGTACTTGGTGCAGATCGGATGAGCCACATCGCCGGTGCTGCAGGTGCACGGATTGATGCACTGGCCAGTAACGTCTACTTCGCACGCTCCCTTGATGCTGTACCATTGTCCAGAGCCGCAGGACGTATCAGTAGCCAGGCCATTCCAGCAAGTGATGTAGCTCGTGCAATCGGCCGGATTTGCCATCTGGTAGCCGTTCGGTTTGTTGGCGCAGGGCCAGCATGTTCCGGCCGTATCTGGGACACAGACACCTCCCTTAAGTACATTTCCGACGCCGCAGCTGCCCTCCACGAGCTCGCCGTTCTCGCAAATCTGATACTTATCACAGTCGGTGGGATGGCAAATGATGGCGCCCTGTTCGATGCCACCCGGGCAGGTCAAGCTACGCTTCTGACGGGATGCGGATTTCGATCCTTTCGATCTATTCTCGGGGCAAACGTTGGCGGTGTCCTGACGACAAATGCCTGTAGCGGCATCGAAGTAGAAGTCCTTAGAGCAGGTCTCCTGCTGCCACTGACCATTCATGCAGACCGAGTAGCTCCAGCAGTTCTTGCCAATGGCAGGAAGATCACGGGCACTGCACTCGGCGATGAAAGCAAAGGTTGTCAGTTCCGTAGTGGTGGTAGAGGTGGGAATCGCCGCAGAGGTGGTTGACTCGTCCGTAGAAGCCGGGATTTCTGTGGTTGACGTGGTTGATGCGATTGTAGTGCTTCCGTCTATGCACACATTGTCGGTATCTGTCTCGCACTGGACGCCATTAAAGTATTCCCCGGAAGAGCAGCAATTGGAAACCCACTCGCCATCTACGCACTTGTCGAACTTGGTGCAGTCTTGGGGATCCACCTTCACGTCGCCATTGGTGCAGGCAGCCGACACACAGCATTGGTTGTCCGTGTCGGGAACACACACTCTCAGTTCGGCATCGAATCGGTTGCCAGTTCCACAGTCTCCACCCTCCTCCAGGACGCCGTTGAGGCAGACTAAGAATCGACGGCAGTTGTCTGGATCTGCATCCAATTCTCCGTTCTTGGCTTTCTCACAATCACAACCTTCGGGAATTTCGGTGGTGGTCTCCTCTTCGCAGGGTTCCGGGGTGGTAGTGGTAGAGTCTTCGCAGGGTTCAGTCGAAGTGTCCTCACAGGTGCCGGGTACACAGATCCAGCCGGTCACATCGATACGGCTGCCTTCTGGGCACTTTTGCAGGGTGGCAGCTCCTCCATAGCACAGGTAGAAGACTGTGCAGTCAGTGGCGTCGGCTACAGCCTGTCCGTCTTCCTTGTCAATGCAGAAGTTGCTCCAGCAGGTCTTGGCAGTATCAGGCTCACAGGCGCTGGCCGTGTTGTTGAAGAAACTGCCTAGGGGACACTTTTGGGCGTATGCCTTCTGCTCGTCGCAGATGTAGAAGCCGGCACAGTTTTCCGTGTTGGCCAAATAGGCACCAGTCACCTCATCGGCACACACATTGGTGGTCTGAAGGATTAGGAGGAATTAGGAATAGTTAGGAATATGAATAGTTCGCCTACCTCGGCCAGAGGAGCCACCAGGCTCAGGTTGCAGAGACCACGTCCGGCATTGGCGCACTTTCCGGTCTTGGGATTGTATTCCTTACCCGCCGGGCAGTTGACCCGACGAACTACGTTTTTCGAGGAGCAGCGGTAGAAGCTGGAGCAGCTGGATGGGTTCGGCCAATGAGGCGATAGGTTGCGTATCTTCCGGTAAAGGCACTCAGGATCGACGGCATCCACAATGGCGAGGGTCACTGCAGTGAGTGCCACCACAGCTAGCAGAGTAACTGGTGGTTGGATAAAAATCGGTTCCGTTACTCATATCCTTGTCCTGATCCTGGCCATACTCACCTTTCATCTTATGTTCACTTGTATTCCACTCGTGTTGATCGAAGTGTACTCCGCACTATTGCCAAAAATTGGTCGCCCTTATATACATCATCCACCTTTCCTGCACCAACTTTTCTTATCGCCATCAATTATGGTGATCATGTCAAAACACAGCCCTATCATGTCAACTTAATTGAGGTGTGATCTCTTGGAAGTTGGGTTCCTGGAAGTTGACTTCTAGTAGGGCCACTCCCAAATTATTTTCTTGTGATATTCGGAATTTGCAAAGTTATGAATGAATGTCATTGTCGTGGCCCCCAAACCAAGATCACTTGGAACGAGCTCCTAGGGAAAATCACACAGCTCTGATTACTTTTTATAAGTGCATGCTATTTGATGTTCTTTATTTTTTAAGCGCAGGTGGTGGAGCAGGCTTGTTGGATAGTGTTCCAGTAAAGACTATCGGGACAGTCTTTAACATAACCCACGTCGCCATCGCAGTGGATGTACAAATGACAGTCGTACGGATAGGGCAGGTAATCTACACCCGAGTGCGCCTTGCAAGAGGCATTCACATCCACGCCAGGGTAGGGTACGGTGGTTAGATCTGATCCAGTTGGTTCAATGGTGGACGATCCTTTAGCTTCTTCTGTAGTATCCACATCTGGTTGTTTGGTTGGTTCCTCAGTTGGTGATTCTGTGGTGTCTTCTGAGGGCTTTCCCGTGGGTTCGCTACTGGGCTCTCCGGTTGGTTCTGCAGTGGGTTCCTCAGTAGGTTTTTCAGAAGGTTCTCCAGTGGGTTCTTCAGTGGGTTCTTCAGTAGGTTTTTCAGTAGGATTTCCAGTGGGTTCTTCAGAAGGCTCGTCAGTAGGGTCGTCAGTAGGTTTTGCAGTTGTATCATCAGACGGCTGCCCAGTAGGATCTCCTGTGGAAGTGGTTGGCTTCTCTGTTGTTTCCAAAGGATCATCGGTGGTTGGTGACTCTGTGGTGTCTTCTGAGGGCTTTCCCGTGGGTTCGCTACTGGGCTCTCCGGTTGGTTCTGCAGTGGGTTCCTCAGTAGGTTTTTCAGAAGGTTCTCCAGTGGGTTCTTCAGTGGGTTCCTCAGTAGGTTTTTCAGAAGGTTCTCCAGTGGGTTCTTCAGTGGGTTCTTCAGTAGGTTTTTCAGTAGGATTTCCAGTGGGTTCTCCAGAAGGCTCGTCAGTAGGGTCGTCAGTAGGTTCTGCAGTTGTATCATCAGACGGCTGCCCAGTAGGATCTCCTGTGGAAGTGGTTGGCTTCTCTGTTGTTTCCAAAGGATCATCGGTGGTCTCATCTGAGGGATCCTCCGTGGAATCATCGTCTGTCGGATCCCAGGGATCATCGGTGGGGTCGTCGGGATCCTCCGTAGTTGCTGGCGCCTCCGATGGCTTGACACAATTCCTGGCGCTCAGAGCTGTTGCCAGGAGCATCAGCTGCAAGGACATCAATATCCAGACCACTGAAAACCAAAAGCGTTTATCTATATTGCTAAAGGATAATATTCAGTTTCCTGCGAGGCACTTACATTTCATTTTGGCAAAGATCGGTTGACTAGTTACTGAAACTAATGCATTATCTCCCAGGGTCCGGTGCTTTTATAGGGATCCGGAATGCATTTGCATTTCATTAGCATACTACAAGAGTCTTAAGTTTGCTCGTAATTATCTTTGGGAATGTCAGATAGCAATGATGTAAGTAATTAAACTGATAATGGAGTGACAAGTAATAGTGGAGAAGATTGGATAACATTGAAGGTTGTTAAAGGAATAACTAAATATAATATTAATCAAACATGTATTATAATTTTTGGACATCTTAAATAAGATTTAAATGACAATTGATTCTTTCAATTAATTGGGTATACATGTTTTACTATTGCATTCTGATTAGATAATTATTATTTAATAAGATAAGAGTACTACCAATGTCAACGTAATAATGATTCAGAATCTAAAAAGTTAACAGTGCTGTTATGGAAAAGCGTGGTTATAAAAGTTTAGAAATATCAGAAAAATACAATTAATAATAATATTAATCCTGATAACATTGACTATATACTTATACAGTGAATCAGAGTTGTTTCGTAAGTTCTTTATAAAAGTCTGAAACAATGGCAATTAATAGTTTCCTTCATCATCCAATACGACCCATTTACCGGATTCGCCGAACTACTTGAGGCGTTTCCGACGTAAGTCTTTGAAAACAATTGATTGGTTATCTGATAACTGATAAAGAATATGTACATATAACAAAGTAAACATAAAATTTAATTAAATAATTAGCAATTTGTATAAGTTTAGTTGATAACATCTGAAAGGTATCCTACTCCTTTTCTGGGAGATGACTTCAAGCTAAATAATTACAAAGTTATACTTACGTATCTTGTTCATTAATTTTGTGGCAATTAAATTTATTGTTTGATAAGACTGCAATTGCAATTTATAATACTCGGGCAAACAAAATAGATTAAAATGAAAGGTATACCTGAAAAAGGGAATCACCAGCTATATAAGCGCGCACTTTCCGCAAAGAATGATACTTCACAACCGAGACAAGTTTCGCAGACATGAAAGGTAAGTAGTGTTCCACGAGTCTTCAACTAAAAAAATAATATATATATTTTAAATTATTTAAAGGCTTAAGCTTAATTGCACTTTTTGGATTGGCTGCACTCATTGTGAGCCCAATAGTTCTGGCAAATAATGCAGATCCCAGCACGCCTGAGCCGCCACAAGTGGATCCGATTGAATCAACAGAGCAACCTATCTCGGCTGAATCAACGCCAGAAGACTCCACTCCTGCGATTGAAACCACCACAGAAGAGCCCACAACCGAGGACTCAACCACAGAAGAGCCCACAACCGAGGACTCAACCACAGAAGAGCCCACAACCGAGGACTCAACCACAGAGGAGCCAACAACGACAGAGATACCACCAGTTCTTTGTGACGAGACAGAGATTTTCCGCCCGGCGTCCGACTGTCGTGAATATTACCAGTGCTTCAACGGCGAGGGAGTCCTTAAAAGATGTCCCGATAACCTCTATTGGGATCCCAAGTTGAATGTATGTGGCTGGGATACTCAGTATTGCACCAGCGGCGAAATCAGTACGACTACATCTGCACCGGGAGGCTTGTCCTGTGCATCTGGAGCTGCGTATCTACCATATCTTCCCGATTGCAACAAATACATCCAGTGTGTCTACAATATAGGATTTAAACAAAGTTGCCCACCTGGCCTGTACTGGAACCAGCCTCTCCAGCGCTGTGACTACACCTGTGACAACAGTATCTAGTGTCTAGACAGTCGAAAAGGTGCAATGAACGCCTAATATAGGAAGCAATTTTAAGAAATAAAAATACTTTAATAAATAAGCAATATTGCAACACAAAATCTACGCAATTCGTATTCAGTAGAATCCAGCAGTTCAATTGACTTCCCATTGAAGATAACAAGCCTTCCAATGGAGATCCGATAACAAGCCAAAGTAGCCCCCATTCAGGTTATAAAAGTGAATGCTCGATGCACAGGTACCATTTCGTCGACGGGGTTTGTAAAATTCGCACGCGAAGTGTCTAAAAATGCTCCAAAGCGCTAAGGAGAATCGGAATCTAATAATAAAATGCGTTTTATGGACGGTATTGTTCAGCCAAATAGTGCACATTTACGCGTACTCGCAACCTAGTCTGGATAAGACCACCAAAGATAAACTCAACCTCATCCGGCTAGGCGATGATGAATTAACAAAAATATTGGATACCACATTATTGTCGCCCGATGACGCCAATAGAGCTCAGCTCATATTGACAAACAATGAAAATTCTACCAAGCCAGAGCTTGAAGAAGGTAGCGCATCTGGGCCAGTGGAGTCATCCGCTGCAAATTCTGACGAGAACACGACTTCTGCGTCAGAGGAGACTACCACAGGGGATCCAGACGTGAGCTCCACTGCAATATCGGATTCAACGAACCCTGAGCAGACTACTACTTCTGCGCTAGAAGAGACTACCACAATAGATCCTGAGCAGACCACCAATTCAGCGTCAGAAGAAACTACCACTGAGGATCCTGACGAGAGCACCACTTCTGCACCAGGCGATAGTACCACAGAGGATCCTGAGCAGTCCACCACTTCTGCAGCAGAGGAGACTACCACTGATCAGACCACCACTTCGGCGGCAGACGATAGCACCACTTCTGCACCAGGCGATAGTACCACAGAAGATCCTGAGCAGACCACTACTTCTGCGCCAGAAGAAACTACCACTGAGAAATCTGAGCAGACCACCACATCTGCACCAGAGGAGACTACCACAGAGGATCCTGAAGATAGCACCACTTCTGCACCAGGCGAAAGTACCACAGAGGATCCTGAGCAGACCACCACTTCTGCGCCATACGAAAGTACCACTGCGGATCCTGACGAGAGCACCACATCTGCGTCAGAGGAGACTACCACAGAGGAACCAGAGCAGTCCACCACTTCTGCACCAGAGGAGACTACCACTGAGGATCCTGACGAGAGCACCACTTCTGCACCTGGCGATAGTACCACAGAGCATCCTGACCAAACCACCACTTCTGCGCCAGACGATAGTACCACTGCGGAACCTGACGAGAGCACCACATCTGCGTCAGGGGAGACTACCACAGGGGAACCAGAGCAGTCCACCACTTCTGCACCAGACGATAGTACCACTGCGGATCCTGACGATAGCACCACTTCTGCACCAGGCGATAGTACCACAGAGGATCCTGAGCAGACCACCACTTCTGCGCCATACGAAAGTACCACTGCGGATCCTGACGAGAGCACCACATCTGCGTCAGAGGAGACTACCACAGAGGAACCAGAGCAGTCCACCACTTCTGCACCAGAGGAGACTACCACTGAGGATCCTGACGAGAGCACCACTTCTGCACCTGGCGATAGTACCACAGAGGATCCTGACCAACCCACCACTTCTGCGCCAGACGATAGTACCACTGCGGAACCTGACGAGAGCACCACATCTGCGTCAGGGGAGACTACCACAGAGGAACCAGAGCAGTCCACCACTTCTGCACCAGAGGAGACTACCACTGGGGATCCTGACGATAGCACCACTTCTGCACCAGGCGATAGTACCACAGAGGATCCTGACCAAACCACCACTTCTGCGCCAGACGATAGTACCACTGACGATCCTGACGAGAGCACCACACCTGCGTCAGAGGAGACTACCACAGAGGAACCAGAGCAGTCAACCACTTCTGCACCAGAGGAGACTACCACTGAGGATCCTGACGTGAGCACCACTTCTGCATCAGGCGATAGTACTTCAGAGGATCCTGACGAGAGCACCACTTCTGCACCAGGCGATCGTACCACTGCATATCCTGACGAGAGCACCACTTCTGCACCAGAGGAGACTACCACTGAGGATCCTGACGTGAGCACCACTTCTGCATCAGGCGATAGTACCACAGAGGATCCTGACGTGAGCACCACTTCTGCATCAGGCGATAGTACCACAGAGGATCCTGACCAGACCACCACTTCTGCGCCAGACGATAGTACCACTGCATATCCTGACGAGAGCACCACTTCTGCGTCAGAGGAGACTACCACAGAGGAACCAGAGCAGTCCACCACTTCTGCACCAGAGGAGACTACCACTGAGGATCCTGACGAGAGCACCACTTCTGCACCTGGCGATAGTACCACAGAGGATCCTGACCAACCCACCACTTCTGCGCCAGACGATAGTACCACTGCGGAACCTGACGAGAGCACCACATCTGCGTCAGGGGAGACTACCACAGAGGAACCAGAGCAGTCCACCACTTCTGCACCAGAGGAGACTACCACTGGGGATCCTGACGATAGCACCACTTCTGCACCAGGCGATAGTACCACAGAGGATCCTGACCAAACCACCACTTCTGCGCCAGACGATAGTACCACTGACGATCCTGACGAGAGCACCACACCTGCGTCAGAGGAGACTACCACAGAGGAACCAGAGCAGTCCACCACTTCTGCACCAGAGGAGACTACTACTGCGGATCCTGACGAGAGCACCACTTCTGCACCAGGCGATAGTAGCACAGAGGATCCTGACCAGACCACCACTTCTGCGCCAGACGATAGTACCACTGCATATCCTGACGAGAGCACCACTTCTGCACCAGAGGAGACTACCACTGAGGATCCTGACGTGAGCACCACTTCTGCATCAGGCGATAGTACCACAGAGGATCCTGACGTGAGCACCACTTCTGCATCAGGCGATAGTACCACAGAGGATCCTGACCAGACCACCACTTCTGCGCCAGACGATAGTACCACTGCATATCCTGACGAGAGCACCACTTCTGCGTCAGAGGAGACTACCACAGAGGAACCAGAGCAGTCCACCACTTCTGCACCAGAGGAGACTACCACTGAGGATCCTGACGTGAGCACCACTTCTGCATCAGGCGATAGTACCACAGAGGATCCTGAGCAGACCACTTCTTCTGCGCCAGAAGATAGTACCACAGAGGATCCTAGCCAGACCACCACTTCTGCGCCAGACGATAGTACCACTGAGGATCCTGACGAGAGCACCACATCTGCGTCAGAGGAGACTACCACAGAGGAACCAGAGCAGTCCACCACTTCTGCACCAGAGGAGACTACCACTGAGGATCCTGACGTGAGCACCACTTCTACATCAGGCGATAAAACTACAGAGGATCCTGACAAGACCACTACTTCTGCGCCAGACGATAGTACCACTGCGGATCCTGACGAGAGCACCACATCTGCGTCAGAGGAGACTACCACAGAGGAACCAGAGCAGTCCACCACTTCTGCACCAGAGGACACTACCACTGAGGATCCTGACGATAGCACAACTTCTGCACCAGGCGATAGTACCACAGAGGATCCTGACCAAACCACCTCTTCTGCGCCAGACGATAGTACCACTGCGGAACCTGACGAGAGCACCACATCTGCGTCAGAGGAGACTACCACAGAGGAACCAGAGCAGTCCACCACTTCTGCACCAGAGGAGACTACCACTGAGGATCCTGACGTGAGCACCACTTCTACATCAGGCGATAAAACTACAGAGGATCCTGACAAGACCACTACTTCTGCGCCAGACGATAGTACCACTGCGGATCCTGACGAGAGCACCACATCTGCGTCAGAGGAGACTACCACAGAGGAACCAGAGCAGTCCACCACTTCTGCACCAGAGGACACTACCACTGAGGATCCTGACGATAGCACCACTTCTGCACCAGGCGATAGTACCACAGAGGATCCTGACCAAACCACCTCTTCTGCGCCAGACGATAGTACCACTGCGGAACCTGACGAGAGCACCACATCTGCGTCAGAGGAGACTACCACAGAGGAACCAGAGCAGTCCACCACTTCTGCACCAGAGGAGACTACCACTGAGGATCCTGACGTGAGCACCACTTCTGCATCAGGCGATAGTACCACAGAGGATCCTGAGCAGACCACTTCTTCTGCGCCAGAAGATAGTACCACAGAGGATCCTAGCCAGACCACCACTTCTGCACCAGGCGATAGTACCACTGCGGATCCTGACGAGAGCACCACATCTGCGTCAGAGGAGACTACCACAGAGGAACCAGAGCAGTCAACCACTTCTGCACCAGAGGAGACTACCACTGAGAATCCTGACGAGAGCACCACTTCTGCATCAGGCGATAAAACTACAGAGGATCCTGACGAGAGCACCACTTCTGCACCAGGCGATAGTACCACTGCGGATCCTGACGAGAGCAGCACATCTGCGTCAGAGGAGACTACCACAGAGGAACCAGAGCAGTCCACCACTTCTGCACCAGAGGAGACTACCACTGAGGATCCTGACGTGAGCACCACTTCTGCATCAGGCGATAGTACCACAGAGGATCCTGACCAGACCACCACTTCTGCGCCAGACGATAGTACCACTGCATATCCTGACGAGAGCACCACTTCTGCGTCAGAGGAGACTACCACAGAGGAACCAGAGCAGTCCACCACTTCTGCACCAGAGGAGACTACCACTGAGGATCCTGACGTGAGCACCACTTCTGCATCAGGCGATAGTACCACAGAGGATCCTGACCAGACCACCACTTCTGCGCCAGACGATAGTACCACAGAGGATCCTAGCCAGACCACCACTTCTGCGCCAGACGATAGTACCACTGAGGATCCTGACGAGAGCACCACATCTGCGTCAGAGGAGACTACCACAGAGGAACCAGAGCAGTCCACCACTTCTGCACCAGAGGAGACTACCAATGAGGATCCTGACGTGAGCACCACTTCTACATCAGGCGATAAAACTACAGAGGATCCTGACGAGAGCACCACTTCTGCACCAGGCGATAGTACCACTGCGGATCCTGACGAGAGCAGCACATCTGCGTCAGAGGAGACTACCACAGAGGAACCAGAGCAGTCCACCACTTCTGCACCAGAGGAGACTACCACTGAGGATCCTGACGTGAGCACCACTTCTGCATCAGGCGATAGTACCACAGGGGATCCTGACCAGACCACCACTTCTGCGCCAGACGATAGTACCACTGCATATCCTGACGAGAGCACCACTTCTGCGTCAGAGGAGACTACCACAGAGGAACCAGAGCAGTCCACCACTTCTGCACCAGAGGAGACTACCACTGAGGATCCTGACGTGAGCACCACTTCTGCATCAGGCGATAGTACCACAGAGGATCCTGACCAGACCACCACTTCTGCGCCAGACGATAGTACCACTGCATATCCTGACGAGAGCACCACTTCTGCGTCAGAGGAGACTACCACTGAGGATCCTGACGTGAGCACCACTTCTGCATCAGAGCAGTCCACCACTTCTGCACCAGAGGAGACTACTACTGCGGATCCTGACGAGAGCACCACTTCTGCACCAGGCGATAGTAGCACAGAGGATCCTGACCAGACCACCACTTCTGCGCCAGACGATAGTACCACTGCATATCCTGACGAGAGCACCACTTCTGCATCAGGCGATAGTACCACAAAGGATCCTGAGCAGACCACCACTTCTGCGCCAGACGATAGTACCACTGCATATCCTGACGAGAGCACCACTTCTGCATCAGGCGATAGTACCACAAAGGATCCTGAGCAGACCACTTCTTCTGCGCCAGAAGATAGTACCACAGAGGATCCTGGCCAGACCACCACTTCTGCGCCAGAAGATAGTACCACTGAGGATCCTGACGAGAGCACCACATCTGCGTCAGAGGAGACTACCACAGAGGAACCAGAGCAGTCCACCACTTCTGCACCAGAGGAGACTACCACTGAGGATCCTGACGTGAGCACCACTTCTGCATCAGGCGAAAGTACCACAGAGGATCCTGAGCAGACCTCTTCTTCTGCGCCAGAAGATAGTACCACAGAGTATCCTGGCCAGACCACCACCTCTGCGCCAGACGATAGTACCACTGAGGATCCTGACGAGAGCACCACATCTGCGTCAGAGGAGACTACCACAGAGGAACCTGAGCAGTCCACCACTTCTGCACCAGAGGAGACTACCAATGAGGATCCTGACGAGAGTACCACATCCACACCAGATAAGACTACCAAGGAGGAACAAGAGCCAACTTCCACTTCTGCACCAGAGGGGACGACTTCTGAAGATCCCGAGCAGAGCACAACATCTGTGGTAGAGGAGACAACCAAAGAGGATCCTGATAAGAGCACCACATCTGCGTCAGAAGAAACTAGCACAGGGGATCCTGAGCAGACCACTACTTCTGTGCCAAAGAAGTCTACCACAGAGGATCCTAACAAGAGCACCAGTTCTGCATCTACGACAAAGGAACCATACGAGAGCACCACTTCTGTGCCAGATTCAACCTACCCTGAGCAGAGCACCCCTCCTGGGCCAGAAGATTCTACTACAGCGCTTCCTGAGGAAAGCACTTCTGCGCCAGAGAAGACTTCTACAAATATACCCGATCCCACGCAACCTGTACAGAGCACCTCTTCTGCGCCACAGACGACCTCCACATCAGCACCAGACGCTAGTACCACTTCTGAGGCAGAGGAGTCTACTACAGCTAGGCAGGAGACAACTACCGAACCTGAAGAAAGCAGCTTGTCGCCAGAGGACTCTTCGACCACGAGATCGAGTAGTTCTTCTTCCGGATCTGAAACCACTTCCATACCGATTACGTCGACTTCCTCCCTACCCCCGCTATCGTGTAGTAGCGGGTATCCTTTCCTTCCGTTCCCATCCGATTGTCGAAAGTATATCCAGTGTAGTGGGGATGTGGAGTACATTATGGACTGTCCCCCCACACTCTATTGGGACTATAAAAATCTCGCCTGTGTTCCAGATAGCAGAGGGTGTTATAGTGATGAAGGAATCCAGAAGCCCGAGGAAAATGTTTGCAGCGGAGGAGCGAACTACTTACCGGATCCAAGTGACTGCACCAAGTTCATCCAATGCAGCAACGGTCAGCCCATCTATCTGCAATGTTCCAAGCCCCTATACTGGAACCCAGTAGCCAATAGATGCGACTGGTCGGACGAATACTGCCAGAAAGATAAGCTCATCGATTTAAAGGTTTGTGGTGAGCCAGGCATGAAGTATGATGGTTTCCCTGGCGACTGTTCGAGGTACATAAAGTGCTCTGAAACTGGACAAATCCTGATGAGCTGCAATCCCGGACTGTACTGGAATCCCATTGAAAACGTTTGCGGAAATTCACAGCGGTTCTGCAATTAAGTGAAATAGTAAGTCATTTATACTTCTTTAATAGAAATAACATTAATTATTAAATATATATTTTTTTCAGATCTACTGCAGAAAGTAAAGATGCTTAAAATATGTTATTGTTATTTGTCATTAATAATATATTGTAAAATACTATAAATAAATTATAATCTGTATGCGTGTTCAACATATGAACATTCATATTTATGTTTAAAAAGTTTTCTTTTATTTTTTAAGTCTAATGCCTACAAAAAATTGAAAATTTTAGATGCTCTCAATAGATTTTCGTTTTGGGTTGGATGCAAATTTATGAAAATCATAAGCTCCGGTCTGAATTACCCTACAAAAAGGGTATGTTCAAGTTATAATAAAGCAAGTTTCAGATTGGTTTTTTAATAAAATAAATCATTAAGTCATATTTTCTTTACATTTTTGTTGTAATACGAAAATTTTTTAGAACATCTTGAGGCTCAAAGGGTATATTTCAGTTGAACTATTTCCTATTTATAATTCCTACGCATTTTTGTTGATCTTATCAAAGTAGGCTTCAATTAAAACAAGAAAGGAAAGCTAACTTCGGGCGGAGCCGAAGTTTATATACCCTTGCAGTTAAAACCGGATATATATCGCAAACATCGGATATAGTTGGCCGATCCTTATGGGAATAGGAATATATAATCCAATTTATTACAATACAAAATCTAAAAAAAGTCCCAAACTTCTATCTTCAAAAATACGAAAGTTGATATTTCTACCAAATACCATTTCCGATCGTTCAGTTATATGGCAGCTATGGGATATAGTCGGCCGATCCTAATGAAATTTGGTAGGTTGGATCAACTGACCAAGAATTAAATCTGTACTAAGTTCCAGCATTCTATCTTCAAAAACACGAAAGTTGGGTCATTTCCGATCGTTCAGTTATATGGCAGCTATAGGATATAGTCGGCCGATCCTTATGAAATTTGGCATGACGTAATGTTTTGCCAAAAATAGCTCACATGTCAAATTTGAACTCTCTAACTCTAAAAACACCAAAGTTATACCATTTCCGATCAATCAGTTATATGGCAGCTATAGGATATAGTCGGCCGATCCGGGCCGTTCCGACTTATATACTGCGTGCAAAGGAAAGAAGGGTGTGTGCAAAGTTTCAAGACGATAGCTTTAAAACTGAGAGACTAGTTCGCGTAGAAACAGACAGACGGACAGACAGACGGACAGACGGACAGACGGACAGACGGACAGACGGACAGACGGACATGCTCATATCAACTCAGGAGGTGATCCTGATCAAGAATATATATACTTTATAGGGTCGGAGATGTCTCCTTCACTGCGTTGCACACTTTTGACCAAAATTATAATACCCTCTGCAAGGGTATAAATATGGCTAGCCTTGAAACATACCCCACACCCCATTCTAGATGGGCCTTTGAAAAATTTAAATTTAATGCTCGAGTTCAATTCAAACACATGGCTTTGTGGAAACTTGGAGCCGATAAGAAGAAACCGAATCGAGCATTGAAGGCGGATGGGAAACGTGATCGGGATGGGATTTCGGGGCGGGTGATGATCTATTTATAGATATGACGATGGTTAGTCCATCAGAAAAGCGGTGTTGAAGCTTTCGGGCTCAAGGGTTATCTCAGCAAATTACTTCCGCCAAATTTCGGATTTGTTGAAATGAAAATATGTGTGGATTCCTTGGGAACTGGGAACTCAAATAAATTAAGCCCAAAACCAGACCAGACGCCATGCTGGCAAATTAAATGAACCAGAGAAAGGGACACACTTGAAAATGTATCCATGAGATATACAATTGCGTATCTTTATATGCTAATAAATGCCAGCACATTTCCTTAAAATGGGTCAAAAGTCTCCCCCGACCGATGATGTTGCAATGTTGCCCACAGAATGGAAACTCATTTGAAAGCAAGGCGGAGATGGGGCGGGCATGGTTACCCCAGCCATGGCAGGCGACCGACCAAGTGATCGATTGACACGATCGGAGCGCTGATACGTAATGGAATAGACACTCGAATGAATGGCACTGGCGACGAGCTGAGCTTGGTGCTCCAGAGCTCTAAGTGCCGTGCTCTGTGTACGTATGTGGTCGGGCGATAAGATACAGATACAGATACATTGTGCCTACATAAATATTCATGCTGCCGCTGGCTAAATGCAAATGTATTAGAAATTGCTCGCCTTCAATGAATTTGAGTTCTACTCAAGCTCTAGCTCTAGAGTTTTGATGCTCGGACAGGCCAGTGTTATTCGCAATCCAGCAGTTGTCGCGATCGGAAGCAAATCGGAAAATCTCCCTTGGAATCCTAAACCACGAAGGCGAAGAAGTATGTGTCTAAGCCATCAAGGACATTTATAAAAAGTCGCAATCTTAACATAGATCAAGGATATCCAAGATATAAAGAGTTTTATCTCAAAAGAGATATAAACATAGAGTGGATAATATTTTAATCCGTTTGGTGGACTTTGAAGTGTGATATCTGATATAATAAGGATCTCAAACAATGATCACATAGATACAAAAGTTTATAAATTATAAGATAATGTTTTCCAATATCCTTCCTTTATGAGGATCTTCATATATTTCTTAAATGTGGAATCGCTTCCGTTCCGTACGACATCCGATTACATCATTTCTAAAACGAACTTGCCTAGTTTTTGGCACCCTATTAGCAAACCGAGTGTGTGCCCATTTGAAAAGAAAAGTGATAACCCCTGAAAGTGACAGACACCAAAGTGAAGGAGTACAAATCTAACAATAACACACGCATTTGTATAATCGAAGCAGAACATGTTGATAATACCAACAATTTAATTTCATCTTACAGTTTGCTGGTTGTGTTCGACGATTACTCGACGTCGACGCATTTCAATTGGATTCAGAATTTGATTTATTGAAATGTTGCCCTTTCGCTGGGGCCTGCTACTGGGCCTCGTAGTGCTCGTAGCGTGCGGAGCCAATGGAGCTGCCATCGTAAGTGTGTCCAAATTGTGTTAATGAAAGCCCCGAACAGAACATACATAGAAATGTACATACATAGTACTGGCTTAAGTTCAACGTACATGAACTCGGCCCAAATACCCTAGCGATAAGACCCATTTTGACCAAGGTCAGTTCCAGAATTTGCTGAATGGAATTAGGGTCAGATAGGAATAGATAGAGCTGACATTAGCATTGAACTTACTTGGTGTTTGTAACAATTTTCAGGAGAAGTCGGCCAGCAGCACAGTTGAGCTCTCGGACGAAAACGATTTGTTGAGACAGAAACGAAGCGGCAGAGGCTAGTAAGTAGATACTTCTTATATCTACAAATAACCATTCAATAAATGATTCTTCGCTCTCACAGTTCCACGGGTCAGACCCAGTCGCAGTACTTAAACTTTGGTAAGCCCGAAGAGGACGGCAAGGCCGAGGCGGAGGCCAACGAAAATGGTTCCCGGGCGACAGTCTGTAAGTAGTGGTGGTTGTTTCTAAAAATCATCCTGGATATTAAGCTTATACTTGCAGCTGGAACTCATGGCATGGGCCAGGCCCAGAGTCAGTTCTCCTCGGGGGACTGCAGTGGCTGCGCCTACCAGCCGGACTACCCATCCTCCGGTAGGATTCTCGATGCCAGTGGAGGGCCAGGTGCCTCATCAAACCTTCCTGGTAAAGGTAAGAATTCAATTAATAATTTTTTTCAACATTTTTATAAACAATTTTAAATCAGTTGGTCCAGGAGCTGTTGGACAACCCGGATTCGGTGGTCAGCCAGGAGTTGGCGGACAGAGAGGTATAAGTGGGCAGCCAGGATTTGGAGGACAAGGTCATCCAGGATATGGCTCCCAAGTCGGAGGAGGAGGTCAGCCTGGAATCGGTGGAGGTCAGCCAGGAATTGGCGGACAGACCGGAATCAGTGGACAGCCAGGATTTGGTGGACAACAAAGAATTGAAGGTCAGCCAGGTTATGGCTCCCAAACGGGAGGTGGAGGTCAGCCTGGAATCGGTGGTGGTCAGCCAGGACAACCTGGTGTTGAAGATCTATCCAGCATTGGAGGCGGTCAACCTGGAACAGCTGGCGGTCAACAAGGACCTCAACCAGGTGTAGGAGGTTTAAGTGGTGAACAGCCCGGTTACGGTGGACAAGCTGGAACTGGAGCTGGACAACCTGGGTATGGAGGCCAGCCCGGATTTGGAGGACAATCCGGATTAGGAGGGCAACCTGGAGTGGCCCATCCTGGATACGGCGGACAATCAGGAACTGGAGTCGGACAACCTGGATATGGAGGGCAGACAGGAACTGGCGCCGGACAGCCCGGTTACGGAAGTCAAACTGGAACCGGACAGCCTGCTTACGGAGGTCAGACTGGAACCGGTGAAGGACAACCTGGATTTGGAGGACAGCCTGGAACTGGACAGCCCGGTTACGGAGGACAGACTGGAGCCGGACAGCCCGGTTATGGAGGTCAAACTGGAACCGGACAGCCCGGTTTCGGAGGACAGACTGTAGCCGGACAGCCCGGTTATGGAGGTCAGACAGGCACCGGACAGCCTGGTTACGGACAAACTGGAGGACAGCCTGGAACTGGACAGCCTGGCTTCGGAGGTGAAACTGGAACCGGACAGCCCGGTTTCGGAGGACAGACTGGAACCGGGCAGCCCGGTTTCGGAGGTCAAGCTGGAGGACAGCCTGGAACGGGACAGCCCGGTTACGGAGGACAGACTGGAGCCGGACAGCCCGGTTATGGAGGTCAGACAGGTACCGGACAGCCTGGTTACGGACAAACTGGAGGACAGCCTGGAACTGGACAGCCTGGCTACGGAGGTCAAACTGGAACCGGACAGCCCGGTTTCGGAGGACAGACTGGAACCGGGCAGCCCGGTTTCGGAGGCCAAACTGGCACCGGACAGCCTGGTTTCGGAGGTCAAACTGGAGGACAGCCTGGAACTGGACAGCCTGGCTACGGAGGTCAAACTGGAACCGGACAGCCCGGTTTCGGAGGACAGACTGGAACCGGGCAGCCCGGTTTCGGAGGCCAAACTGGCACCGGACAGCCTGGTTTCGGAGGTCAAACTGGAGGACAGCCTGGAACGGGACAGCCCGGTTACGGAGGACAGACTGGAGCCGGACAGCTCGGCTATGGCGCTCAGACTGGAACTGGACAGCCTGGTTACGGACAAACTGGAGGACAGCCTGGCTACGGAGGTCAAACTGGAACCGGGCAGCCCGGTTTCGGAGGACAGATTGGAACTGGACAGCCCGGTTTCGGAGGACAGACTGGCACCGGACAGCCGGGCTACGGAGGTCAGACTGGAACCGGGCAGCCCGGTTTCGGAGGACAGACTGGAACCGGGCAGCCCGGTTACGGAGGCCAAACTGGCACCGGACAGCCTGGCTTCGGAAGTCAGACTGGAACCGGGCAGCCCGGTTACGGAGGCCAAACTGGCACCGGACAGCCTGGTTACGGACAAACTGGAGGACAGCCTGGAACTGGACAGCCTGGCTTCGGAGGACAGACTGGAACCGGACAGCCTGGTTTCGGAGGTCAGACTGGAACCGGACAGCCTGGTTACGGAGGACAGACTGGAACCGGACAGCCTGGTTACGGAGGACAGATTGGGACCGGACAGCCCGGTTACGGAGGTCAGACTGGAGGACAGCCGGGAACTGGAACCGGACAGCCAGGTTACGGAGGTCAAACAGGAACCGGACAGCCTGGCTACGGAGGTCAGACTGGAACCGGGCAGCCCGGTTACGGAGGCCAAACTGGCACCGGACAGCCTGGTTTCGGAGGACAGACTGGAACCGGACAGCCTGGTTACGGAGGACAGACTGGAACCGGACTGCCCGGTTACGGAAGCCAAACTGGCCCCGGACAGCCTGGTTTCGGAGGACAGACTGGAACCGGACAGCCTGGTTACGGAGGTCTAACTGGAGGACAGCCTGGAACTGGAACCGGGCAACCTGGTTTCGGAGGACAGACTGGTTACGGACAAACTGGTGGACAGCCTGGATACGGAGGTCAAACTGGAACCGGACAGCCTGGTTTCGGAGGACAGACTGGAACCGGGCAGCCCGGTTTCGGAGGACAGACTGGATTTGGAGGTCAGACTGGAGCTGGAAGCGGACAACCTGGATACGGAGGTCAACCTGGAACTGGACAGCCTGGATACGGAGGTCAGACTGGAACCGGCCAGCCCGGTTTCGGAGGTCCAACAGGAACCGGACAGCCCGGTTACGGAGGTCAGACTGGAGGACAGCCTGGAACTGGAAGCGGACAGCCCGTCTACGGAGGTCAATCTGGAGTCGGACAGCCCGGTTTCGGAGGACAAACTGGAAATGGACAGCCTGGATACGGAGGTCAAACTGGAGGACAGCCTGGAACTGGAGGCGGACAACCTGGTTACGGAGGGCAAACTGGAACCGGACAGCCCGGATACGGAGGACAAACTGGAATCGGTGGTGGACAGCCTGGATTTGGAGGACAGACGGGAACTGGAACTGGACAGCCCGGATACGGAGGACAAACTGGAACTGGACTGCCTGGGTATGGAGGTCAAAATGGAATCGGTGGAGGACAGCCAGGATTTGGAGGACAAAGTGGAACCGGAACTGGACTGCCTGGTTACGGAGGTCAAGCAGGAATCGGTGGAGGACAACCAGGTGCAGGAGTGCAGCCTGGCTATGGAGGACAAACTGGTATTGGAGAACAGCCTGGCTTTGGGGGACAACCCGGAGTCAGTGGCGGACAGTCGCTTATTCCTGGGCAACCAGGCTTCGGAGGTCAACCAGGAATTGGTGGCCAGACTGGTACCGGAAGTCAAGTGGGGCAGCCAGGCGGCAGCTCTCAAATTGGAGCACCTGGACGCTACACAGCTGGAACTGGGGTCGCACCAGGAGCTAGTGGTGTTGGAGGTGGGTCTTCCGGCGGTGGAACTGGTGCTGTTGGTAAGTTCTCAACTCCAAGTAAAGAGTATAAATGATTTACTCTGTGAACCTTACAGGTGGTCCTGGGTCTGCTGGAGTCGGTGGTGCTGATGACGCATTCTCGCAAGCCGAGTCCTCCATTGGTGACGGCCAGGCGTCCGCAAGTGCTCAGGGCAAGAAGAACGGAGGCACAGCCAAGACGCAGGTCTCGGGAACCTATAGTGCTGGTGGCACTTTCAGCGCCAGTGCCATGACCTCGGACGCGGATCGGGCTGCCAGTGCTCAGGTGACTGGAAACGCCGATGGAGCTCAGAGTCAGTCTCAAGGCTCCGGCGGTCCGGCGCAGTCGCAGGCCCAGGTGCAGGTGGGCAAGGATGGGGGCACCAAGGCCTCTTCCCAGAGTGGTGGCATCATCCAGCAGAGCCAAAGCGAGGTGCACGCCAACGACAAGGGTGGCCTGGCGGACGCCCAGTCCAGTGGTCCAGGACAAACCTCGTCGCAGGCTCAGATTGGTTTCCGGCCCGGCCAGGAACAGACAGCAGCCAATGGCGGCGGCCAGGCTTCCTCCTCTTCAGGAGCCCACTCGAGTCAAAGTAGTTCTCAGATTCATGGAACCTCCAGGTAACTACGCTTCCCGTTTTTTCCTAAAAATAGATCTATAAAATATCTTTGGATTTCAGCTTTGGTGTTTCTTACCACGGAGCAGCTCAATCCGCTTCAGGAACCAAGGAGCAGGTGGCCTCCTACAGGGAACAGAACCGTCAGCTCTTCAACACAATTAGTCAGTTTGGAAACGGTGGCAATGCGTAAGATTAACTCAAATTAATTAAATTCTAAAACTGTTTTACATATGATTTATAAATTTCAGGGTTACTGACCGTGCTGATGCTGTCTATAGTGGACCTGCGCTTACGGACGACTCTGATCGTCTGCCGGAACTGCAATTAAAATCCAAAAATAACAAAGAAGAGACTGAGAAGGGCGAAGAGAAGAAGCCCGACCAGGCGGAGCCCGTTCAGTACGACGACGATGATGAAAACGACGCCGACGACTACGACGACGATGAGTACTACAACGAGAAGCCCATCAAGCTAGAAGAAAGTCCCAAGCCGACGCCGAAGCCTTTGGCCTACACCCAGTCTTCTCCCACACAGAAGCAACAGGCTGTGGTGGCGGCAGCCCCTGGTGACAAGTACCAGGTGGTGCAAAAGCAAAACGACAAGGTGAACACCTATACCGAGCCCTCAACCACAGCCATTCCTCCGGGTTTCCGCGGCACCGTCAACGTGCAGAAGAAGTTCCACACCAAGGCTCTGGAACTGCCGCACAGTGGCAACAAGGTGGAAATCACTCCCGACAACAAGGAGGATGGTCCAGTTCGCGGGGACAAGCCGACGGTACGTGCTCCTGATAGCTATGTCACTGTTACCAAGTCGGTGACCGGCAGCATGGACAACAGCAAGAACCCGCCGGAGGAGAACAAGAACTTCCAGTCGACGTACTACACCAAGTCCTCGACATGTGGCTACTTCACATTCTCCTGCAACATCGTCTACGGTCCAAATGGCCGGAACAAGATCTGCCGCCCCAAGGCCCCCACCAACGGAAAGTGCTAGGGGAAGGAGGCAGCCGCTCATACTTACCAAAAAATACCCACCCATATTAATATTATTGTAGATCAGTTCTAAAAGGGGCTCAAGTGTAGTAATTAGCTTAAAGACCAACTGCAATCACAGCAGCTTCTTCATAAAGCATTTATGTGTTTTTCGAGAATAATTTTAGAGTTTCACTGCCATTTCTTCAACATTTGTACGATTTGCAACTGTAATTAATATTTAATAACAAACCAAAACCAAAACCAAACCATTTGATGCCTTTAAAGTTTAAACACAGATTTTGTCGCAGGTGAGTAGCTTCGAGTTCCAGTAGAGGTATTCGGGGCAGATCTTGACAAAGGGAAGGTAATCGCATTGAATGAAGCGACTACAGTCACCAGGATAGGGAACAAGCTGTCCCAGTTTTTGATAGCAGAGCTCGGATAAATCCTCAGGAATCCTTGGGGCTGGTAGGGGTCTGGAGGTTTCTTCTGTCGGTGGAGGTGCGACGTTGCAACTATCAATCGGCTGCAGCTGGCATTCCTGGAGCCTATCGTTCCAATAAAATTCCGGCGGACAGCTTAGCAGACGCGTCTCAGTAAATTTCCGGCAGTCATTGGGATGTGGTTGTATAACAACACTTTCTTCTGTAGAAAGTCCACAATTCCACAAGCTCAGTACGGAAATTAACAGAAGTTTGATTAGCACTATCAGAAATTATAAAAAAATATTAGGTTAAAGTACATTTATTATAATAATCATACTTCGAATGTTCATACTTTCGAATGTACTGCAGATCTTTAACGATTATTGAGAATCTGAGAAATGATTTTCGATTAACAGGGCTTTTATATATCTCTGCGGATTGCATATCAGTAGTATTTACATTTAATATCTTAGTGGCCTTGATATCATAAAGGTAATGTCCAGCTAAGAGGTGCTTTGTTGTTTAATGGCAAACAGAAAACATTTATCTATCTCTTCAAAGGTATAGCCTTGTACCATTAATTCCTGGAAGTGCTTCCCCTGATATTTTATTCTTTTGTAGATTTACGTAAAAATAAATAATATCTATAAATAATTCTTGATAAAAAAAAGCACTTAATTCTTGTATAAAAAGGCCTACGACAACTGGAGTTTATCATCATTTCTTCGATTCTTCAGAACTGGATAGGACCAAAAGTAAGAAATAATACAAATTAATCGGAAAACATTATTAATTTTATCCTTAAGTGTTGCGAGGACCTTTTCTTCTTTGCTGTGCTTTATTGGCTGGCGCCTCCGCTGCTTTAGGAAGTGTTGTAAGTTGTATAGAGGTTTAAGTGCATGAAACTAGTGATTACTAATCTTCTCTTCTTAGTCGAATGCCGTTATAGAAGCCGGAGGACAATGCCCGGCTTACAATGACCCCGCTCACCCTATATTGCTACCAGATCCCACCGACTGCCGCAACTACTTCACCTGCTACTTCGGCCAGCTCCAAAAACGGCAGTGTCCTTCGAATTTGTACTGGAGCGAGACTCGCTATCGCTGCGACCTCAAGCAGTATTCAAATTGCGTCGAGGAAGAGTACAATCCTCAAGTGGAGTACAGACCCTTTCCTGGGGATTGCTCTCGTTTCTACGTGACACAAGTTCAACTATGCCCGGATAACTTACACTTTAGTCCCACTTATGGCAGATGTGTCGATCACCGGTATGCCGGATGTGAGGCTCTTCCTTGGGATCCCAGCCAGCAAGGTAATGGGTATATACCCAGCGGACACATCCCCAATACGGATTATCTTCCCATCGATCCACCAGATTTGTGCAACAATGTTGCATCCAATGCCTATATCCCGTATCCTGGAGACTGTCAAAAGTTTATCCATTGTGGTCCTAGGGCCACTGTCTTACTATGCCCCGGCGACTTGTTCTGGAATCCCTTGAAATCTTCTTGTGGCGTTGACAAAACTTATTGTTAAGGGTTTTAATTAATAACCATCAAATATTTGACAAACTATTGCTTTTGCAATCTAATATATACAATAAAATATGCACTCTAAATTGATTTTCTTTTATAGTTTATGATTGAAACGGTTGGGATTACACTCCGCCTTATCAGCATCCATACAGGTCAGGTTTATGGGACTGAACTCTTCGTCCTCTGGACAGGCGTAGCCAACAGGAATGGGATCGGCGCAGACTATATACTTGCTGCAGTTTCTGGGATACGGCACCAGGGCTCCCTCAATCTGTCCGAAACAAAAACTATCCGGCGATGGAGTAGTTAAAGGTTCAAATGTGGTTGTTGTGGGCGGAAGATGGGTTGTTGTTGTGAGAGGAATGCTGCAGTTGGCATACCACGGTGCCATGCAACGCTCCAAGCTGGCACTGAACTCTTGACCCGCAACGCAATTGTAGACCATGGGCTTGGGTTGGATACAAATTATAAACTTGGTGCAGTCATTTGGATATGGAACTAGTTTTCCAACGGGTTGACCCTCACAGGGATGAACTTCGGCACTTGGTGTACTCAAAGTGGTAGGTTCTGTGGTTCCGGTTGTGGTAGATTCGGTCGTGGAAACGAAATCTTCGCGACATGCGTCCGGGGAGGCATCGGGGTCACACTCTCCTATCAATGGATCAAAGAACTCTCCAGTCTGGCAGATTCCCATCATGTACGAACTGTCATCTGTGCACCGTATAAACCATTCACAATTCTCCAGATAAGGCAAGTTACTGCCAGTCTTGTTAAAACAAATCGAAGTTTCCGGTGGCGGTTGTGTAAAGCCCGGTGAGACAGTTGTGTCTTCGTCCCAGGGGCAATCACTTAAATCCCACTCCACACACTTCTGAAGAGCTTGATTAAAGAACAGGTTTTCCGGACAATAAAAGGCAATCGGCACGGGGCTAACGCAGATAACGTATTTACTGCAGTCATCAGGGTAAGACACATATTGATTCTCGCTTTGCCCGTAACAGATACCCGATATATCTGGTGGGTTTGTAGTTGTTTCCGCCTCCACGGTGGTATAACTTGAAGTGATATCTGTGGTGTCGCTTGGAGGAGTTGATTTAGAAGTAGTAGATTCTGTAGAAGTCCGTGTTTCTGTACAAGCCGTGGGAGACACGTCGGGGCCGCAGTTACCAGTTTGGGGGTCGTACCAGGAATTGTAAATGCAACTGGCGACCGCAGACTTTCCATTTCCCATGCAGAGTAAATACTGCTGGCAGTTGGTCACCACAGGAAATGAGACTCCCAATTCCTGGTTGGCGCACAAGTCTTCTGATTTTTCCGTAGTGGTTTCTACGGGTATTTCCGTGGTGGTGGTGAAAGCCGCGAGACAAGCAGTGGGTGAGACATTCGGTCCACAGTCGGCACTGCTGGGATCGAACCAGGAATTCGAAGGGCATTTGGCAGTGGCGGATTTACCATTTCCGAGGCACAACAGATATTGCTGGCAGTCTGACTCTATAGGAAAGGATGTTCCTACCTCCTGATTGTCGCAGGGATTTCTTTTATCCGCCAAGGTAGTGGTGCTTGGTACCGTTGTGGCCAAGGATGTCGTGGGCACAGGAGTTGTCAGGATTTCCCGACAAGCTTCTGGGGAAACGTCCGGACCGCAGTTGCCGCTGATGGGATTGTACCAATTGTTTGCGGGGCAGGGCAGTATTACGTAGGAATTGTTTCCCAAACAATAGTAGTATTGATGACAATTGCTAGTGATTGGAAAGGAGGTTCCCATGCTTTCGCCCACGCACTTGGTAAAAATCTCCTCCGTTGAAGATGTGGTTTCGTCCCAGTCTGGCGTTGTCTGATTTCCATCACACCACACCTCGTCCGCGAAGTCACAAATACCCAAAACGTGGTTGAAGAGTAGATCCCCAGGACACCGATATGTCTCGCTTTTTCCATTCACACAAAGGATGAATTCGCCACAGTCATCAACGGAGGGCAGCAGGGTTTGGTTATCCTTCCCAAAACAAAGGTCTTCTTGTGGGGCTTCTGTAGTGGGGGATGTGGGATACGGCAAAGGTGTGCACTCCACGGCTTCTGGGGTATCGCAGATACGTAGATCGTTATTAAAGAGCTTCTCCCCGGGGCAGTACTCCACTTCAGCGCAGGAATCATTACAGGACACATAGGCATTGCAGTCGTAGGGATACTTATAGCATCCACTTGACAGGGAATCACAGAATGTTGATTCAATATATGATATAGTAGGGCACTCCTGAGAGTAGGCTGTAGTGGTTCCCAGACCAATGAATATAAGGAGACAACATATATTCCATTCTGCAACCATAAACTCGTATAATAGGTGAAAAGATTAGTACATTTTTAAAGTTACCTCTCATTTTAAAGTACTTTTGAATTGTCTTAGAGGAGACCTCCTTGGAACTTTAGTGTGCTTCTGGCTTCAAGTTGTGGAATTAACTGAATTTGAATTGAGTTTTTGGCAATTCAAGAGCAAAAATGACTGATATACGGCAATCAATCAACGTTTAAATTCTTTTCTCTGATAGTGACTAATTCCAGTCGATAACACATACTTTTAATAAGTTTTGAGACCAAAAACAAACGCATTTTTTGGTCAAGGAAATAGACAATAGGTTCTTAGGAATAACTAGAGATAATTGTCGCACCGCTCGTGTTTTGTTTTCAATTAATTTTGAAAGAGATACCAAAAAAGTAGGTGATTACAAGAGCAAATGGCTCATCAACTTTAAATAGAAGGTGTACCAATACTTTTTCATAAAACTGTATGAACTCTTCAAGTTATTCTTTCACTTAAGGTTTTATAGACATTACCTACTTTTAGGCTTCAACTGTATTTTATAAGAAAGTTAGTTTCACTTTACTTTTCTCATTATTTCGATGGAGATGCTCTCTCACATTTCAAGGGACGGTCTTTAACCTAGGCACACGCGAATATGTACATAAGTACATGTTTTATCAGACGGAACATGTGTTTCATATGAACTCTTATCGATTCCCAGCAAGAATTCCCAGTAAATATAGATAGTAGCAGTAGTCTACCACCCATCGCGCAAGATTCAATCAAATTTTGAACACTACATCATATTTGAGAATCATGCAAATGTCCTATCTAAGGCATAGTCTATAAAAGCGATGTTCCATGAATGGAAAGTTTCAGTTCGATTGTACTCCCGATAGCAGCAGACAAAATGAAGCTCCTTGGATTTCTTTGGATAATTGTTCTCTTTCAAACAGGCTCCCAGGCTCTTTTGCAAGTAGGTAATGCTTATCTTCTTGGTCATAAACCAAAATATTAAGTGTATTCCAATTAAAGGATGGATTCACCTTTAAAACATCCATTTGCGATGGTAAAAACGGAGGACTTCTACCCATGTTTGGAACCTGCAAGGCATATTACGTGTGTGTAGATGGAAAGGCGGTGATTGGATCCTGCGACGAGGATATGTTGTTTAATCCATTGACCCTTCACTGTGATGATGCCAGAAAAGTGGATTGTATTTTTGACGCAAAGCAAATTGAAAAGGACGACAGTTCGAGTTCGGAGAGTGATGAGGACGACGATTATGATGAAGAAGTGACACCTCCTCCAGCTACCACCACTACTACCAAACGTCCAAAGCAACAGCGACCTCTGAATCAGAATACAGGACTCTCGGATGTATCAAATAGAATCTGTGCTGCCAAGAAGGATGGAGTCATGCTCTCCAAGAAGAACTCCTGCGGAGAGTACTATGTCTGCAAGTCCAGGAAGCCTCAACTACGTTCCTGTCCCGGTCAGCAGCAATTCAGTCCCACTCGCCGAAGGTGTATGAAGGCTTCAGATGCAAAGTGTGTAGTTTCTGGGCAGGATCGATTGGATGGTCCTCCCATCACAGGAGGACTCTGTGCCGAGGAAAAGGAGAACTCCCTGGCTGCCCACCAAAGTGATTGCGGCAAGTTTTTACTTTGCAGCAATATGATGTTTCTGGTAATGGACTGTCCCACTGGCCTGCATTTCAATGTGGCGACTTCGCGTTGCGATTACCCGAAAATAGCTCAATGCCAGGCGAAAAATGCCAAAAAGGTAACCAAGAGCAATAAAAAGTCGAAACAGAGTGGCCGAAAGCCCAAGTCTCGACATTTGTAACTCATTCTGTGCAAAATCAGAAATAAAACTCCGTATATTGTTAAAAACGTAGTTGCAATTACTTTTTCTTGGTTAAGTTCTGGGTATTAGGTTAGGTGATAATTGAACTTACCATGTGAATAAATGCCCTAATTGTCCAGAAGAACAAGGTAAGTTGTAAATTATTTAAGAACTGCAAACTTTACGTTTAAAGTAAACCTCTTTAAAAAATGCATTTAAAAGAGGTTAATACACAAGATGGAAAGCTTTATAAAGATGTCGGGTCTTGTCAAGACAATTTTGACAGTCAAGATACCAGCGCAGACTTTAAATTGGAACGTGAGATGAATTTTGTTCGTTTATATAATTAATTGTCCCAATTTTAATAAATAAATAGTATAACTGACTTAATTAATCTGCGTTTTTATTTAAAATGTGTTCGTACTCTCGAATAAAACAAACAAAAATTTTGAATGCGAAAATAAACTATTTCAATTCCCATTTTTTAATTTCTCCAATTAGCTTCCAAGTCTCAAATTAAAAAATACGATTTTGCGATGCTCACAAAGTTTATTTAGGCTTTTAACATTCTACATTATCGGGCCAATCGCAGACCTTCTGTGTCGGATTGAAAACAAGACCGGCAGAACAGGTGAAGTTCACCTCGCATTCGCACTGGCAGACGACATAGGAAGAGCTACACGTCTTGGCGGAGGTCTTTACGGCGAACATAACTCCGTCGCGTTGACCAATACAGTCTCCGTGGCTCTCACAGTAGGTACCAGAGGGACCAGCAATCGGGGGCGGTGCTCCATCCTCGCAACCGACAACCCACGGAAAGTCACACTCCTTCGTCACATTATTGTATTGGAGGTTGCTGGGACAGTTCTGTTGGAACAGCTTGCCATCGACGCACTGGATGAAGGCCGAGCAGTTATTGGCGACCGGAAGACTGGGAGCATTTGGATTCTCGCAGCATTCAGGGTCACAGTCTTTCGGAATGCACACATTGTTCACGTCCATCTCGCACCTCTCGACAGTTGCGTTGAAGAACTGTGATGCGGAGCACTTGCGGGCCACGAAATTACCGTTGATACATTGCAGATATCCAGCACAGTCCGCCGGGTTTACCTTTACCTCGTACTCCGTGCAGGAGGGTACCACAATGCACTCGCCGTTGTCTGTTTCACAGCGGTTGGTTTGGTTGTTGAAGTAGAGTCCGCTGGCGCAGGACTGGACCACATACTTTCCGCCGGCGCAGATTTTGTATTTGGTACAGTCGCTTGGCACGGATCCTGTCGTGCCCTCAGTGCAGTTTACGCAAACGCCCAATTCGTCGATGATGCAAGCCCCAATAGTTTCGTTGAAGTACGATCCAGCGACACACTCACGACTGACCCAGCTGCCGTTGGAGCAGACATAGTACCCAGCACAGTTGGTGTAATCGATTTCGAGATCCCCATTGTTGCACGTCTGGTTTCCGTTGCACTGACCATCGTCCTTCTCGCACTTCTTAATGCCCGCGTTCCAATAATCTCCGGAGTCACAGCTCTTAACCACATACTTCCCGTTGGTACAAATTTTAAACTTGGTACAGTCCGAGGGATAGGCTTCAAGATCTCCATCAGTGCAGTTCACGCAAACGCCCAATTCGTCGACGATGCAAGCCCCAATAGTATCGTTGAAGTACGATCCAGCGACACACTCACGACTGACCCAGCTGCCGTTGGAGCAGACATAGTACCCAGCACAGTTGGTGTAATCGATTTCCAGATCCCCATTGTTGCACGTCTGGTTTCCGTTGCACTGACCATCGTCCTTCTCGCACTTCTTAATGCCCGCGTTCCAATAATCTCCGGAGTCACAGCTCTTAACCACATACTTCCCGTTGGTACAAATTTTAAACTTGGTACAGTCCGAGGGATAGGCTTCAAGATCTCCATCAGTGCAGTTCACGCAAACGCCCAATTCGTCGACGATGCAAGCCCCAATAGTATCGTTGAAGTACGATCCAGCGACACACTCACGACTGACCCAGCTGCCGTTGGAGCAGACATAGTACCCAGCACAGTTGGTGTAATCGATTTCCAGATCCCCATTGTTGCACGTCTGGTTTCCGTTGCACTGACCATCGTCCTTCTCGCACTTTTTAGAGCCCGAGTTCCAATAGTCGCCAGATCCACAGCTCTTAACCACATACTTCCCGTTGGTACAAATTTTAAACTTGGTACAGTCCGCGGGATAGGCTTGGAGATCTCCATCAGTACAGTTCAGGCAAAAGCCCCATTCGTCTATGATGCAAATGTTGAGGGTTGCGTTGAAATAGGCTCCATCGGCACACAGGCGACTGACCCAGCTACCATTGGAGCACACTTCGTACCCAGCGCAATCCTTAGCATCCTCTTGAATGTCACCTTCGGTGCATGTTTGGTTTCCGTTGCACTGACCATTGTCCTCCTCACAGTCGTTTATAGCCGAGTTATAGTACTCTCCGATCGGGCAGGACTTGGAGACATACTTTCCGTTGACACAAACTTGAAACTTGGCGCAGTCGTTCTGATCGGCCTTCTGGCTGCCTTCAACGCAGTTGACGCACACTCCACACGTATCCAAGACACACTTATTGAGGGTGCTGTTGAAGTAATCCCCAGAGTCACAGGTCTGGTTCACGTAGGACCCATTAACACACTCCAGATACCCGGCGCAATCTTCAGGGTTTGGGTTAACCTCGCCATCCACACAGGTGGGTGGCTTGCACTGGCCTTTGTCCAAATCACATTTTTGGTCATCGGAGTTCCAGTAGTATCCATTATCGCACGACATGGAAACCAGCTCGCCGTGACAGCAGACAAAGTACTTGGTACAGTCATCCTCGTCCACCTCAGTCTCCCCATCCACACAGGGCGTCGGGGGCCGGCACTCTCCATTGTCGACTTGGCAGAGGGCTGATTCCGGATCCCAATAGGTTTCGTTCGGGCAGGTCTTGGATACAAATTCTCCACTGCAGCACACCAGGTACTTGGTGCAATCGTCTACGTCTATTTTGGTTTCTCCATCCTTGCAGCACTCTGCATTCAGCGATCCCACGAACAGGGACAACACAAGGCACACGTAAATCACTGAAAAATCACCCAAGGATCAGTATCCGTCGAATCCAGGTTTGGTGTTAGCTCCTTACCATTCTGACCATTTCGCAACAGAGCCATCTTGGCACTCCGCATATCGAATGCTCACTGAGGGGCCTTGGGAACATTATGGGCTTTTATATTTAGCATCAATTAAAATAATGAAATTTCTTTTCCTGCTCCACAGCATGTGCCGGTTTCGATAAAGAGGAACCATCTCCGATATTATCAGCATATATTTTCAGTAGTTATAGATGCGATAGAGATAGTTACTATTTATAAAAATGGGTAGCCAAGAGAGAATCCATAGAATCATTATTGTGGAAAGGGAAATACCTTTGTTCCACTTCCTTTCTCGGCTAACTTTAATCAGTCTTTAGGCTTAAAGATTGCCATAAAAATTTTTATGTATGGTACTTTTTAGAGCTAGAAGTTCTATCCCAAGCTTATATCTTTTTCTTCGAAGAAATTTCAAGGTAAACGTGCCAAATTGTGTCCTAATAGTAGCATTTTAATCAAACTAATGAACATTTGTAGAGCAAAAGATAAATACCAGAGGGACGCCTTGAACAATCACCGTGATCTTGAGAATTCGCATCAAAAAAATAGAAAATCAAACTCAAGGTTATATAGAAGAATATGAAGTTTAAGCCCTAATTTCGAAAAAAATCTAATTTCTTGTCATACTAATGGCCACACAAGGGTAATCGTTGGACCTATGCCACTCTTATTTTTCGATAGCCCACAGGTGGACTGTGCCCGAGGTAAGACTGATTAAAAATGATTTATTAACCACGAATTTCATTAAGAGATTAGACCATATCCCAGTTGCTTGGACAAAGATATACTTTATTTATAGAGTACAGGTGACATTGCTCTCGTAGTTGCAAGTCTTCTTTGTCTGGTCCCAGTAAAGGCCCACAGGACAGGACATTTCCACCTCGCATTCGCACTGGCAGACGACATAGCCATTGCAGCTGGTGGTGGAATTCAAATAGGTTCCCTCGGGCTGGCCCAAACACCGGCCGTTGCTTTCGCAGGCGGTGCCCGAGGGTCCGGCAGTTGGACCCGAGGGCGGAGTGTACTCCCACTTGCATTCCACATTTTGGGGATAGTTGCAGATTTCAAAAGTCGAGTCGTAGATCAGATTGTTGGGACAATATTGCTCCACGGCGCAGTTGTAATTACACTTGTAGAACATATTGCACTTGCCCTCGACGGGAAAGAGTTTTCCCTCCGGCTGACCCTGGCAGACTGTGACGTCAGTGGTGTTGCAGGCCACTTCCGGAACATAGTTCGCAGGATAATCGCACTGATCTGAAGTGGCGTTGTAGACGAGGTTGTCGGGACACAGAACCTTTAAAGCCCCACTGGCTGAATCATCATCCGTTGGGAAATCGCATACCTGAGCTTCTTCGTTGAACTTTAACTCATCCGGGCAGGTCATTGCAATAGGACACTGGCATTGGCACACGAAAAATCCGTTCGATTCGGAGTCAGCAAACATCGCTCCATCCTTCTGGCGATAACATACGCCATGATTGGAGCAGGTCGTTCCCGAGGGCCCCTCTATCTCGTCTGATGCATCCGCGGTAGGAGTACAATCCACATTCCACCAATTGTCGCACTCATTGGATTCGGGATTGAAGTATGTGTTGGCAGGACACGTTTGTTCCACGGCGCACCCATTGCTGCACTGGTAATAACGGACACAAATGCCGGGAATATCAATAAAAGACCCGGTTTTTTGGTTCGCGCAGACAGGATTAGAGCTGGCACAGTAGGTGGGCGCCACCTGACTAGGACTTGGTGTCGTGTTTGAGGCATTAGTGGTATCATCGAAGTCTGAAGTGGAATCTGTGGAGTCAGTAGAACCAGTGGAGTCTGTGGAGTCAGAGGAATCAGTGGAATCTGTAGGTTCTGTCTCCGGAACTTTGGTCGTCGTTGTAGCCGGATCGCAGTCCTCTGTCACAGCAGTGGTTTCTTCATTGGCATCGATGGAATCGCTGCATTCTTCGGCACAACAGTCGCAGGAACACTGGTCAGCCGGCCCGGCAAAGGCGGCCAGTCCAAGGCAGTTGGCACGCCACTGGAAATCGCACTCGCCCAGCTCCCGATTGAAATGGAGGCCGCGGGGACAGCTACCAATTGTGGAGACCTCTCCATTTTGGCAAACCACAAACCGGGCACAGTGGGTGGCCAAGGGGAGGCGGGATCCGTTCTCCAAGTTAAGACACACATTTGCTAATTGGGCCGCCGCCACCTGCAGGCCTCCAGCCACCAGCAAGAGTGTCCAAATAGCTGAAAGGTAATCCAACGGACGACTGGTTTAGCAATAGCTGATATAGGTTCTGGCATTCCCCATCTCTCACCTCTGGAATCGATTTTTGGCATTGGGCCGCGATTAGGTTTGTAGTTGTTCGAAATTTGCGAACGACTAAGTGGCAGGCCGTGCAGAGTAGCACCATTTAACTGGCTTCGAGTGGCCCAAATCAGTAGTCGAATCTTCTGATAATACCAATCACCGTATCTAACTCTCGATTAGTTCAGTAACTGATTTGTTCGCGCCCCCCGATATCGCAGGTGTAATTATGTGTGCATGTCTGGAGTTCGGGCCGGGATTCGTGGCCCTTATCTCAACCACAACCGATTCAAATATTTTGGCGCAAACTGGCGGATTCCCAACTATTGAATGGGTACCGGCGTCTACCTAATTTATGGGAACGATAAGCACAACAAGAAAGCCTAATCATTCACATCGCTTTATTGACACTTGAAATTAAATGACGTTTATTGTCGCTCAAAATGAAGTGTCACAAGTGTGTATTTTTCAAGCGGATGCCATCGATAAAGGAGAAAACGAGCAATAGGATGCTCGACCTGACAATACCAATAAAGCCAACACTTTACAAAAATATTTAAAACCAAATAGAAACATGATTTATTGGGAAGATATGCCTTGGAAGCTTTGAAAATAAAATTATAAATATTCAACTGAAAGGGCGGACGTATCAGTTTTGATAAGTTTGATAAGATAGTTACCTTAAAACTGATAATATAATCATATAGACTGCTTGTCTGGCAGGGTATGCAACTGTCGGAGGTGTTCTAGTGGAGTATCTTTTATTTTTAATTCACTATCGAAGAGTGGAGGTGTGTCTAAGAGTACACTTCTTAAATTCCAGGAATTGCACACAATCACGCCGATAAGAAACCGATTCTGTGCAGTTCATGAAAGTAGAAAATAGCACAAATTTAGTAGCGAAAATTAATGGCAAAATTTAGGTTTTTCTTGTCATTTCACTATGTTCCGTCCGTGGAGTTCCGTCTTCAAACCCCCATTTGTACGTATTTCCCATTTATCAAAGAATTGCGATTGACGTTTGACAAGTACTGTTATGGGCCAAGTTAGAAAAGAACCCAAAACACCTTAGAGAAGACTGCGGTGAGAGGCTTCCTTCTCCGCGAGCTGGCATGAAACCCAAGACAATGCAATTCTAATTATTCAAATGCGAGCCAAGTACGCTTGAATTAAATTACCAAACTTGGGGAAACCTAATTGAAAGAAAGAAGAGCAACAGTTGTCTGTACTAAGACCTAGAAAGGCTTAGGCTCTTCGGTGTCCATTACACTTCACGCATCGCCCTAGCCATGTACCCATAAGGAGCAACAAAAGACAGGCCAGCGGAAATATGAGTGGCTCTTCCATCGCACATACACTCTCACAGCTAATTAATATACACATCGACGGGTGTACGGGGCTCTGGCAACTGTCTATTATAAAAATCTTCTCAGGTGTAACAGGTTTCTCAGATTTAAACTGAGGTCGCGCCTTCGGGGTATACAGTCATCAACGGCACTCGCCTCGGAACTGATCGTAAAAGCGGCTTTCAGCCGGTAGATTGGAACTACCAGGACCTACACTGACAGGATTAGCTAGCCAGGATAATTCGAATCAAAGAACTGAGATCGATTGGTGCATAGATATCAAGGAGATCCGATCATTTCAATTCTAGCACCATTCGAAATCAGTGCTTTTGATAAGAACCACTCAACCGATAAAGTGTTTTGTGTGTGTTTTTCTACAAATCAGTAATGGACAAAAAAACGTGTGACAATCAATAAAGAGTGTTTCCATAAATATATAATATATAAACATATTATAAAGTCACAAATGCCAGCCGGCAACCTTATTGCCGAATGAAGCCCTCAAAGTGCAAGCATTCCTCTGACCGAGTCTTTCGTCGCCGATCGGAATAAGTCAACAACATTTGCTTAGTCACCCCTGGAAATATTTTTCTTATCGTCTTCGAAAAGACAACAGTCCCAAGTTTTTTTTACTTTAAGCTTGGGTTTTCCTTGATTTAAAGTTCTATGTGTCTCTTTATTTGACATGAGTTTGGCTTCTACTAACCTATAGCTTTCAATTCAATAAATTAAGAAGCTTATCAGGTTTCGAAACGAAGGACATGGTTTTGTTTACCAAACCTGTAGTAATTGGAAATTAATAGTATTCTTATCTGAACAGAAAGTTATAAATAACTTGGCACCTGATTGATTTTTAAAATTAAAGTAAACATTAATAACCAGGTCGACATGAATAATACCTTGCCAATGGATATAAAGCTAAACTACAATATATAATTATTATGTTCGTTTTTATAAAGAATCAATGTTTAATTAAAACGTTCCTTTCTTTTTTTATCAACTTCAATGCATAAATATTTAACTATATTAAGTTTATATTTTAAACTTAGGGTATTATTATTCTCAATATTGGTTTCTTCCAAAAGATTCAATTAAAAACTATAACCTGGAGTACTTATCAATTAGGTAGCAGTCTAGGGAGACTCCATTTACACTTCCTAACAAAAAATATATCTTTATAATATGTTTCATAGTTGCTTGTATTCCATAGGCACTGTAACAATGAAAACTTTACATGTTATTTTGTTATTATTATATATATATTTTATTTTTTTTTATTTAAAAGAAAAAGTTACTCAATGTTGGTAACAATACCAAATTAAAAGACACTGATCTCTCTTTATGACTAGCACCTAATCTTATCTATTTTTTGGATGTGGTAAATTAATGTCATCCAAATTGGAAAAATCTGCAACATGTATTTCTATAAAAGGCGCACCTGGCCTCGCCAGAAAGTTAGTGTTACTAAAACTGTGGAGACTATTTTCAAAATGCGAGGTGATACTGAGTAAAATAATCTATCAAGAATTGAAAATAATAAAGTCTATTTTCAGGTCTGTATATTTCATGGCTTGTACACAGTCTGGTGCTGACTGTGATGGTACACCTAAGCACCCAAACGGAGCACCTGAACTCCACCCTGGACATTTGTCGCCTTTTCCCGGATGGCACAAAGATTCGAAAACCCGGCGGCTGTACCGAGTATATTGAGTGTAAAAACTATGCACGGAGCACCGTAACCGCTTGTTCTGGAAAAACTCCCTACTTTAAGCTTAAATCTCAAAGTTGCGAAAATGCCTATGATGGTACTTACTGCGATGCACCATGCACCACAAAAACCCAGGGTTACATTGGAGATTCCATCAATTGCGCCAATTGGCACTTGTGCGAAGGAAAGAAACCGATGGCCACGGGAACCTGCCCCACTGGCCAGTACTTTGACAAGGTAACGAGTGCATGTGTCTATCCGAAGGACACCGTCTGCGTAGCCACCTATGAGCTGTGCGATGTTGCGCCTTTGAACGTGCTGTTCCGTGACGAGAACAACTGCAACAAATACTTTAGCTGCGACAAGGACTTCAAACTGCAGACTCACACCTGTGATGCTGGAAAGTACTTCAACGTGGCCACTAGCACCTGTGTCGCCAAGAAGGACGTCGTATGCGAGAACCATCCGGTGCCCGATGACGTCTGTGGCACCAAGAAGTTGGCCTTCCGAAACAAGTTTGTCTCCGATCAGTCCACTTGCAGAGGATACTTCTACTGTCGGGATCTGGGCTCCGGAATACCGGATACAAATCCCGCTTTTCTCCAGTGCGGCGAGGATTATTTCTTTAACCAGGAGCGGCAGGCATGCATACCTCGAGAGGATCAGAAGTGTTCCCAGGATCGCTGTGACGGCCGGGAGGATGGTGTATTTGAGATTGCTGAAACTCGCGGATGCCACGACTATTATGTGTGCCAAGATGGCCGTGAAAGTGAAACAAAATCCTGCGAAGACAAGTACTTTGATGTAGCGACCCAGAAGTGCACTGATACCGTCAAAACATACGGGGCCTGCAGTGCTTAATGTTAAAAAGAAAATATTTAGAAAAAAACATTCATTGAGTTAATAAAATAAATAAAATCTTTGAAACTGCAAATCAAAGTTTAGACAAATTTTTAATTTTAATTTTTATTTTTAAATTTTTAATTTAATTTTTAATTCTATCTTATTTTTTGTTCGTAGTTCCAAAGCTTAAACTTTATTTTCTCAAAGAAACGTAAAAAAAACTTAGGCAACAAAAAGAATATATTTTTAAATTATGTTTTTGGTTTTACCAAAAATCAAAAGAAGGTTATATTGAGGGGATTTGGATTTAGTTTGATTGAGAAAACTAAATATAGTTTTTGTCATTACTTTCATGTTTTTGCCATGGCGCCATTGCGCCATCTGTTGGTCAAGATAGAAAGGTTGCTTGTCATTTAAGGAGCTTTGTTCAAGCTTTTTCTTAAAAATAACGAACATTATGCTTCATCGGTATAAGAACCCAACTCAACTCAAGTCAACTTTTAATATCTTAAAAAACATATATTTTAGTCAAATTGAAAATTTCTAATCAAGTCTAACCTTTTAAAATAAACTTTAATAAAAAAACTTAACTAAAAAACAGGCGAAACTGTTATAAGCTATCTACTTTTTATATCTGATCTGTTTTTTTATTCTATCAAAATTAAATGAAAATTTTTTAGTAACGAACCTGCTCCATAAAGTGTTCCACTCCAAGTGTTTCAGTTATCGATAAATAAATTGTAGTGTTAGACATATCCTAAAATTGAACTGTCAAAACTTGTCAGTCATCAGAAAAGCCGTGACAGTGAATTGGCACTTTTTTTCAACTTTCCTCGTCTTCTGCGGAGCTTCTAAATAAACGCTTTAAATATGACAACCCCCGAGGCACGACCACCGATGGACGATGAACGCATCAAGGCGCTGACAAACTACCGCACCAAGTTACTGGAGCATCGGGAAATCGAGGCGCGCTTGAAAAACCTTCGGGACAAGCACAAGATTCTCAGTGCCCAGTTCGAGAAGTCTGAGGACGATCTGAAGGCCTTGCAGAGCGTTGGCCAGATGCTGGGCGAGATCCTCAAGCAGCTCACGCCGGACAATTTTATTGTGAAAGCTTCGAATGGACCGCGTTATGTGGTGGGCTGTCGTCGCCAGATAAACAAGGCCAAACTAAAGCCGGGAACACGTGTGGCCTTGGACATAACCACGCTGACCATCATGCGCTATCTTCCGCGCGAGGTTGATCCTCTCGTGTATAACATGACTCACGAGGATCCTGGCAATGTCAACTATACCGAAATCGGAGGACTGAGCGAGCAGATTCGGGAGCTGCGCGAGGTGATTGAGCTACCTCTTCTCAATCCGGAAATCTTCTTGCGTGTGGGTATCAGTCCACCCAAGGGCTGCCTCCTTTACGGGCCACCTGGCACCGGAAAAACCCTGCTGGCCCGTGCCATTGCTTCTCAACTGGATGCCAATTTTCTAAAGGTGAGTAAGACACAGCTTTTACGTAACCAATTATAATAATTTCTTGAAACTTTAATAGGTGGTTTCTTCGGCCATTGTGGACAAGTACATTGGGGAGAGTGCCCGCCTGATTCGGGAGATGTTTGCCTACGCTCGGGACCATCAGCCATGCATTATTTTCATGGACGAGATTGATGCCATTGGCGGGCGGCGTTTCTCTGAGGGCACCTCCGCCGATCGCGAGATCCAACGCACTCTGATGGAGCTGCTTAACCAGATGGATGGTTTCGATGCTCTGGGTCAGGTTAAAATGATCATGGCCACCAACAGACCGGATACCCTAGACCCGGCTCTACTCCGTCCGGGGCGTTTGGACCGCAAGCTTGAGATCCCCTTGCCAAATGAGGTGGCTCGCATGGACATCCTTAGGATACACGCTGCTCCTTTGGCAAAACGTGGTGAGGTCGACTACGAGGCCATCATAAAGCTCTCCGATTTGTTCAATGGCGCCGATTTGCGGAATATATGCACGGAGGCCGGCCTGTTTGCTTTGCGTGCCGATAGGGAGTATGTCATGCAAGAGGATTTCATGAAGGCGGTACGCAAGATCGCAGACAATAAGAAGCTGGAATCGAAGCTTGACTACAAGCCCATTTAGGAATTGGATTAACATCTTGTCAGAGTTTAATAAGAATCAATAAATGACTAATGTCCATATGGCCTATCATAATGTAATGTTTTAATGATTTATTTAAATTTATTGTATGGATATCTAATTTAAAAAGTTAAAGGTTGTACTTTACAGAATCTGTCGCAAAAGGTACGGGCTTGTAGCCAAAAGCCAGCATGGAATCCTATCCTGGCAATAAATCGGAGCATTCTGATACCGTGTCTAGTTGTTTTAGTGGTCTGTTTAAGGCACCAGGATATTCAATAGAACAAAGTGCAGCCACGAATTGGGGCAGCTCGATTCTGTGTGACAAATAGGCGTTTGAAAGTGTTTTATTGAATTTTTGGCTTTGGCCATGCTAACATGGTAGTGCCAAAATGTTTTCAGGACATTTGCATGGATTTGTGTAGGGATTGTTGTTTGAATGGATAAATTGCTTGTATACTTTCGGCTTTAAAACCAATTCATGATACTGATACTGTCTTTTAGTAGACTTTACTAAGTAGAATAACTTATAATTTAACTTTAATACATATATAAGTTGTTTGCTCTTTAAAGTTTATATGCATATAAAAATAATAAGCACTGGCATGGAGAAAAAGTTAAAAATTGGAAACCAAATCCCGGCCAGGCAACAACTGGCTCAGAAGTGTGTCCAGCGGCGTGGAGAAGTAACAAAAATAACAGAAAAATCAAGTTTTCTGAAAACGAAACTGAAACTCTATTCAATAAGTTTTGAGCTCCTTGGTTTGGCCGGGCTTGGCTGCTTCGATTTCTGTTGTGTGGCGCAACATGAGGCACAGATGCCACCAATGGCAATGGAGTCTATTCGATTCGATTCGGCTCGCATCCTCCAGTGTCCCTGTGAAAGAAATTAAATGCAGTCCCGCCGCAGGACAACTGGCTGCAACTTTTCCAGCAGCACGCTGCAAACTTGTTTTCGATCTTGACTTTTGGCTTCCTCAGTGCAGGGAATTACAAGCAAGGACATGGGCGTGGTTGGGCAGCTTGTTTCTGGAGAGTTATGGCTTTGTTCCGACAAACATATATGTATATGAGCTCTTTAAAATTTGGTTGTGGGACTTTAATAATCTCATATTATTTACACTGCTTTTTATTTGGATTTTTTAAAATATTACAGTGTTTTAAGAAACGTCCTTTAGATGGTTATGGTATGGTGTGGGACAGTAGTTCACATGCAACATTCGATTTGCATATGGATGTTGCATTCATAATCTTAATGCAAATTCTAGAGCCATCTTGAATTTCATTAACACAATTCGGGGAGTACAGCGGAGACTCCTTTCCCGTCCACTATCGCTTCCCCAGTCCTTTTCCAACCCTTATCCATTCCTAGGCATGATGGCCATACATCAAGATGAAGGATGAGCACTCCAGAGGATGCATGTGCCGTGTGCAAGTACCATTCCACACTTACATATGTAGCTATGTACATGCACTGGAAGGTGTTCAGAAATGTGGCCACGCATTGTAACGTTAACCGGTGTCGCTGTCAGGTTGCAAGGAGGGCCCAGGATCGAGGGGTTTGGGTTTACCGTTGAGGTTAACAAAAATGGCAGCGCTTTGTCCTGCTGGCTGTGAAATTGCTTTGGATGTCAAATGAATGCACTTGCATATTTCATTACCACCTTGCCACCTGCGACGCCTCGTCCTTGGCTCAGGCCCCTAAAAATTTATCGTTTATGTGAAATTAGATGCAGGAATCCTTGATTGTCAAACCTATAGGATGATGTAATCTTTGGGGAAATTAAACTAATTTGTATTGCTACCACAGCAGTGTTTGAAATAAATTTAAAGAGTGGGTAGGGATGGTTTTAGAATGATAATGGCAGGGACATATTAGTAATGAGTGTTCTATTTATTAAATAACCAAAATTATTATTTTAATTTAATCCTTAAATAGCCTTTAATTTCTCACCTCTTGAGCTTAACATGCGAGGGCCCAGATACCAGGACTTTAACAGGACGACACACTGCCTTAGTTTCGGGCTGCCACCTCTGTTCGTTGGGGCAGGTCATTTACGATCCACAAAGTCCTGCCACCCAACGGGGAGAAACGGTTGAGCTCCACACAGTGGCTGCTATCACGGATAGCAGAGCCTTTATAAAGTAACTTTCGCAACGCCAAGTCGAGCTCAGTGTGCGGGTAGCCTCGCGAGGCTGCGGACTTCGAAACCGGGATACGGGAAACCCAACGGTTCGGAATCTTTGAAAAATGTGATTGTCACTTGGCGGGATTTCACGTGTTGGGAGAAACGTGCTATTGAGAAGCGAGAACAATGACATCTGGGGAGTGGGACCTGCGGGCGCTCAAGGCGCTCGAGGAGGAGGAGCAGCGCGAGTTTCTGGCCCTCAGTCAGAAGAATCTGTTCGACCCTTTACCCAATCCCAATCCCAGTTGCACCCCCGATCCGGGTGGCACGGGCAAGTCAGCACTGACCTACGCCCAGCTGCATCCGCACCTGCTGAAGCTGCCCACGATCGACGAGTGCCATCTGATGGCGGTCAAGCAGCAGAAACAGCATCAGGACCGCTCCGCCGCCCTACGCTTCACCCGTGCCCTCTCCCTGTCTGCCCACTCGCTCACATCCCGGACAGGAAGTATCACTGGTAATATAAAATTGTAATTAATTTCTTACGAATATTTTTGTTTCAATTTAAGCTTTACATTGTTTGATTTAATAAAGCTTATTCCCGAGTTGAATACTAATTGAATTTCTGAAAAATCAGACTGTGTTTCAAAAGGATTTTAAAGAAAAATTAATTGAATTTATAATAAATGATATCTTTTAATTGCCAACAGGAACCGGAAGCGGAGGTGGCTTTGGTCGGAAGCTGAAAGCCCGATTGGTCGGGGCCAAGTCCAGTGGATCCCTGTCACCGGGTCGTTACTCACACAGCTACAGTGTGTCCCCGGTATACACACCGCCGCCCATGAGGCGCTGTGCCACACTGCATCACACGCAGCCGGTGCGGAAGGCCTTCAAGAATCTCCAGCAGATGCAGGAGCGCAAGCGACAGACGGGGATGCCAACAGCGGTGGCTAATCCTTTGCACATGCAGAGGATAACTGGCACAGGCAAGACCTATTGGAAGTATGGAGCCAACTCCACGGCAGCCTCCATAGTGGGTCAACGGGTACGCCAGAAGCAGCAGTTGGAGCTGGAAGAGTCGAATTGCTCGAATGATGACGAGAACTCGGAGCCGCCGGAAGCCTCGGAAGCGGAGACGGGCTCCTGCAGTGTTCCCCTGCCCACCACGGACACCAACGAGATCCTGCGACTGATGCTCAATGCAGCAAGTTCGGCGGTGACGGTAACGCCCACGGCAGCGGCCATCGGGGCTGGAGGCGGAACTGGAAGTGGCATTGGAGGAGTCAAGGGGAAAACGACCGGCACTGGAGTCGGAGGAATCGGAGCAACTGGTGTCGCCTTGTCGATGCGGCGATACCAGCCGCAGGACGCCGAGGAGGACGAAACTGTTGCGTACGAAGCTTTCCACCAGCAGCTGGCCGGCAAAAGCTTTGAGCGCGGCGCTCTCTTGCGAGTTGGCAGCTTAACAGCGCAAGAGAGCGACGGCGGTAACAGTCCCCGGAGTAGTCCTGGCCGTGGAACGCAATTCACTGCTTCCGGCGTCAGGCGGATGTTAAAGTCCTCCTCCCTCGATTGGCCCGTTCAGGAAGCGACCCAGACCCCAATCCAGCAGCAACAGCTCGGCCAACTGACCGCAAATCAACTCGAGCTGGTCGAGCAGCAGACAAAGGACGCTCGTTACCGGCAGCGAGATCGGGAGCGGGAACACTGGGACCTGGAGCACGTCCACTTCCATCAGCAGGCCCTCGGGCATTTGTCAGTCGACGATGAACTGGAGCAGCATATCAAGCATTGTTCGTGCTCCTGCAATCACATGGGCTACGGCAATTCAATGGACTATCAGGTGAGTTACTGCTTATGAATAAATATAGTACACATTTATATAGATTTATGGATGACGATTATTGCGAAATTGATGTACAGATCGAAGCATGTATTCCGCTCAAGAATCGGATGATAATTGCAAAAGATATGACCTTCGCTTGGGGCCATAATGACCATCCATGCATTTTTCAACATTTTGGAGGGGGCCGCCCAGAAAATTTGATGAAAAATCTAAAAAATATTTTTTTTCTAGATTTTGATGCAGATTTGTGGAGAATAGATCTAGAAATCGTTTAAGGTATTCCGCTCAAGAATCGGATGATAATTGTTAAAGATATGGCCTTCGCTGGGGGCCATAGTGACCATCCATGCATTTTTCAACATTTTGCAGGGGGCCGCCCAGAAAAATTTACGAAAAATCTAAAAATTGTTTTGTTTCTAGATTTGGATGCAGATTTGTGGAGAATAGATCTAGAAATCGCTTAAGGTATTAAAAAATCATTCGCTTAAGAATCGGATGATAAATGTTAAAGATATGGCCTTCGCTGGGGGCCATAATGGCCATCCATGCATTTTTCAACATTTCGTAGGGGACCCTCCAGAAAATTTGACAAAAAATCTGAAAAATATTTAGTTTCTATATTTTGATGCAGATTTATGGAGAATAGATCTATAAATCGTTTAAGGTATTCCGCTTAAGAATCGGATGATAATTGTTAAAGATATGGCCTTCCCTGGTGGCCATAATGGCCATCCATGCATTTTTCAACATTTTGTAGGGGACCCCCCAGAAAAATTTACGAAAAATCTAAAAAATGTTTTGTTTCTAGATTTGGATGCAGATTTATGGAGAATAGATTTAGAAATCGCTTAAGGTATTCCGCTTAAGAATCGGATGATAATTGTTAAAGATATGGCCTTCGCTGGGGGCCATAGTGACCATCCATGCATTTTTCAACATATTGGAGGGGAACCCCCAGAAAAATTTACGAAAAATCTAAAAAATATTTTGTTTCTAAATTTTAATGCAGATTTATGGAGAATAGTTATAGAAATCGTTTAAGGTATTCCGCTTAAGAATCGGATGATAATTGTTAAAGATATGGCCTTCGCTGGGGGCCATAGTGACCATCCATGCATTTTTCAACATATTGGAGGGGACCCCCCAGAAAATTTTTACGAAAAATCTAAAAAATATTTTGTTCCTAGATTTTGATGCAGATTTATGGAGAATAGATCTAGAAATCGTTTAAAGTATTCCTCTTAAGAATCGGATGATAATTGTTAAAGATATGACCTTCCCTGGGGGCCATAATGGCCATCCATGCATTTTTTAACATTTCGTAGGGGACCCCCCAGAAAAATTGACGAAAAATCTAAAAAATATTTTGTTTCTAGATTTTGATGCAGATTTGTGGAGAATAGATCTAGAAATCGTTTAAGGTATTCCGCTTAAGAATCGGATGATAATTGTTAAAGATATGGCCTTCCCTGGGGGCCATAATGGCCATCCATGCATTTTTCAACATTTTGGAGGGGACCCCCCAGAAAATTTTTACGAAAAATCTAAAAAATATTTTGTTTCTAGATTTTGATGCAGATTTGTGGAGAATAGATCTAGAAATCGTTTAAGGTATTCCGCTTAAGAATCGGATGATAATTGTTAAAGATATGACCTTCCCTGGGGGCCATAGTGACCATCCATGCATTTTTCAACATTTTGGAGGGGGCCGCCCAGAAAATTTGATGAAAAATCTAAAAAATAAGTTGTTTCTAGATTTTGATGCAGATTTATGGAGAATAAATCTAGAAATCGTTAAAGGTATTCCGCTTAAGAATAGGATGATAATTGGCAAAGATATGGCCTTCGCTGGAGGCCATAGTGACCATCCATGCATTTTTCAACATTTTGCAGGGGGCCGCCCAGAAAAATTTACCAAAAATCTAAAAAATATTTTGTTTCTAGATTTTAATGCAGATTTATGGAGAATAGGTCGAGAAATCGTTTAAGGTATTAAAAAATAATTCGCTTAAGAATCGGATGATAATTGGCAAAGATATGGCCTTTTGAAAAGGCCTAAGTTATTGAGAAGGTCAACCAATTTCGTTGCTTTTTGTTATTAACTTATAATGCATTTGTTTAAATAATGAATTATTGAATAGTAAAAACTATTTTTTAAAAGGAAGTCCCGATATTTTTCCGTGTTCCCACAACCATCCAATCTGCAGCTACAATACGTGCGCATTTTTGCACAAATGACTCTGCCGTGTAATTTTAATTGCAGCAACTATTTTTTCACTCCGGGTGTGCAGCCACAGCCATGGTCATTCCCATTTCTGTTACCATTCCTCGTCGGATGAATGGGGGCCCATTCAGTGGCCGTTACTTTCCACCTTCCACCTTCTAATGCACTGGGCCGGGCCAACACACGCGTTTTGCCCAAACTCATTATCACCGTTGGTCCTTTGTGGGCATTTGGAGTTCACGGCTGGATTGGTCCTGGCAGATTGCCGCCTGGAGATCGGCCTGGGGGCAGTGACTCGGCTCCAAGTGGCCCATTGTCTGACTCGTCTAGTGGTGGCCCGCAGCAGTGGCACGCAGCACGAGGGGAGCAAACTTTTATACTAAATTGAATACTCCTTTGAATCCTACAATGGCCCGGATTGCTGTTCTCGCCCAGCTCGAGCTGTCCGCCCTTCCTCACATCGTTATTGTCTGTAATTGTTAAGACGATTTTAAGTTTAATAGCTGCCATTTCAAATAGTGCTGGAATCCCATCTCAAGACTTTATCTTTTGTTTTACGTTAAGGGTCCTGGCCAAGTTGGACTCTGAGACTGTGAGTGGCCCCGGGGCTCTGTGACTTTATGAGGGAGAAGTACCTGAATGAAAAACTGCTTAGATCCGAAAAGAAACAAATTTTCCATTATTATTTTAGTAGAAATCGTCCGAGGTTAAAGTATACAATCTAAGAAAAAGTTTTCAGAATAAACTTGGATGAATTTGTGTTTAAGGAGTCCTTTTGACTTGATTACTTTGTTCACAACTTAATCAGGGATTCGTTTATAGCGTATATTTGTTATAATATATATATTTCTACAATTGGACCGATTTCTTGTGCATTATCGTTATAGCTTCACTAAAATAAAACAATTAATTCTAATTTTATCGAACATCCATGGGGTCATGCGTCTAAAGGCTGGGGTCTGTGCTGCATCTTCCGCTATATTCTTGATCCAAATCGCCTACTGCAGCGTACTCTGGGGCGGGGTGAGAGGCGTCCAGGTGTCGGCGCTTACTGCCGCCGTGCCACTAACCACGGCAGTGGGAACGGAACCGGAAACGGCGCCTCGCTCTACGGTCTCCAGCTTGATGTCGTTGTGAGAGCCCTTCAGGCCGGATCCGGCACATTCTAGGGTGATGACGGAGCTCTGCTCATCGCTCGGCTTGTACATGGCAGCCTGGGGGTCGTCCAGCGTCTTGGACACGTCAACGGGCTCTAGCGGATGGGCGGCGTAACTGCAAGGCGGGCGGGGGGAGAATCATTGATAGCTACGTTAGCGGTAAGTGTGCACAGTTCCCCGGACGATATAACCTACCCAATTTCCAGTGGAATGTACTCCGGTTGGTAGTACGCCGCGGCGGCATTCTGATAGAGTCCATACTCGGCCCCGGAGCCGTTGTGCCATCCACTGGCCGGATAGCTTAGTGCCGTGGGCGCGTTCAATACCGCATTGGTGTACAACTGGTGGGAGGGTGAGGTGGGCGTGGGATGGTACACCTGGTGTGTGGCTCCGTACGCCGCTTGCGGGGATCCCGAGGCCCCAGCACCTGTGCCCACTCCCACACCCACTCCCGTTCCGTAGATGTCCGTCTGGGCCATGTTGTACTGATGGCTGTGCGGCGTCAGGTGGTGGATTGTGTAGCTGGGCGACGAGGTTGTATAGCTGGGGGATCCGTTCGTCGGCGAAGGCGAGTTGTGGGTGGCTGAAGGTGGTCAGAAGGAGATGTTTATCAAGCTACTCAATAGCTATGCCACAAGGACTACTCACAGATATTACGGCTACTGCACACATTCATGGGCATGGGTCCTGGCACGCTGGTGGCGTTCCAATAGTTTCCATTGCTCTGCCAGCTGCTGGGATACGAGAACACTGAGGCCGTGGGACTGGCCTCCACTGGCATGAAGCCAGACTGGGAATAGGAACTGCTGAAGCAACCGGCTCCGGCTGCGGATCCAACTCCGCCGGTGCTGCTACCAACGCTTGTGCTCACCGAGCCGGAGGCCGATCCCGTCGAGGTGGATTGGAGGCTGGTGGGCGTTTGCGGAGCCGATGGTGGCTGTGGTGAGGTGGAGGATCCATTTCCAGCACTTCCATTGGATCCAGAACCAGAAACAACCCGTGGTCGGCTGTACGGAGTGGACCGAGTGGGTACTGAGCTCCTGCCGGAGAGCGATCGCCCGTAGCGGTCGCAAGTGCCTCCCACGGAGGAGACTCCTGAAGAGGTTGAGGAGACACTGGGACACGGTGCCACCAGGCCATGGCTCTGGGCAATGGGCAGCGGAGGCGGCGGTGCAGCTACTGCGGCAGCCGCTGCAGCCGAGGCGTAGTGAGTGGGTGGAGGGATTAGCCATCCGTAGTGTGTGTCATGAGGATACAGTGTGTCTGGTCGCTCCTTGGCGTCCAGGAATGCCTTGGCAAAAGGATTATACTTGATTTTGAGCGAGGTGACCTCTTCGTTCTGGTAGGCAGTCACGGCTATAAACTGGGTCTCTGGAAACGGATAGGTCACCACGTGACGCTGCTCGGATCCCACGCGAACCAAATGCACTCGTGGCTCATACTTGTGCAAGGAGTTGAGCATTATCTGGAAGGATATCAAGGATATTAGCTCTTCTTTGAGAGATTTTAATTATCTATAGTATCTCTAGTTACCTGTCCGTTTCCATTGGTTTTGTTGGTCAGTTTCACTTTGGCAAAGGAAATGGGCTCCTTCATCCAGTGGGCTCCGAAATTGGGGGACTCGGGATGTACGTAGATGGGATTAGAGGGCGGTACCTCGGCTTTACCCCCAGGGACCTGAATTAGGATGATTATATTGTTTTAATTCAAATTCCTCGAAAAGTGACTCTCGACTGATATTTTAAACTTTGTTCCTCAAACAATGAGTAAGATAACTCGGTCTTAGATCACTTCCATTTCTCGATAACTCACCCATTCGCCGTTGACGTATTTCCAGCGGTGTGTGTCCACCTGGACGAACTCCAGCAGTACGGTGTACATGGCGGCGGGATCCAGTCCGGAGGCGCTGATCTTCACCACGGGAAACATGCGCCTGGAGATGAAAATTAGCAATTATGTACAACAGTTACATAAGTCATAACGTTAGCCTTTGGCAAGACCTTAGCTAAAGTTGAGTTTGAACTTGGCTTTAATGGGCAGAGGGGAGAGGGGCTAGGGGCAAGGGAAGAGACGGAAGGGTCCGGTTGACTGGGATTGCGTTGCGGGCAAATATTGGAACGCTCATGAGCGCTCTGTTCCACAACAATTAGTACAAGATGGCGGCTGTTGCCGGGCCATGCTAATTAGCACCTGACCAGGCCAAAAGCAGGCCCAGCTCTCGGGTCTCAGATCTCGAATCTAGAGGGTCTCGACTCTAAACTCTCGACTCTCGGCCCGGTTCCGAGTTCTAAATGCGCGTTTTGCATACAAACACACATGCTATCTGTATATATGCCCGTAAATTGGTAAATATTTTTAGTTATTTCAACAAATGCCAGTAAGTAAATAGACACACACATAGATACATGAGGACACTCCAAAAAAATAGTGTTGAAATTAAGTAGAAAATGATCTACATTTTATGGAAAAGGGCATAGTACTTCATATATTTTTAATAGCTTAGGGTAAACGTCTCTTAAATACTTTTTAAATAAACTATATTTCTTCGAGTGTATTTAACTAATCTGGAGAAACGTTAACGCTTCATTATGACTTGCAAATGGCGAGCAGTGAGATGAAAAATATGGAAAAGCGTTGCAGCAAAAAAACAAAAGCCTACAAAAGCGCAAAAACTCATTGCCAATTTGCATAGGAAAACAAAATGCGCCGCCATCGCCATCGCCAGTTAACACATTTGAATTTCGAACGGTCCGCCAAAACCGACTGTGGCAACTGACTCACCTGCCGTTCTTGGTGACGATCATCTCGTTGGTGAGATTCTGGAATCGCAGCCACAGCTCCCTATCGTCCAGGGAGACGCGCAGATTGCGATCCAATTCATTGGGGCTTCCGGCTCCACCAACCACACGGTGACCACCATTACCGGCGGATCCACTGGCACCACCGGCGGCCACTGCCACCACTCCTCCCAGTCCATGATTATGGCCGTGTCCATGGCCATTGTGGCTTATGTGCTGGGGAGATCCACTCCCGGCAGTGCCACCACCGCCGCCGTTTGTCGTCACATTGCCACTGAGTCCGGTTGTGGGATCCACGGCGGACAAGATGTGCGATGTGGTCATGTCAGCTAATATGGCTGCAAAAGAATTTAGGAATTGTCAAGATGAGAACAGTGGAAAGAGGTATTATATTATAATATTGGGTATTAATAGAGTTCTAAATGGTATGAAGTTGCCATCTTAAAGATTTAATCTATGAAGTAATTTTCGTTTACAAAATATGTAATATCTCCTAAAAGACTGGATAGTTAGCCCCTTGACTCATTTCCCAAAAATACTGAAAGACATAATATTGATGTTTTTGAGGAATCGGTCAGTGTGCACTGGCATTACATCAAAGCAATCTCTCCCGCCCGCCGACGATGTGTCGGCTTTATTATGCCTTTACAACATACTGTCCCAGGAGCATTAGAAGAATGCTCGTCCAGCTCTCTTGTCGGCTTTTAATTATATTGCACACTTTAGCCATGCCTGGGACTGGGACTGTGACTGGGACTGGGATTCGGATACGTATTCGTATTGAGGCTGCGATGTTGGCTCGTCTTGGCCATAAACAACGGGCACCCTTTTTATTTATGGCCGCGGCAACAAACACCTCTGTTTTTGCTTCGAAGTCGTTGCCATCGATGCCGGGGAAGGGGGCAGGGGTCGTTCCAGGGTCACATCTTAATGTTACCATGCTGGTAGCCCCTTAAGATGCGCCGTGTTTTCGGGTGATGTCTAAATTCTGGACCCCTTTACCGAAAGTGTTTCTCGCAATGTTTTGTAATCATAAATTAACAAAATGTATTAATTGTTTTGTTTGTTTTTATTGGCCCCAAGAATTGGAGGCCGAAATGCCGCCGTCTAGGATTGGTCTTGGAATGCAGTCCCCCCCCACAATTCTTAGTTCTTTGTTCTTAGTTTTTGGGTAGAGATTTGATTTATAGGTAGATGGTCCCTCATATTTGTCAACCATTTAATTTGAGGGTGTCATCCGAACAGGTTTCTCTAGAGTTCTAGGTGAGACTCACATAAAATGAAGCACACCATCCATCATCAAAGTATGTGGTTTGGCCATCAATCCATGGGTCATAATAACATTCAATTACCAAAGATTCAGCTTTACAGAATATTTATTTTAATCAAGTTTCAATCTTTGTTAAGCGGGTTAACCCCCTGGCATAGAGTTAAATATGGTTTATGGATTTTCAAAGGTTTCCGTTTTTCCCAGGCTGCATTCGCGCCGCATTATCCTAATTTTCACGCAATTCTTGGCGTGTTTCTCATGTCCCACATAGGCGACATCATAAAAATTCACTCTTCACGACGCTATACCGCCGATGGCTCCCCACATGGCACATGGATGTTTGTGTTCCACATCGATCCGCACCACCGAACCACCGCTACACCGCTCCACCACCCCACCGCCCAGCATCACTAAGCTTAATGAAAAGCTGTTTTTGTGTGTTGTCTCCTCGTCCGGATAGCCCAAGTGTGTGTATTTCAGCCTCTTCTATCCAAACTCGTGTCTGTACATATATCCACGCTTATATAGTATACTTTGACTTTTGATGGCAGCCATGACGGCTTTGGCTATAGGATGGGGTTTTGGGTTTTCGGTTTGCATTGGGCTCTTTCCTCATCGGCTTTTGTTGTTGTCTTTGTTGATTTTTGAATCATTTCGTGACTTTGATATTTACTCAGTCGCTTTGAAAGATTTGGTTATTTTTTTTTTTTTTGGATTTCGGATGAAATATGCGCGCTAGTCGAAATCAAATCGAACCTTTTGTAATATCGCGTATACGCACTCGAAACACAAGTACAGACGAACTCGTACTAATGGTCGTCAATGGGCTTTTATTTAACGAATCTAAAATATATATAAACTCTAACGAAAAACTTTAATTCATTGCACATGAGTGAATAATTTATGCAGTCAACTTAATTAAATAAAATAAACAATAATGCATTAGTTGCACTCATTCAAAGGCAAATGAATGGAGTAATTACTGGACTTTCTAAAAATTTAAACCACTTTAAAATAGAAAAACAAAAATTGTAATAATGTTTGTTTTCATTTTATTATCGCCACGACCAGTACACGTGTAGTATTATGTTTATTGATTCGTGGACAAATATTAAGCCCCCATCGATTTATTCACTCTCCACCGCACCGGTTACCGATTCGCACCTCGCCCAGAAGGATTCCAGTTCGCACCTGCTCAGGATGCTAGCGGGTGGTATCGATGACAACTGTGGTAGCCCAGCGGAGGCGATTAAAACAAATTTGCTAAATTTCACACACCACTTGGCATGAAAATAAACCGAATTTAAATTTAGACCTCTGGGCCAATTTCGTTTTGGGCATTGTGGGGCCAACCATTGTCACCTTCGGGAAGGGCAAAAGTCGTTTGCTTTTTTGGGGGGGATCGTTAAGGAGGTGGAACTCCTGACTAATTTATGTAAGCAGAAGCGTAGGCGGAGATGGGTGTGACTCGGGTGTCACACTTTTGTTTTCTGCACTCAACGGCACACTGCGATGATAGGCGCACTTTATGAGCTGCGTACTAAAATTTTGTACAAACTGTAATTAATTAGTAAGCATTTGTCAAGTACTAAACGGGGCCTGCAGCCCCTCGATTCGCGGGGGCGTCCGTTTAAGTCGGCGAGGGGATACCCCCGTTTAGACCGTTTATGGACTGCTTTGATTTGCATTTAATAGGATAATTTTCACATGCGTCGTAATTGGTTCGATCGTTCGATCTAACTTGCTCTTTTCGGCAATCTATGCCGACTACCTCAGCCTCTGCGTCTGCGGCTGCGTTGAAATTCTTATGTCCCCACTAATTTGCGTGTGAACATGTGCCACGCCTCCAACCCGAGACTCTGGTTCCTAACGCCCCCGGCTCGGCTGCTGTTTCATGTCATTAGAGGTATTATTAGGATCGTTAATGGGGGGGCTTTTGTCACTTGCCCGCTGGATTTCGGGCGGCTCGTCAACACACAGTTTTCTGTATTTCTGTATTTTTGGCCAAGTGTCAAAAAGTGTCTGCCTGGTTTTGGTTTTGTTTGGTTTCGGCATTTGATTTTCACACGTTCGTTTAAATAGGTTTGCCAATTTGCTATTTGATTACGTTTATGGCCGTATGTCACACCGAGGAATGAAAACACAACATTTTATGACCCCTCTTAATTCGTTGAATCGACTTTACAGCCGTGCATTCTTGCCGTTTGTATGGTTTACTTTTTTGGGAATTTTGTAACTTTTTTGAGGGATAAAATAGGTAGCTAAAGCTGAGGTAGCTCCATTAAACCTCACAGAAATAGTAATAAGATAAGAATAGATATACATAAATATATCATTAACAATTGTGATACATAAGATATAGTTCCACTAATTAGAAAATAAATTGTTGTTTAATTGTTGCTTTGGTTGTTAAATCCTTCTATTTCTACCTATTTTAATACTTTTTATAGACACGAAGTTATAGGAAATTTCCACCAATTCCTATTTTTTCTTGAAATCTTAAGAATTAAAAATATATGTATGCTTTATAAAAAATTATCTGTCTAGTTTTATGAAACTTACATATTTTGAATACTTTTCCCCGCCGTAAATCGGCGTTTTCGATATAATCCAGATGTAGAGAATCTGATAAAATGAATATAGAATCTGATTCGTCTTGAAATGAGTTTCAATATCTTAAAAATCCAACACTTTTGAGCACTTTCTTTTCTAAATCACCAAGTTTTCGAAGGTTATATTAATTCCACGTAGTCACAAATGTATGTTGAATAAATCAGATGATAGGAAGAACCGCGTGCCTTAATATTAGTTAATTTTTTTTTTGGTTTTTAGTTCGATATATATATTTTCCGATTCGGTGTCTGACTTTTTTTCGAGTCGAGTTCGGAGTTGAGCGAAGCCGCCGAGAGTGTGTTTGCGTTGCCACCGTTCCCGAGCTAATGATCGACGATCGGTGCTAATTTTTTCAACCATCACAAGCCGCGCTTTCGGTTCCTCTATTTCTCGTCTTTGGCCAACATGATATTGCTGTTGTTGTTGTTGTTGTTCGGACGTTATGGCCGGCCTGGCTCACTAGCCAGTGCAACTCTTTCCGGGCCCTAGGGCTGTCTCGTTCTGGCCCGACGAAGATCGGTTGGCGGCCGGCTTTAGGCCACACCCTCTAACAGGTAAGAGATGCCTAAGCAGTCTCCTTTCCTGCTCGCACTCGCTGCCCGTCGGCTTTCGGCCATCGCTTACAACCCGGCAACAGGTAGAAGCCTTGCTTTGGGCCTCTCAGGTGGGCCAGATCGGTCAGGGCGAGAAGACCTCTGCCATTGGAGTCCTAGGCGGGAGTTCTGGGGTCTCCATCATCACCAGTCTGCTCAGCGTGGATAATCGTTCATTTTTGCATGCGCCAAAAATTAAGTGAAACGTGTTTTATTTTAAAAATAAATAAATAACAGATAACACTGGACACAATACTTTTTTGGGAAAATGTTCTATAAAATATTAAAAAAGTTAAAGACGGGAAACCGATGAAATTATTAGCTTGTTTAGATCTCTACCCAACAGATATGTTGGTTCCTTGAGTTACTTGACATTTATTCAATTTTAATTCTTTAATTGACAATTTTTTAAAGATTTATATACTATTTGTATTAATAAAAATACAAATTTTAATCTATATACAGATATTAATATCAAATACATATTTATAGAAACAATTCTATATCTTCAAGATAATCCTCAATAAACCTACTTTTTATGGTTTAAAAAGATGCCTAAAATTTGGGCCACTTTACATTTTTCTTTCAGTGCCTTTTAAAGACTGGAGCCTCTGTCCGCTCTGTACTCTGTCCGTTGTCCGCTGTCCGCTGTACATTGTCCGTTGTCCATCGCAGACTGGCTTTGATTTGTTTAGACGCTCGTTTTGTGTTTTGTTTGCGCAACCAATTAAAACTTTGTATTTTTTCCATGGTGCCTGTTTGTAGGCTAAAACGGGTTTGCCGTTCGTTCCAACACATCATTTTTTCGGTTAAATTTTCAGCTGAATTTCGAGTTGTAAACATTTGACCGCGTACGTCAATTTGTGGATGTGTCCCAACAAAAAAATGAAAAAAAAAAATATGATTTTCTGCTCTGGGGCGGAGTTGGCTCCATATTTTGGGGCGGTGCGTGACAAACGAGAATTCGCATCAGAATTAGATCGAGTGTATATATTATAGATTATTCAATGGTAACTGTACGTGAGGAGATTTTATAAGCTTTTGGAGCTCTGCAATTTCAACTAGCATTTTATGTTTTACAATAAGAGATAGAAAGTATAGTTCAGAATTAAAAATGAATCAAACATGGATAAAAAGTAGTTTGAAAGATTCTAAAAATATATTATATTCTACGGTCTATCATTGGCTTAATTTGAGTGCTAATTTTGAGACAATATTATAGATTTTTCATGGCCCGTAATACAAAAAATGTACTGTGACGTTTTTGATGAATATTGTTGTGGCTTTCTATGCTGAAACTATTTATAGCTTTTTCGTGATTTTGGAGATCACGCGCCTCTTGCATTCGCTGTCTGGGAATGTCGGGGAGTTCGAGTCGGATTTTAGTCATTTTGAAGCTATGGCCGAGTGTTAAGGGCTCCGATATGATCGGAGACTGGGGCCTCAAAAAAAAGTTGGTCAGTCTATGGCGCTGAAAGACAAACAGTTCACGGGCAACGATGGCCATTAGTTTGAGGTCTACTATGGCTACTCGCCGGGGGTAAATGAGAAAAATCAACAGACTATGGAACTCAATAAAATACATGAAAATGGAGGGGAGGCCGGAGGCTGTGTGCCTGGCTAATGGAGGAGAAATGTATCTGGCAGATAGGCAAGTGAATCGAACGGATCGTCATGTAGTTGTCGCACCCGTGACGGATGTCTGGCTACCTTACGGTCGGTCGGTCATTCATTAAAGGTGCGGCTAGTTTTTCTTTCATTAAGAATCCCGACGGAGGAGTACGCGGAATTGCAGGCCAACCCTAGGGTTGGTAATTCGGGCCTCAACCCTTTCGAGGAGAGCGTCGGGCATCGAGCATCCAGCATCGAGCGTCCTTGCCCTAAATATTCACCGCACGGCATTGTAGCCGCTTTATGTTTATGGCCAATCCTTTCTGCTTGTGTGTTTGCAAACAATTCGATTTTATGGCCGCCTAAGCGAATTTCCCCGCCTCAATTAGGCTGAGGTTGTAAACTCATAAAGCAAACACGCGAGAGTGCGAACCCGAAACGTAAAGGAACAACAAGAATACAAATAGAAGGAAAAATAAATGGAGCAGGAGCAGGCATTCCGTTTGTACAGGACATGAAAAAGCATCCTTTTGAGCGCAATTAGCCGGCGGGAAAATCCCGATATCGAAATGCCGCTGCCGCTGCCGCTTCTGGTCGAGTTTGTGTTTGAAGTCTTTCGTTCGCCATTCCTGGCCGCCTTACCGCCCATGGGTTCGCCCCTTTACTGGCTTGTTTGCTCGAACCCAGATCCAGACCCAGACCCAGACCCAGTCCCAGACCGAAAACACAACTCACCAAATACTAAACTCGAATCCCAAGCCCCGGCTCATTTGCATATTGCTCGTTTTCGCTTAAGTATGTTTGCCTGGGCCGAACTCTCTGTTTACTTTTGGCCATCTTGAGCATCTTGACCAAACTCGACTGACCCGCAGCCCGTTTTCAGCCCGTCTTCCATACCTTCTCATCATTTTTTTTTATGGAAATGCACAGCTTTAAGTTCATCGAAGGCATTAAACTTAAAGATGGCGTGACTCGACAAACAATGGTATTTTCTAACATGGCTTAAACGTTGATTTAGTTTAAACAATGTCTGCAGTTTGTTAAGTAATTAAAGGAGTCTCTATAGAAAGGCATCCTCTGCACTTGAAAGGCTTGTATCAAATAATTGATAGAATATTAAAATTTACTCCCCTCTTGTTGTTATTTGGAGCCACACACTATTCACACTTACTCATTGAAATTGTTGAAACATTTTTCACACCGAACACAAATTGGGATTTTATTAAAAAAATACTCCAAAGTCCACGACACCCACACCACTCGCAGGATGAATCGCATTTTCGCCAAACGGGCTGCCCAGCCTCTCAGTCGCTGCATTATTCCATCGGCGAGTCGCCTCTTCAGCGCAGGATGTGCTAATGACGAGTACGCCATGCAGGATCACAAGTACGATGCGATTGTGATCGGAGCCGGGGGAGCGGGATTACGGGCAGCGTTAGGGCTGGGGGAGAAGGGATTCAAAACGGCGATTATATCGAAGCTATTTCCCACACGGTCCCACACAGTGGCGGCCCAGGGCGGCGTGAATGCCGCCCTCTCCAATATGGACAAGGACGACTGGAAGTTCCACTTCTACGACACGGTCAAGGGCAGTGACTGGCTGGGCGACCAGAACGCCATCCACTACATGTGCAAGGAGGCGCCGAAGGCCATCTACGAGCTGGACGCCTACGGCGTTCCTTTCTCCCGAAAGGAAGATGGCAAGATCTACCAGCGGCCTTTCGGGGGACAGACTCTGGGCTATGGAAAGGGCGGAGTAGCCCGCAGGGCCTGCGCCGTCGCCGATCGCACGGGTCACTCGCTCATTCACACCATGTACGGCCAGACTCTAAAGTACACCGATGTCTGCCACTACTATATCGACTACTTCGTCCTGGACCTGATCATGGAGTATGGCTGCTGTGTGGGCTGTGTGGCCTGGAAACTGGATGACGGAACCTTTCATCGCTTCCTGGCCAAGAACACTGTGGTGGCCGCCGGTGGCTGTGGCCGCGTCTACTTCTCCACCACCGCCGGACACACGTGTACGGGCGACGGGAATGCCTGGGTGTCGCGCCAGGACCTCCCACTCATGGACATGGAGTTTGTTCAGTTCCATCCTACTGGCATATACGGAGCCGGTTGCCTCATCACCGAGGGTGTTCGCGGTGAGGGCGGGTTCTTCCTCAACTGCAAGGGCGAACGCTTTATGGAGCGCTATGCTCCCAAGGCCAAGGATCTGGCCTCCAGGGATGTGGTGGCCCGAGCCATGACGATGGAAGTTCTAGCGGGAAACGGGTGTGGTCCTCTCAAGGATCATGTTCACTTGCAGCTGCATCACATCGATCCGCAGATCATCAGGACGAGGCTACCGGGTATTATGGTCACAGCAAAGATTTTTGCCAAGGTGGACGTGATGAAGGAACCGGTGCCGGTGCTGCCCACCGTGCACTACAATATGGGCGGCGTACCCACCGACTACAGGGGTCGCGTGCTCACCATCGACGAAGACGGCAAGGATGTGGTCGTCAAGGGCCTCTACTCCTGCGGTGAGACGTCCTGTGCCTCGGTGCATGGAGCTAACCGATTGGGGGCCAACTCGCTGCTCGACTTAATCATCTTCGGACGCGTCTGCGCCGAGGATATTGCCAAGTGCAGCAAGCCAGGGGACAGGGCGCCGAGTCCGGCGGATAATTTTACAGCCCGAACAATGGATAACTTCAAAAAGCTGCGTTGTGCCGACGGCAGCATACCCACCGCTGAACTACGAGATGAGCTGCAGAGGGCGATGACCAGACACGCTGCCGTATTTCGGGAAGGGAAACTCCTCAAAGAGGGTCTTTTAAAAATCGCCGAACTGTGCGAAAAGTTCAAGTGCATCAAGGTTCACGATCGTACCCTGGTCTGGAACTCGAATCTCATCGAAACACTGGAGCTGCAGAACATGCTGGTGAATTCGGTACACATCATTTCGGCCATGGAGAATCGCGAGGAGTCGCGGGGGTCACACGCGCGTGAGGACTTCAAGACGCGCATCGACGAGCTGGACTACTCGCTTCCGTTGGCCGGCCAGCGGAAGAAAGCGATGGACGACCATTGGCGGAAGCACACTCTGACCTTTTCCGAGGCCGGCAAGGGCTGTGCCACAATCAAGTACCGACCAGTTATAGACACGACACTAGATGACTCTTTGGCTTCCATTCCTCCGGCTCCGCGCACCTACTGATTCTTTGGAGGTTGAGGCTAACGAAAATATTCAATTGGGTTGAAAAATAAAGACTACAGAAACACATTTAACAAAATATAGAACAATTTAATTTTAAAACCAAAAACAATTTCTTTATTCCAACATGGTTCGCCCAACGCAGGTATCCCAAAGCATATCGTATCCCAAAGCATTTTCTTCAGGATCGACGAATACGGTGTCACTATCATAGTCAATCGTTTGGCACTCTTTGAATTCAGTATATTTAAAATTCTGCCCAACAACTTTGAAGTACTCTGAATTCCTTGTGGTACTGTACCTGTAATACTGTCCATTGTCCAATATTTCCAAAACCCCAAAGGCTTCGGAGCCTTTTTCCTCCGAGTTATCATAGTCCTGTGGTCTTTTTATTGTGATGTCTCCGTCAGAATTGATTCCATCACAGTTCTCCTCCTCATTATCGTCCTCTAATTTACATAATCCAGTGCGCTTGTCTTCCACATTTGAATGTTGAAAGTCATCATTACTTGAGTTTCGACTCAAGCTCACGTTGTCCATGTCATATGCGTCTAAAGCCCTCTTAAATAGATCAGCTTCCAAGTCTGTTTCATTTTTTAATGTATCATTAGTTAGGGAGGTTTCTTTTTCAGCGTTATTTAGTAATGAAAAGGATCTAGGGTACAGGTTTTCCTTTGCCTCGGAGATTTCTCTTGAGGTGCACTCAGCTTTCTCTTCAAAGTTAATAAAACTTCTAGTAAAGTTCTGGGTCTCTTTTTCTCCATCCTCATAACTAACATTATTAGAGTTGCAATCGCTCGAAAGTTCTTCATCTATTTTACTACAGAGATTTGAATCTAATTCACTGTTATCATTTAAATCCTCATGGTATTCAAGTTCATGGGCCTCATTTGATGTTTGACTATAGATGTCTTGTGTTGAAGGCGGATTACTTGAGGTGTCCGCATCGAACTTGAAATCAAAATACGGCGGTTCTACACTTGAACTTTCAACTGAGAGTTCGTCATTAAGAAAATCTTCATCCGCAGAACTACAAACTGTTACGTCGCTATTAGTAAGATCTTCAAGGGAACTATGATCCCCAATGTTATCTTCAAAGAGGGGCAGAGAATTTTCATCTGAAGGAGTAGCTTCCATTACGACTTCATTAGTCAGATCTTGAACCGAAATTTGTTCTGCAATGTTTTCTTTAAAGAAAGGCCAATAATTTTCATCTGAAGGAGTATCTTCCATTACGACTCTGCTAGTCAGATCTTCAACAGAGCTATGATCTCCAATACTTTCTTTAAAGAGAGGCTTAAAATCTTCATCTGAAGGACTAGCTACCATTACGACTTTATTAGTTAGATCTTTAACCGAGCTGTGATTTTTAGAGCTTCCTTCAAAGAGCTGTGATAAATTTCCATCCGGAATGTCATATACTGGAGCTCTTTTTTTCTTCTTTATATAATCTATGAGTATGAAAGTTAGCCAAAAAATTGAGATTACCAGAGTGAAGAGGATAAACTTTGAAAGCCATTCTGCACAGTTGAAGTTTTGGCCAAAAATATTCACTTCCCGTAAGTCCTCACCCACCTCATACACCAAAACAGAAAGCTCCACAAAAATGGACGTTGGGGTCTCCCAAGGCGCAACCACCTCTATGTTCACCAAATCAAAATTATGCAGTATAGCCATCAATGTAGTTTTATCCTGGATAGGATCCAATAGTCGGAACTCTCCATCTTTTATGTGAAAGATGGCGGGCAAATCAGATATGGAGAAACGTCGGTTCAGTATTCTGTGTTTCGAAAGATCCCCATAGGCCAGATACACATTTATGAATTTCTGTGTAGAATTAGCTAGCTCGTAAAGAGCACCTTCCAGATCCCTGCAATCCGGTCGTAGAGGTAAACATAATAACACCAGCCATTTGCCGTAAAGTAGTTGCTGCCAGTTGTTGGGGTCGATTTCGAAAACCGATTCAAGGCCTTTTTCTTCGTGGCATTTTTTTGGAAGACACAGCTGGTTTTTTGGGTCTGAACATTCGCAGTCCTCTTCAAAGTTTTGTCTTTCTAAAACAGTTGTGTAGAAATTTGAAACTATTAAAAATAGGAGCGTATATAAAATCATTTTGAGGGTTTATTTCCAAATAAACTTTGATCTAAATACGTGCTTTATCCCAGAAGTCTTATATTATTTGATTTAAAAGGAAGGGATTACTTTTTTTTACGGATTTACTCTATAGTGTAGGATAGCATTTTATTATTATTTACCAAAAGTGACCACTAACATGAAATTAGCATTGGATTACTATCAGTCCGACTCCATGGACAAAGTCTGTAAATAATTACCCGCCAAAGAAATTGGTTGCTGCTTCAAGGAGGTGGATCCCAGCAAGGAGGACCACCCACCTAATGACCACAATAAATTATTTTCATTTAGGGGCATTTAGCATAGAGAAAAAGCCGAGGAGTGCCTGGTAAAGAAATAATTTATAGCTGTTGAAAACTTAACATGTTCATTTGGCCACATGTGTTGGTGCGTTTTGTGGGCGAATTGTTGTTGTGCGGAAATTGTTGGGGGTAGTCCTGGGTCCTTGGGATGGGTTGACACCCAAATAATAATGGCGCTTGTTAGGGCTTATGAGTAAGTGTGTGTCTCTTTGTGTGTTCGTGTGTGTGAAAGGCCAACAAAACAGGACCAAACACACAAATACTTTGCCTAGACAGCAACAACAGAACGCTCCACCCACCAAGGACATGCCCAAAACTATTTGGTATGTATTCCGTGTGCCAGTATATGTATATGTAGATACAATTGTTGCTATTTCATATGGCTATGTTGTTGCTTTTTGGTGGTCGGCTGCTGCTGGCAGCGCCAGAAAAATTACAGTTGCATACACATTTGCCTGCGTTAAATTGTCCCACAACCGATACCAAGTGACCTTTTCATTTATTTTTATGATTCTCCCATTCCTTGCCCCATTGCCCGCCCCCTGGCCACATGCTACATGGCTATATTCCACCGGCCCCTCTGCCAGCCGTCTTGACCATAAAAAATAGTTCGTCCGATCCAACTTTCCTGCAGCAACAAATGTTGCTTACCGAGGCCTAAAGGAGGATTCCCGGTTACTGGATCTAATGTTGCTCCTTTTTTCTGGGATTTTGAATTTGTTTATTTCTGGCCGGGCTTAATGGAAGGGAAATCTGCGTACCAAACCCATTCGGGGGCCATATCTGTTTGTTGTTTATGTCATTTACTGTTTAACTCGTGCTCTGTTATTTCCATAAACTACTCATATTTTATGGATTTCATTGAGTGCTATATGGTCGAGAAAAAAGTACATTTTAATTGGTCCTTTAAATATTGTATTAAATGCCACAACTCGTGCGGTTGCAAAACTTAAAAAGCTCCTTCAAACTTTGTTCATTTAACTTTTTGATAAAATCAGGAGGTTAACTTTAAACTTTAAAGTAGTTTAGTTTTGTAAACTAATCTTTTTAAAAAGGGATTTTTAATATGCAGAATAATTGATTCATTTGGTAGTGCTAAATGGATGTCTTAAATCCTGTGACCAGTCCAATTTGTGTCTCGATGGATCTCAGTTTTTGTTTTCTAGTCTGCCCGAAAGGATAGTCAAGTTTGCTAAAATTTTCAAAGTTGATTCTCTACTTCATCGCAAAACAAAATGTTTCAGTTTAAGCTTTTAGCCAAGTCACTTCAGCCCGTTAACGAGTACTACAGTGAGTGCACTTTTGCCTTCGGGTAGATAAAGTACAAAAATTGAACATGCTATGTGTACTAACCTCTGCATAGGGTTTGAAAACTGAAAGGATTTAGATGGGAAATAGAGAATGGGGTGTTTTGGGGTAGCATAGTTGCAAATATCTGGTTCTGTGGCTGCAAATAACTAGCCTAGGGTCATTCGAGTGGCCCATCATTTATATGTTGCTGTTCGGGCCTTTGACTCAATCATGTGCTCGTTCAGGAGCTCCATAATTTCCATTAGAATAGCCTTGGGCGCTGGCCGAGTCAAAGGCACTGGCCAAAATGCCTACCATACCGATCCGACCATTTCGACCACTTTGGCAGCAAACTTTTCCGGCCAACAGCCCCTCCCCCCTGGCCAACTGCACTTTTCGTAAGCCTTTTATATTTTTTTGGCGTTTGTTTGTTTCGGTTTATCATTGTTGTTGTTTTGGGAATGGTAATGGTTTTTGGTCCGGGTTCGGCTTGTTTTCCCCAAAAACTTTCGCCTGCATAAATTTGATTTATTAATAAATTATAGTCCCTCCCTTTGCCAAACTGAAATTCATTTCTATTTTCATTTATTTACTTGCAGGTAAGCCGGAAAAATATTGGCAAAATTGAATTTTGTAGTGTGTCGTGTGTGTTGGCCACTTACATATGTTTGCCGGTAAATTGAGACTCGAATTCGAATCAAAAGCGAATGGAGTGCCTGTTTGTGAACAAAACAAATGGAAAATCAATTTTTTATGGTTTTTAAACTAACCCCAAATGCAGGCAAAGCGAAAAGCAATTTTATTTCCCATGACCGGCATGCTTAAAAGTATGCAACTGTCAAGAGTTTAGGCCTTTTCAGGTGCGCCAGGTGTAAAGGTTTGAGGTGAACTATCTGGTATTCGGTATGTAAAATGTTGCAGTATTTATTTTATAAAATGATTGATTTTTATTACAAGGTTTGATCTATCATTTCCATTCCACTTGGCACAATTTCCGGACTACAAATACCTACTCTACAAATTCCTTTTTAAATTGTAATTTTGAGACCACAAACCTTAAGGTAGGTTTGAAAATAAATATGTCAACTACTTCGTATCTGAAGGGAATTCCTGTCAGCCCATCCACTTGACAATCGCAAAAATTTAATGTCGATACTGAGTCGAACGTGATGACAGCCAGACACTTTCTCCGGCTCAAAAGTCCTGGTTGTGGTCCTTGGCAGGAAATTTAAATAGGCCTTGGCATGTAAGGGTGTTTTGGTGTAGTAGTGCTGTGTGACAGACAACATTTCAACAGGAGCTGAAGCAGGAGCTGGAGCAGGAGCAGGAGCAGGTGCAGGTGCAGGAGAAGA